GTAGTCGAGCGTGCGAGTGAAGCCAGAGAAGATAAGGACCTTCTTGCCTTCGTTGAATACCGTGTGCTTGAGAAGCTTCTCCAAGAGGATGAACTTGCCGGATGCGCGAATGATGTGGTCGCTGAGGTAGTAGGGATCGGGTGAGACACCGGGAAGTAAGTACGGATGCGAGCAGCACTTGCGTAGCTGCATGACGAGGTTCATAAGCTTCTTCCAGGCACCCTTGTTGGTGTCGGTGTCGGTCTGCTCCTTGGCAACGGCTTCTTGCAGAATTTTGGTGGTTTCTTCCCAATCAGCCTCGGCACCGCCGGAGTTGACCACCTTGTCTACTTTCTCCATCTTCGCCAGTAGCTTGTTCTCTTCAATGTCCTGCTCGATGGCGGCCTTCTCTTTGGATTTGCCATCAGCAAAGAGCTCGTCGAGCATACCGTCGTCCATACGTGTCAAGAGACGGGTGTACCAGAACTTCTGCATGGGAGTCAAGGGTACATAGAGCAGGATTTCCTCCTTGGGCGGTAGACCGAGGTTGACAGAGGGAGAGTCCTTCATACGTCGCAGCATAATAAGTTCGAGCAAGCGGCGGGCGTCTGTCATGGTTTGCTTGTTCGCTTTGCCCTTGCTGAGATCGAAAGACTCCTTGAAAAGTGTCTCGGTCTTGTCGTCGAAGACATTAGGATATAGCCATGTCAGAAGCGACCACATCTCGACCAAGTTGTTCTGGAGTGGTGTTCCAGTCAAGATGAGACGATACTCGGCACTGATGCTCTTGAGGGCTGTCGAGATCTGGGTGACACTGCTCTTGATCTTGTGTCCTTCATCCAAGACGACATAGCGCCAGGCGAAGCTGTGCTTGAACCATGATTGCTCAGCCTGGAAAGTCTCGTATGTCGTGACGACAATCTTGTAGTTGTCGGATTGCTGATCGTTGGAGGTGAGCTTGGCCGCCTTTCGGCCAGCCTTGCGCGAGGCTTTCCGATCTTTCGCACGCGAGGTTTCATTGCCCTTCATGTCCTCCATGCCAGCTATGACGCGCTTCAAGCGGGTTCGCTCGGTGACGGCGCCGTGGAAGCGCATGACCTTGAGTTGTGGTACCCATTTCTGGGCCTCCGTGACCCACGAGTTGAGGACACTGAGGGGGCAGATGACGAGATAAGGCCGAAGCTCTTCTGACGTGACACCGTTCTTCTCGTCCAGCTCTTCAAGATACTGGAACAGCGATAATGTCTGTAGCGTCTTTCCGAGACCCATCTCGTCGCCGAGTATACCAGAGAAACCGTTGTTGTAGAGATGAACCAAGTACGACAGACCAGACAGTTGGTATGGCTTCATGACGGCGGTGACGCCTTTGGGTTGCTCCGAGAGCTCCTCGTACTCGACAATGGGCTGCGCATCGCCCTGAGCGACAAGCTTCGCGACCTGGTTGTTCTTAGGCAGAAGTGGGAGGAACAGGTCCTTGTTGGCAACGAGGAAGCTGTTTGCTCTCGCCTTGGTCTTCTTAGCAATGTCGTCGCGGAGACGGGCACGAGCGGTGTCGAGGTTGGGCGGCGGCCGGGCTGACTTCCGACGGGGTGGTGACGGGGTGGGCATGGTGTCGGACTCCAGGATGGTGCTCTTCCTGTCGCGCGTGCTCCGGCGAAGTCCACCAGACTGTTGGCGCTCCTTCTTACGCTTCTCCATCTTCAGTTCCTCAGTGTAGGCCGAGATTCTAGCGCTTGTCTTGCGGTTCGGGCGGGCTGATGGGGCGAGTTCGTCTTCGCTGGTTCCCGCGTTGGCGCCAGCTCGTCTTGTAGAGGCGCGAGGGTACTTGTCGGCGACGGTCCTGGGCTTGTGGTCAGGCGTGGATGGCGAGGCTTCGTTTGCGGATGAGTCGGAGGCGACGTAGTTTGGCGTTGGTTGCGCGCGCAGGCTGCGTTTGTTGTCGCTAGTCTCGTCTGGCTTGGTCGCCTGCTGCGAAGAGATGCGTCGTCTCTTGGTGGCCGACTGGGCTGAGCTCTCGGATCCGAACTGCGCCAGGAGGTCTTCGTAGATGCCACCTCGTTTTTTGGGCGTGATGGGCTGAGGCGAACCCAAGGTGATGATCGGATGTCCCGCCATGGCGACAACTGTGGGGTATCTTGTAGGCAGGTCTTGCGCAGTGAATGAGAATTGGCAAGGGGTCTATAGTACAACGGAATTGACAGAGAAGTGTTGTCGCAGGGCAAAGAAGGACAAAGCACAGCAAGAGAAGTCTTAGACAAGGCCGGTGACGGTGAGGATGAAATGAAACGACGCAGCGTGCCCAAAGGAGCGTGATAAGACGACTGGGCGTCTTCACGGTGAAGTGAAGTGAAGCGTCGCCGCATCGCCAGGCGCGGAGGCGATACGTCGATTGCGGCCGACGCGTCCTAGCGCGACTTGCAGGCGTTCCTTCCGGAACCGTTCCGAGCTATCAAGTCTATCCAACGCCGCAACCTCCACACGTCGACATTTCGCGAACCAAGTCCCCACGCCCGCGCATCTGGCGCACCCCCCTCGACCACCATGGCGCAACAGCCCATGACGCCCTTCTTCCCCATCTTCGCCTCCAAGTCGGATGGGCAGCACATCGTCAACCTCAAAGGCCGGCCGCTCAGAAATGGGCCGACCGAGGAACAGCTCAACACGTCGCCCAACGACCAGGGCCAGCGCGACTTCTACCGCCTCATTGAGAAGGAAGACCCCAAGCACCAAGACTGGCGCAAGAAACTGGGCGGCATGCTCCTGCGCGAGATCGGAGGGAAGCAGTTCGAAGGTATGGCTATGCGCGGCGCATGCGCTGCAGCGCACTGACATGTGACAGATCGGTGGCAGCAATGCATTCTGTGGGAGCTGCCCGAGAACTATGTCCTATACGAGCACATCAAGACCAAGGCAGACGGCCAGCTGAAGACAGTCAAGAACCACTCGGGCGGCGGCCACGACAGACAAGACGCCTATCTCTATGGATACCCCAAAGGCCCCAAGAAGCGCTTCAGGAGCCCCGTCGAGTTCTTCCCCCATCTCCTGTGGCTGTGCACCGACGAGAACAGCGACATGGCCAACTGCACGTGCAAGATGTGCTCGCCCGCCGGAGACGTCGAGAAGCCCCAGGTCAAGGTCGAAGTCAAGCAAGAACAGCCTGCACCCATCAAGCGCGAAAACAGCTCTAGTGGCGCTATACCAAACACAAACGTCACAGGGCGCAACCCCATAGTGCAAATCCCTGCCCGAAGGTCATCGACCGGTGCGCCTATACCAAGTCCCATCGTCAAGCCTTCGACGCCCGTTGCCGGTCCCAGGCCTACCCCCACGCCCGCTGCTACACAGATCAGAGCTCCTCCGACGTTGCAGTCAACGCCTCTCCCCCAGCCACGATCCATCGAACAACAAGCCGACTTGTCATACAACAAGTTCCTCTGCCGGAGCGGCGAGGTGGTGTGGTTCTTCCGTCCCAAGACGTCAGCCTGGGGCCTGGGACTGGTGGTGCGAAGATGGGCTACCAAAGAGGTGCCTATGAGCAGAGCATACCTGATTCAGCCTCTATCGCATCCCTTCGAATCGCCTCCACAAGAACTCGTTCAGACCGATGATCATGTCAAGCCCTGGCTCGCCTGGTCTGCACCCAGCTGCACGTTTCCCTTCCTACAGCAGAACCCTCAGTTCGAATACCACAACACGGATTGGAGAGCACTCATTAGCGGACAGGGAGGTGAGGGCATAGCGTCTGTCGACGCGTCTATATTAGCTGCAAAAGCCATCGATACCACGTATACACTCTTCGAGTGCCTCAAGACGAACAAGGACGACAAGGGAAACGAAGTGCGACAGTATAACGGCATGTATCTGGGCGCCGAGAAAATTTGGAGAGGCGAGGCTGTCCGTCTGCGCATAGGCGCCACAGGAACCGATCTTATGGTCGTGACTGACATCATCGAGCAAGTCCTTGTCAACCCGCCCACCACCAAAGTCATTGCTATAGGCGATATCTACAGCTACGCCACGCTGGACGCTCCAGACGCAAACCTTCCCCCCAAACCCCCTCAACAGAACAACAACATCCCATCGCGCATGGTCCACGACATGGTATGGCGAAACCGTATGCTCGTACCCCTCACCCGCACCGCAGCGTGGTGGAAGCTCATCCAGCCAGCCTACAAGATAGACATCGACGACATCAAAGGCCGCTGGTACGAGACAAGTCTCGTCTTCCAAGAGCCCTTTGCCAAAGCAGTCAAGAACGGCGAGGGCGGAAACGGTATCTGGATGAACTCGCGTGGCGATGCAACGGGCAAGGGCAAAGGAGCCAGTGTGGCGCAACCCGACCGCATCGGTGCCTTTGGGGCTTCCGTGCCTAAGGGGACACGCGTTGTCGAGGGCCTGGATCCTCCGAGCCAGCCTATGGGTCAACAACAGCAGTCGCATGATGGAATGGATATTAATATGGGTGGCGGTAATATGGCAGACCCCTTTTCTATCGACGAGTTTATGCATGTTGATCATTTGGGCGATGATGCGGGGATGGAGTATGGTGGTAACAATAACTACACTTTTTAGTGGAAGTGTTTTCGCTTCGTAGCAGATGGCATAGCATGGCGTATTTGGGCGTGATGGACGGTTTGCATTTCCAAAAGCATTTCTGGACAGGGTATACGCGTTGTTTCTATCCGTATGGGAGATACCCAGGTCGTTGTTCGACTATGTAATCTATCGCTAGCTCGGTGACTGCAGGTATTCAATGTAGTACAGCCCATGCTGAACAAAGCGCGAGCCGACAACAAGTCTATGCACATGACTCATTCAACCACAAGATACGTACCTGAAACCTTCAAGGGCGCCCCTGTTGTTGTGAATGAAATCCAATCACGACGACGTAGTCATGGGTCATACGCGCGAACACTCAGTGTCAGCCTTCATTGACCGTTGTAGCATAGAAACACGTAGGATTTTTCAAGGACAACTCGGTATTCTCAAAGGATTAATACGCAAAACTACTTGGATTGATCATGTCTACCACGCCAGAAGGAGTAGAGCAGTGGCAGCCGCCCACTGAGTCACTAGGCAGAGTTCCTTTGGTCACCCGGGGAACAAGCTGTGGTAAATCCGTCCAAGGCGATTTCCCGCTCGATCAGGTCGTCATAGACAGTATGCATCATACATCTCACCGCGTAATATATCTAGGTAGCTACTAATCATGAGCAGAACTACCTCTTGGTACTCAAGTCCACAGCTGCAACCGACACGGCGCATCAAAATGGACAGTCACCGCAAAGATAGACACCACACGGCCAGACGCTCCACCGAAATCGTACTTCCTGAAGGTACTTACAACCTCCTGGCGATAACAAGGTACTCTGGTAGGAATGCAGCTAACGCGAATCAAGTGCGCAGATGGCGACCAAGGCAAAGCCATGCTCTCAGGCGAATACAACTCGATGTGTGCCCTCTACAAAGTCGCACCCATCTTCGTCCCCGAGCCCCTTGCATACGGCCAACTCAACGTCTCAAACCCAGACTCCTACTTCTTCCTCTGCGCCTTCCTAGACATGGACACTAGTCAACCCCCCGACCCAGAACAACTATGCAAGAAACTCACCTCGCTCCACCTCTCCAGCGCGTCACCAACCGGACAATTCGGTTTCCACATGAACACCCGTCAAGGCAACCTACCCCAGCAAACAGCCTGGCAAGACACCTGGAAAGACTTCTTCATCCAGCTCCTCACCGGCGCTATGAAACTCAACCACTCCATCAACGGGCCCTGGAAAGACCTGCAGGAATGCACCGATCGCCTCATCACGCACGTCGTACCCGCCCTCCTCAACCCCCTCACATCGCACGGCCGCACCATAAAACCCACCCTAATCCACGGCGACCTCTGGGACGGCAACATCGGCACCGACACCACGACGGGCGAGATTTACGCTTTCGACGCCTGTGCATACTACGCGCACCACGAGATGGAGATTGCGATTTGGCGCGGTGATCCTAGTACAGTTTTGGGTCGGCAAGAGTATACGGATGCGTATGTGGGGATTATGGGGAAGAGTGAGCCGGTCGAGGGGTTTGAGGATAGAGGCAGGCTTTACTGTGCTTATATGAACTTGCATGCGAGTGCTTGTCATGGGGGAGATAGGTTTAGGGAAAAGTAAGTTTGTGTTGGAGGGAGGGATGTGAGGGCTTGTTGCTGACTTGATGGTGATGCAGATCTTATGGGATTATGAAGGAGTTGATTGAGAGATACGGGGAGTAGGATGGAGGGCAGGTCGATGTGCGCGAGGGAGGTGGGGAGGATACATGTTTGGTTTGTGTAACGATTCATTCTCGGGCAAGTTGTATGTCTTTTTTGGTACAAGGTGCTACTACTACTGCGTCTATTCCAGCCCGTTTGGTATACGATATGATTGCGATAGCTCCAGGGCTTTGATGTTGTTCGCTGGGATGTCCGGTGTGTCAGCAGTACTATGATTGTGTGTGAAGGCTCAGCCCGAATCGGGACCAGACCGTAGTCTGAGCAAAATACGCGCTCTAGTCTTTGTGCTGTGTGTCTTCCAAGGTTCTGTGGTGTGCCACGAGGGTTGTGCAGTTTGCGCACAGACCGCCCGGCTGGTGTGTTATCCGATGTCTTGGCGCCGGACTTCCTCCCGATCCATGGATGTCTTTGCACAAAGTCCTTCCCCAATATCTTTGCACCAAGTTCTTCCCCGATATTTTTGCATCGGCGGCATGTCTTTGCATGCGTACCAAACGCCCTGAGCTTTGTCCAGTGGCCTCTCGATTTGTCTGGCGGTGTTGTTTGGGGTGTCTCTGGATCCATTGTCTTTGCATCGACTCCTTCTGCTCTGCCTTTCCGCCGGTTGATCTCTCTGCATCTCCGACGCGTTCGACGCGTTTGACGCAGTGGCCTACTTACATATGCTACCGAAACAGTCTTTGCTGCTCTGTAAGATTGCGACGCTGCCTATATTCATCGCGCGATGGGTCGCTTCCCTCTGGGATCATTTCCGCAACGCCTCCGGTCTCGACTTGCTACATCCGGCAACAGCACGTAGCTGCTTCAGCGGCTGGTTTACCACCTCCCACTCCACCGACTTCGATGTTCGCAATTCTCCGTTTGCTACCTGGTCTCTCAGGTCTCGTCGTCGAATGTTTCGTCATCAACCATGATGACGTCTTCTCGGTAATCTCGCTTCATCCAAACCTGTGGAAATGTCAGTACTTGATATCGACTATTACGGAGGGGTCAACACTCACGCTGTGATCCTCTACAGGCATGTCGGAAAACATCTCTTTGACAACCTTGTGACCCGGAAGCGCGTCGAATGATCGGGCACGTCGCTTGTGGGCTACCTCTGACCTGGCGCGAGGCCTCTTCCTTGGACCTTCCGATTGCTTCTGGTCTCCTCTTTCCTCCTTGGCGGTGCCATACGCGCTGTCATCGCTATCGTTGGGCGCCACCCAAGGAACATCCCCATCGATCTTCCGCCGCTTGCTTGAGTACGCTGTGGAAGACTGAACCTCCCAAGTGTCGACATTCTCGTCTATCTTCCTCCGTTTGCTTGAGTCTCCCCTTGTGGAATGACTCTCCCAAGGATCGACGTTCACTTTCGACGTCGCGAACTTGAACTCAGAAGGCTGCATGAAATCTGGGCCCTTGGGCATCTGCAGCCACTCCCTCACCACTTCGTGATCACGAGTATCGCTCATATATCCAGTATCTTCTGGATCCGGCCCTTCGCCCGCCACTGAAAGGAAGCCAGATTCCTGGTCCCATGAGTTGCAATCGTGGACTCCTGCTTCTTTCGCCTCAATCCGGGCTTTCTTGAGCGACGTCTCTGCTACACCCAAAGAACAACGGAAATTGCCCCCTACCTGGAGGAAGTGTCGACCGAATTTCTTTTCTGCATCCGCTCTACTCAAGCGTGGGTTGATTGAGCAGAACTTATCCAGCTTTTCATCAAACGTTTTGTAGTGCTGTTCGAACTTTTCTTTCTTCTCCCAATAAGTCTTCTCACATCGCTCGAGCTTTTTTATGGCCTGCTCAATCCTATCCCACTCTTCTTTGGAACTGTTGATATATGGGTCTTCGTGGGGAAGTGCTTCTCCGGTCTCCTGTCCGATCCCGACTTCTTGCACTCCATGGACTGTCCGACCATCAATATCGCCATCATTTTCTGATCTAGCCATGTCCTGCACATCTTGCGGGTCTTCGAAGTGGGTAGCAGAGTAATTCGTTCTGCTGGATGGCGAGCCACCCTTGTCTTCTACTGGCGGGTTCAACGTTGTTTCATTGTCGTTAACAGCGATGTCGATAGACTGGGCCTCGGCTTGCTGGTCAAGACAGGCAGCACTAACCACGATGTTATGAATGTCGGGTTGCGAAGCCTCTACCGGCTGATTACGGGCGAGAGATTTGCTACTCTCGATCTCTTGGGCGGTGCCTGGCGAATTGTTCGGCTGGACACTGTTCAATTCGGGGACACCACCGTCTTCTTGTGTCTGAGCTTGCTCGTCTTCTTGTACCAGACCTTCCACTTCTCCCTGCACGAATCCGTCCTCATGCTGCTCTGCTATGACATCGTTGTCCTTCTCCTTTGGTAAAAGGAACGTATCCTGGAGCTCCATCACGACTTCAGCAAAGGAGCGGAGATTCCCATCGTATTCTTTTGTAAGAGACTTTACCAATCTCTGCATCTCTCGTTTGGTCTTCGTCGCTGCGTCGCGCTCGCGAACTAAAACCTTCAGGCAACGTTGCTGAGCTTTCGTTACTCCGCTGCCACCCCGACGTTGTAGTTGACGGGTTAACCTCTCAACAGCCGCCTTTTTGCACTGGACTGTCGACTGAGCGTCGATTTCGTTCGCCTTCACCATCGCAATGTCCGCTTTGATAGAGTCCGCCTTGGATCGGAGTTGTAACATCGTTTCGTATTTGACTTTTCCGGACTGGACGGAGGTTATCATAAGCTGAGTAGGCAATGACGACATTTCGACGTTTGATGGAATTGGACGCTCTTCAGCGCCACTACCAGTGCGTCCATTGTCTCGGTGGATCTGGCCTTCGCAGCGACGGAAGAGGGGAACATAGTCCGCTACCGCCCTGTACAGGCTGATAGCGGTCTTCAAAACACTCTCAGTGGTAGACATGTTGGGAAAGTCGTTGTGTAATGCAAGCCTAATCTTGCCTGAACCGTTGATCGTCTGATCGTGGGAATATCCAAGTTTGGGTGTCTTGAACTTGTCGAAGATCACGGCGAAAAAAGTAGATTGCTACAGGGTGTACGATTGCGGGGAGGGGGGGCAATCGAGTGCGCAAAAAGCTTGATCAGCTAGGTGACCGCGGAATAAGTAGGACTCCGCTCCGTCGTCCTATTCACTAAGCAACACCAATATTTTACTTACATCTCAGCCATCTCTCTTTCCTGAAACAGTATAGCGCCACATGGCCAGAGCGGCTTTGACTCCCTGCGATGCCTTCCGTATATACAGACTATCAGCGCTACGCTGCGGAGAAAGAATACGCAATCCCCCTACCGCCGGAGCGCGAGTTCCACGACCGTGCAATCCAGATTTACGATACCCTGCGTGGTCGCCACAGTGACTCGCCCTTCTGCCCAACTTGCTTTCCAGACAGGCGCCTCCGCGCCGGCCTATTGGCGGTCAACAACGCTGACAATGTCGTCGACCCGAGACATTGCCGAATCCGAACGGACCGCTCCCCTCCAGCGGGCAACCTCTGATGTGTTCCATCCTTGCGGTAGGGTTACATGCTCAAGAGAATCGCCATGTACGCCTGTCGCCCAGATGACGTCTCGACAGCGCCGATGGCACTTTTACGATCTGGTCCAGAAGAATACATTCGAAAAGGGCATGATCATCAACTATCCATCCATGAACATCTGCCAGGCAAACGATCCCAACGCTGTACAGACGCAATTTGGGGCAGTATGTTTCAAGACGAGGTACGCCATTGTCATCGAGAACGAGAACGAGCTCGAGGTCCTGCAGTTAGGCACCGCAGGCGGAAGCGGCCCATTGGCAAAGTCTACGGCTATCCGAGTAGATTGCTTCGGACTGAAAAAGGAGGGAGACGACGATTACTACTGCTGGGACGAAGACTTAAAGAGGAACGTCGCTGTCACTCCGGGAAAGGGGGTCTATGACATAGCCAAATATTGTCCGTACCAGCCCGTAACCGGCTCATTTGGCAACATACTAGACTCCATTAGGCTTCCGCGCGATTCTCGCATTCAGGTACACGGAACGATCGATGAACAGGTTCTGAACTCCATTCTTCAAAAGCGAGCGCGGCGACTTCTCCAGAAATTAACCTTGACTATGCCACCGGAAATGTGGATTGAGGTAGTTCAGAAACGTCTCGACAATGACAAGGAAGCCCTTCAAATGCAGAAAGATAGAATCAGCAACGAGCAGACGAAGCGGAGGCAGCATCCCAAAGACCAACCCCATCAACATGCAAAGCCCGGACAAGCTCAGGTATGCTTGACGGAAGTTTTATCGCTATGAGATAAAAGCTGACAGATTAATAGTCACAAGCCCTCGATGAGCGCAATACAAAAGCAGGCTCCAAACGCCAGGCCGTCCGGAGTGATACAACCATGAAGACGTATGACACGAAGCGAGCTAGGACGTCGACGGACGTCAGCATGCGCACCCCTGCCTCTATCCTTCATGCAGACTTCCGGGGAGTCACAACCACTGAGCGGCCCAACAACATGCGCGGTCCGCCAGTTCAGGGTCCGCCCAGCCGCATTCCAGTGGCTCGACGCGACAAAGGCCCAGGCAGCAATGGCGGAAGCTTCACTGCCCCCCAGAATATGCCGCCACCACCACCGCAGCGCCGTTGGCCCCTCGGCAGACAACTTCCAGGAAACCGTCCGCGGACCACCGACAATCGCGTGCGCGAACTTGCACTTCCCGACCAAGTACCTGAGACCCGCAAGCGTCGCGACAGTTATACCAACGAACACGACAATGAAGACTAGGGGCAAGGCTGAAGCCTACAGCGTACTAGGATATCTTGCAGCGCTAAGTCACACGTGACTCAGGAGAATACGTGAGCTTCTCATCAGGGCCGGCGTTCCCGCATTCAGGGTTTGAGAGATTGAATCGATATTCTCGTGAGGCGCTATATACCCGTCATTTTCATGTCGTCGGTATGGTTATTGTATGTTTTTCCACATTACTCTCTCATGACTCGCAGTATTGCGCTCCCATATTGAAGATCAGGAAATTTCCAAGAAGCAAAACTATCATTTTCGGAAGCAACTTGATCAAAGAGCTACCGTGACCCTTGTTGTTGGGCTTTCTTTAACGTTTCTGGTGTTTACGAGTTATTAAAAGTGTCTTCCATGATAACAATATTGTTCAAATCCTGTCGCCCTGTCCAAGTTCACCGTTTCTTCAGCAAAGTATCAATAGTCCGGTAGTACGATGAAGACAAACGCTGTCATCACCTGTTCGCGTATACTTCTCTCATTCGACACTAGATCCAAATTGCCGAGCTCGTACATGCGCTCAAACCAAACAATAAAGCGGCAACAAAACAGAAGCTGTAGGCTTACGTATATGGCTTGATACTTACAGTTCATTAAATCACGGCGCTGCCATCTGTTCAGTGTATGATGATGTTGACCACAGATGCTATCCTGATAAGGCCTAGCGTTTCCCCTAGCGCCTCACAGTTAATTGGTCAAACTCTCAATCAGGCACGCAGCACATGTGTGCACAGCCCACGCCGTTAGCAACACGCTGGCCCCCGCCCATCTTCTCCGCCTACGTCTGATACACTTCACACAATTGTCTCTTCGCGATCATAGCAGAACCCCTCTCAGAGACTAGACCCTCACAAGGTCTGACCTTCCGCTGCACGCCGAGCCCACTTTCCTTTCTGCTTGATACCTCGGTAATCCGAGGCGCAAGGCAACGGTGGAGCGAACATGTCTTCCGCAGCCAACCCGGCGTTTGACGACTACCAATACCAGCCACTAGACCATGCGACACAACAAATACGCCTTGTCACGCTTCTGGATCCCCTGGAGAACGACGATGCTATACGTCTCGACATCAAAGTCTTCGAGATTTCAGAAGCCCCGCCATATACAGCCCTTTCCTATGTTTGGGGTCCACCGTCAAACAATGCCATCCACATCGCGGAGGGAAGGCTGGAGATCCGAGACAACCTTTTCAAATTTCTCACCGAGTTCCGGAAATGCAGCGATAAGACGCCTTCAGATCAACATCTTTGGATTGACCAGCTATGCATTGATCAGTCGACTACTTCGGAGCGCAGCCACCAGGTGCAGATGATGAGCGATATCTACAGCAAAGCTACGTCAGTTATTGCTTGGCTAGGCGACGGATCGGAGAAAGCCTGCGAGCCGCCCAAAGTGCTCGCCAAACGCGGATGCGATGAGTTCGAAAACATGTACGATGCTGCATGTGTATGGAAGGATACCGGAGATCCAGTGGCATTGGCTTATATCCTTCACAACGAATACTTCAGAAGACTTTGGATTGTACAAGAGTTCATACTAGCGAGGCAGATCAGGGTCCTTGTGAAAGGCGTCTGGCTGGTGAATGACACACGTGGATGGGAGTGTCGATTTGAAACCCTCGATCACCATCTCTGGCGCTCCATACCTAACATCTCGTATAGTATCATCTGTAAGAGTTCTTTGCGAAGAATCGGTGGTTTCATACATCTCGACATGTTTGCCGCACTGGACATGTATGCGCTGAATAGTTGCGCAGATCCGCGCGACAAAGTCTACGGCTTACTCGGTCTTGTTCGTGTTGACCACCGCGTTACTGTCGATTATGAAAAGTCGAATGATCAACTCTACTTGGACCTGGTTCTAGTTATGCTTCAAAGCCAATGTCTCGACGAATCAGCAGAAGAATCACCCGAGAATGGAGTTGAGGGGGTATGTGTCACAGCTGCTATTGTGATGGACTTCGCATGGGCCGATCAGTACACCTTTAATTGCCACATTTCTAAAATATGTTGTAGTAACAAACTGGGACGCTTTCGTGGTCATGCTTGTCCGATCACCGCAATAGGCTTTGAAGAGGCCGCAATGACTGGTTGTGAGGTAGATCGGTTTTGGTTCGACTTTCAAGGGAGAAGACATTTCATTTACTGCGTACATGAAGTAACAATGGCAGGTGAGACCAAACGACTGTTGGAAGAGGACTGGGAAAAGTATTTTCCTCGAGATCATGCAGATGAGACGAAACGACTGTTGGAAGAGGACTGGGAAAAGTATGTTCCTCGAGATCATGCAGATGAGACGTCGTAACTGTGCGTGCATGGTCATCTTGCAATAGCAAGCCGGACACGTCTTTAGAAGGCCATCGTCGCTTTATAATGGGCTACAAATCTATTTACGTTTTGCTGAAGAGCTGGTTAATGCGACACCCATAAGTGCAATGTCAACACTACGCATCAACATGAGAGCGACATTGCATCTTTTGCCGAACTTTGACCTAGACTTCCATTGTGCAATTTTGGAGCGCTGTGCTTGCGCTGTGATCATAATGCTTTGCTGGCTATCTTTCTTTCACCATAGTCAAAGCGGTTACATAACATCATCTGCCACTTTCCTCCTCATTATGCAACCTATTGACCGCCGCCTACTAAAGAGCAACATCGATATACAGCGACCCAGCAACCCACAACAGCGCAGGAATACCAATGAACATGTCCCAACGACCCAACATCGAGCTTTCCGGCATCACTCCCCAGCGCACAGGCGTCCCCGCCGACCACATCGACCCAAATCACCCCTACTTCCCCCACGACGACGAAGCCCAACTGCCCCCACGCCCCTTCTACAAACGACATTCATTTTTCACTAAGAAGAGATTCCTCATCCCCACCTTCACGATACTCATCACAGCCCTACTCATCGCCGCCCTACTTGGCGGCATCAAAATTGGCCTCTCGAGATGTCCACACGCGCCAGCCCCAGCCTACCAAACAACTACCGTGACACCCACACCAGTACACACAACACAAGACGTAACGACTATAACAACGACGGTGGGTGCGACGCCTACGAAGACGGTGCCGTTCGAGGCGCCGGTTCGACAGACGCCGGTCCAGCCTGTGGCGACGGTGTGTAGTGAAAAGGGAAGTTGGCCGACGGTGGAAGAGTGTAGGGGGAATTGCTTCGCGGATGGGAAGTTGGAGCGGGCGATGTGTGTGCCGTGGAGTGGGGGGTTTACGTGTAGGATTTGCTCGTCGGCGCATGCGTAGGCTGTGTGGGTTGGGGAGGAGAGGGAGGGGAGCTAGTGATTCATGCGTTTTTTCTATTATCATTCTACGTAATTACAAGACGTTGAGAGTAACTACGCAATAAGCCATAGTACCGTGAGCCTTTGCCGTGTCAGCTTGCGGTGCTTGTTTGGGCTCGATCTGAATACTGATATCTCGAGGACGTATTGTCTAGATGTCCGTTTTGACATTAGGATTGTGAATGCAGAGTACACGAGGCTTGAGGAAACTGAAGGTCTCGATTTGAGGAGGCATTCAGCGTCTCTACGTACAATTACTAGACTTGTCAACAGTGAATGGGTGTCTACCATGGTATCACTCATTCACTCCATCTACTAATCGGCCAAACATAATGCAGCCTGGGTTGTCTGAACAAACATCAGATGGTTTTCCAAATTTGCATGTCCTCACGGGTCTTTGGCGCGTCGACAACACGCCCGAAAGCTTCTTCCAGGCGCAGGATAAGAACTGCCCTAATACGCCAGTGACTGCGCAACTCCTCGGACGCGAAGCACCAGAAGTGAATGAGCCTTTTGAGGCCTTTTTCTGCAGGCAGTGACGCGCGCACTGTCCCAATTTGTTAAGCCTTGTTTTGAGACCTTGAGTTTTCCCCTTCCTTGGCGTACATCTTGCTCATTTCTCTGCGTGACCAGCTGCGACACCGTCACCACACCTTGGAGCCTCTACTCTCAGAATTAGTGACTTGGTCATAACAACCTTTTCGATCTGGCGCGCGCAGGATTGTAACGCGTGATATCTGCGCATCTGACTTCGCGACTATACCCGGCAAACATAGTCGACGTCGCGCCGTAAGTGTTGAACCGTTCGATTTCCGTGCGCAATACCAGCGATGCAACCTTTTGAGTCGTCTCATCTGTCTAATCCGACGTTTGAAGCGCATTGACTGACACATTTCTCTGAAGGGCTATTCCACCTCTTGCCACGACTGTTCCCACTCAGCGCATACCCCCACGCTTCCAACACATAACTTGTACGCATCCGATAAACCTTCACAAAAGGACAAAAACGCATGAATATGGCGCCCCACCTGATCGGCAGCCTGGCCCGCGAGGTTCCCAGCGCGGCTGCGGTCCCAACACCCCAGAGCAAGATCAAGATCAAGATGCCCGTCAGCAGCCCACCGGAACACCTTTCGGGTGCCGAATCCATCCCAGTTGATGAGGATAGCGGTGGCGAACTGTCGGACGACCCTGCACCATACGCCGGTCGAGAGCTAGTCAACAAGGAGCTCACATCGAAAGAGACGTTCGCGCCCCACGACACTGACCCCACCAAGATCGAAGCGACTTTCAAGATCCAAATGCCTGATGGCAAGAGCTGGTTCACCCAGAAGAACGTGATCCCAGAGAAGCGCGAATCCGCCGACCGTGACTTGTACGAAGCCGATGACTGCATCTTCTTCCCTGACCTCGAGAGCTGCAAGGTCCCCAAGAAGGACAAGGAGAAGAAGAACAACCCCGTGGTGGAGTGGAACAAGATTAGCGAGAACCGTTGGGAGCGGACTTTCAAGGGCATCCATGAGGTCTTCACCCCAAGCATCGCCCTCCGCCGCTTCAACGCCCGTACCCGCGCATATGAACACGTCCACGTTGGCCAGTCGAAACTCACCAACATCGACCCCAACGACAAGAAATGGAAGGACGCATACAACAAGTGGATTGACCAGATCTCGCGCCGGTCCAACGCCGCCTACGAAAAGAAGAAGAACCGTGATCACTGGACCGTCCCAGAGATCTGCGCCATGTACACTGGCATCAACGACTTCGTACACACCAAGGGTTTTGACGCGTACGACACCATTACCACCGCCGACTTGGCCAAGATCGTTGAAGCCATCAACAAGGCTGGTGGAAAGAATCGTGGTCTGGACGCTCTCCGAGGACAGATCACGTCTGCTCATGAGACGAAAAACAAGACGATGGCGTATCTTCGTGAGAACGCCCGAGACTTTCGACTGCTGGTTGAAGGTGGCGGCGTGGTGAGCAATGAGGAGCGGTACCCTAAACACATGATCCCTCTGTCAGAGTTTCCAGTTGAGAAGCGCGCCAATCATCGAAAGGGCACCGGTAAGCCCAAGACATACAAGCCCAAGTTCCGATCTGTGAACACACAGACTGGTGATGATATTGTGGTTCACGAAGACTACGACGGTGCCGGCATTACTTCGACTGCAAGCAAAATCTCCAAGAAACGCAAGCGCGATGCTCCGTCATCCGGCAGCGACGAAGTCGAGGATCAGACTGAGCTTCCTGCTGACGAGAGTGACGAAGAGGAAGTCGAGCATGGCTACGGAAGCGACGCTGGCGAATCCTCAGACGAGGAGGAAAACGGTGGTGAGATCGAGCACGTGAAGGTGGCAGAGGATTTGGAGGAGACCGCGGACGTCAAGGCCGAGAATATGGAGGTCGAGGACAAGGAGCCTGAGGTCGTCAAGGCAGCGGACGTGGAGGCCGACGCACTTCCGCCAGCCAAGAAGCCACGTGTGACTGACCACGCCATGGAGCTCGCCCGCCAGATGCTCGAGGAAGATTCTGATTAGTAGCTGACCGACACACCTGACACGGTCGAGATCAAGATAACGGCCCGAGGCTGGGGTAGCGAAAGCGCGGTAAAAGTTCGATGCGGGCGCTGAAGTTAGAGGAAGGTACAAACGACGTTGTCAAATATTGAATAAACGCACAGCAACAAAGCGGCTTCACCACTAGCGACTATTAGCAACAAACGTACGCATGGATAGCATACTGTAGGCGCAGAATGGATGAGAACAGAACCTGGCGTGACCCTTGTGCGTGACTACACATGCCGCTCGAGTGACACGATGCTGCTGATGGTGAGAGACATGATAGTCTGCCAATATCTGAATTGAGCGTTGAGCGAGAAAGATGAAGGATGATAAGAAGTCGGGACTGACGAGGAGAACGCGTATGGCGATGGCACGTCGCTGTGTCGCATGATGGAAGGCACGATCCATTGCATTGCGCTGAATATGTAGAGAAGAAGAGGTTCATAATGCTATCCAACAAGCTGTAGCCGGTTTGATCAGGAAACTTCGATAAACTTGATGGCACGGATGAAGATGATGAGCGTTGATGGCACGCGAAGACGATAGGTGAGAATGAAAGGAGGTGCGAAGATCGATACGGCAGGCGCGACACACCTGCCCCGCAGCATCGCCCACAAAAGCACACTAACCGCAGAGCCTTCCCCCACCAAAGGAAACTTGACGCGACATCCCGACTCATTGCAATTTTTGCATAAATTTCAAGACTTGCGTTCGAAAACAGAGCGAAAGTCACTCTAGAAGACATGTCAGACACCGAATCGGACACCGCGAGCTCTGTCGGCAGCATCGTCGAAGACGCAAGCGAGCCGGATACGACTACTTTCAAAGATCTATTTTCGGATCGACAATGGACTCGTGTGTCGGACATGGTAGAGCACAACAAAACTGAAAATGGATTTGATCTGCCCGCAACGATCAAAGGACTTGGACCAGGTACGACTCACAATGTTGAACGCTCATCTACACGTTCTACGCCTTACCCTTTTCGGATGACTACTGACTGTCTGCACTAGACGCGGACGAGATCACCATCATCAAGCTGATCAACTACCTCCGATCAGAAGCACAAAAAGGCACAGATCCCAAGAGTATCAAAGTAACTCTAGATGATCTCACAAGCGACAAATATCTACAGCCAGTATTGGAAGATGACGCCTTACTCTTTGAACTCGGAGATCTCATGCCAGATGACGATAGCAAGGCTATCGATTACGACGAGTATGAAGCAAAGATGCACAAGGACATGCAAGAAGACTTTTCCAAGATCAAGCTCACCAACGATCGGGACCAGGACTACTTCGAATCGTACAAGGGCAACAGCATCCATCGTGAGATGATCGAGGATCGCGTACGAACAGAAGGGTACCGTGACTTCATCGAGAAGAACGCCGAGGTTTTTGCTGGAAAGACTGTGCTTGACGTCGGATGCGGTACTGGTATCTTATCCCTCTTCTGCGCACGTGCAGGCGCGAAGAAGGTGTTCGCAGTCGACAACTCTGGCATCGCTGTCCGCGCGAAGGAGATCATCGCGAAGAACGGATACCAGGACCGTATTGAACTGATCCAAGGCCGCGCGGAAGACTTCAACACCCAGCGGTTGATTGGCAAGGAGAAGGTCGACATCATCATCTCGGAATGGATGGGCTACGGTCTCCTCTTCGAAGGCATGTTGGATTCGGTCCTGCGCGCACGCGACATGTACCTCAAGCCTGACGGCATCATGGTACCATCCCACTGCAACATCCGTCTTGCACCAATCTCGGATGCCGACTGGATAGCAGACAGCACGAGCGAGAAATTCTGGAAGGACATCTATGGGTTCGACTTTTCACCTATGATCCCGGGTGGTCTGCTCAACACACACGAAATCGGTGTCTTTGACGTGCCTGAGAAGGCGCTCTGCGGCACTGCCACGAGCCATCTGCTGGAGATGAAGACTGTGTCTGTGCAAGATCTGAGCTTCAAGGTGCCTCTTCGCATGACACTCGACCGCGACATCACATCCATCCAGGCCATTGCGATATGGTTCGACACAATCTTCATCCACCCTGGCAGCTCCCAGGATGTTAAGACGCTTGACAACGTTGATTGGGGCAAGAACGGTATCCCGGGTCTGGGCTTCTCAACAGGTCCGAGCAACACACCTACACATTGGCATCAGGCAGTCCTGCTGCTTGATCCAGAAGTCGCGGAGAAGCAAGCATATAAGAAGGGCACGGTATTGGAGGGTACCCTGACGTATGCGAAGGAGAAGGGCGATGATCGCGGTATTACCGTAACGGTGGAGTGGAAGGGTAAGGGCGAGCAGGATGAAGTTGAAGGAAAGGTACAGAGAACGATGGCCTAAGTCATGCGCGAGTATGAACGAGAATAGATGTAGACACCAGTTACCACAAAGACGCGTCTATGTAGCCTAAGCGCGACACGTCGATGCCGGGCCGACATTTCTGATTTCGCGCTAGTGTTCCGATTCCGAAATGCATGCGGAAGGCTGGCAGGAACCCCGAGGCGTCGACAATGCATCTTGACTCCGCACAACACCCCATCTGTTGCGATAGGGCAGTATATGTCCTTCCCCACCCGTTCGACTCGCTTGCAACAATAGCTGTGCCGCATCTCTTCTCCACGATTGCCGATGTCCGAGGTGACGACATACCACGTGGATCGTGCGCGTGAGCTTCAACATTCTAGGAACCCTAGGTGTCGCATCTCGTACCGCGAGACACCGGAAGCTTAATATACGCCCACACGTACTACTGCCGACTGGACGCTACTTGACATCCAGCGACTGCCTAATAATGCGCAATCAACGGTAGTCGAGCTCGATAACTTCTATGCGCGGTATCCTCCCTGGGCGACCCCAGGCTAAGCTCCAAGCTGTCGCTCATGGCCTGTGGGAAGGCCTCCAGATAATCGTATGACTATACCTTTGCGACGCGCACAAAGACTGACTTGCGCTTCGTGTAGGTCTACATCTCCGGTAACGCGCTGATCATCCTCGATCGACCCAACCACGTCCTCCAAACCATCTACATCGACGAGGAATTCGAGCTTGAGGCAGTCGCGATCGACGAAGGCACCGGCAAGCTCGCGGCATGTTCGACGCGACACATATACATATATCGGCCATACGGGCAGGATGAAGGCGCGATCAAGGTGGGCACACAAGGAGGGGCAGCGAGGAATGACTGCTGATATGCGCAGTGGTCGCAACAGGGCAGCACGTCCCTGTCTGACGCCGATGACACGATAACGACCCTTTCATGGGGCATGCCAGACGAATTACTCGTGGGCAGCGCATCCCTCACCCTCTTCAACACCCACAGCGACATTGAACGGATCTGGACAAAGCAGCTAGCGAACCCCGTCAAGTTCGCCCACTTCTCGCCCGATGCCGAGTTGATAGCTTCGACAGGCAGGTACGACCGCCTCCTCAAGATATGGCGACGCACGTCTTTCGGTTCGGCGGATCAGAGCTTCGACTACTTCTACCTCCCACACCCCAAGGCCATCACAGGCTTGCATTGGCGACACCCGTACCACAAAGACCAGTCCACGGACAACGTACTCTACACAATATGCGCGGACCAGAAGGTGCGAGTCTGGGTACCAGGAGAGCATCACGGCGTAGACGGCATGCACATGTGGGCTGAGGTTGACCTCGTCGAGTCGATAATGTCACGGCATGTGCCACTGGAGCAGCAGTCGAAGAAGCGCTATGCCTTCTTCATCGACGGCAAACACTTTACGCACGCGACGGAAAGAGCGATGCAACAGGCTTCGGCAGAAGAGAAAGACCACGGCATCGCGCTGCATCACCTGATAGAAGTCGCGAACCGCAACCCGGAGATATGCGTTGTGCTGGATGATAGAGGCAATATGTCTGCGTGGGGTTTTGAGAACGTAGGGGCAAAACAGAAGAAGGTCACCGACGTCTTCAACATTGCGCATGTCGATGGACTTCATCTACACTTCGCAAAAGTACCGAAACCCATCGAGGACAATGTACAGTTCTACGCATTCATCGGCGACAAGCCCGACTCTGAGTTGACCCTGCTATCGCATCACTTTGACGGGCGAATCGAGTGGCTAGAGTCGCGCATCGACTATCTGTTCGACCCTTCGTCACAGCCACAGCGCATTCAGCGTAAGGCTATGTGGACGGGACACTCACATGCCATCAAGAAGGTCAATCGCACAGCTAGCGGAAGAGCATTGGTATCGCGGACCACGACAGATGAATGTATTGTATGGCTACAGCGGCAGAGCGATCAGGGCATGACGTTACATCGACACTGCAGCGTCAAAGTGACGGAGCACATCCATCGTACTGCTCTCTTGCAAGAGGGTAACTTCATTGTCTTCCTACATCATGCCGAGATCTCGCTTTGGGATACCCGTGGTCATGAGGCCGTTGAGATGACACGGCTCGCATATAAACTCCAGGGCAAACCTCTTTGTTTGCTAGTGATACCAGAGGTCGAAGTTGGCGGACAGCGCATACATATCGCCACCATCAGTGCCGAGATGAAGGGTATCTGCTGGGAGGTCACACTGCCAAAATCGGAGCGAGATGCACTTTCGAGTGAGGAACAGCCCGCCATCGCGCACACCAATGGCTATACCAACGGTCATTCAGAGATCACGCTCAACGAGTTTTCCACATTTAACCTTGGATCTGGCGACGACCTTGCCTTTGTACTGCCTGTAGACCCCGCTGGTACAGCACCCGTCATCTCGGGTTTCCTTGACACCTTTGCTCGGGATGTAGCCATCTCATACACAAAATCCGGAATCATCAAGTCCTGGACTGCGCGCGTCAGCATCGAAGACCGAAAATTGGACTGGCTGTTGACTTCGGAGGTCGAGACTGGCGTTAAGAACCCATCACTTGCTAGTGGCACGTCGATACGTAAGGCTGCGTTGGCTGATGCTGATCGAACTACGCTCACTATATGGAACACCCGAAGCGCCCAGTTGGAACATGAAGAGACATTCGAAGGCAGCGGAAGCATTCAGGATCTCGACTGGTCTTCTACTCCCGACAATCAGTCCATACTTGCTGTTGGCTTCCCCCACCGTGTCGTCATCTACGCCCAGCTGCGATACGATTACCTCAACGCCGGTCCATCCTGGGTACAGATCAGTGACGTGCGCATTCGCGACATCACGCCACATCCGATCGGCGATTCGGTATGGCTAAGCAGTGGTAATCTGGTCATTGGCGCAGGCAACCAGCTCTTCATTCAAGATGAGCATGTCCAGGTGTCCGAAGGGCTATTCCCTAGCTTACGTACCATCTCACGGAAGACGGCATCTATTGACATCTTCGATGCGGTTAGCAGACTCAACGGTCCTCTACCCGCGTACCACCCCCAGTTACTTTCACAATGCGTCTTGGCTGGCAAATTACTATTGGTGCAGCGCATCTTGATCCGGCTTTACAGTACACTCAAGTTCTGGATCGAAGGCGAAGAGCTTGACAGCTCGTTGGGATTCGCACCTGAAGACTTCTCAGAAGCTGAGGCATGTATATGAACAGCTCTATCTAGATGTAACTAACCTGTGCAGACTCAAATGACTGCATCTCGAAAAGAGGTGCATTCATCATATGCCGATTTCTCTGACGACAGCGAGCCTGAAGCAGTCACCGAAGAAGTCGCCTCTAGTCTCAAAGAGCTCCTGACCACTAAGCGGATACCGCTCTTGACTAGTCGTGAACAATTTCGCTTGGCCGACATCATCGAGTGTATTGGTATGGTGGAGAAGCATCGACGATCGATTGACGATAACGCTGGTCGCTTCTTGCTGTTCTTCCGACAGCATGTACTGAGTGAGACGCACAAGGGACCCATCTCGTGGCGCGAGATCATCTGGGCGTTCCATTCAGGTAGCCAGGATATTCTTGTCGACCTTGTCAGCAGGCACTTTAGCGGGAAGATGATGTGGCAGCACGCAAAGGAGTGTGGAGTGTTCATGTGGATGTCCGACATCAACGCATTGGTACAGTATCCTCTTCCTTGTCGGTAGAAAATGCTAACGACACCTACAGCGCGCCCAATTCGAGGTCATTGCTCGGAACGAGTACACGAAGACCGACGAAAAGAACCCCGTCGACTGCGCCCTATACTACATGGCCCTCCGGAAGAAGCCGGTTCTAGTGGGTCTCTGGCGAATGGCTACTTGGTCGAGAGAACAGGGCGCAACACATCGACTATTGTCGAACAACTTCAACGAAGACCGCTGGAAGACCGCTGCACTCAAGAACGCGTACGCATTGATGGGCAGGAGAAGATTCGAGTATGCTGCATCGTTCTTCCTTCTTGCAGACCATCTACAAGACGCTGTCAGCGTTCTCCATAATCAGCTTGGTGATACCCAGCTCGCCATAGCAGTTGCCCGCGTCTACGGTGGTGACGACTCACCCATCCTGCTGGACTTCTTGAGAGACAAGATTCTGCCCCAAGCTGCTAGAGAGGGCAATCGATGGCTCGCAACATGGGCATACTGGCTATTGAACAAGAAAGACATGGCCGTTCGCTCGCTGGTAACACCGCTGACCTCTCTACTTGAGACTTCCGAGCCCCCCAGTTCAGCCGCTAAATCGTACCTCACCGACGACCCTGCCCTGGTAGTCCTGTACAAGCAACTCCGCGAGAAGTCGCTCCAAACATTACGCGGAGCCACAATGATAGGCATGCGCGAAGAATGGGACTTTGTGCTACACACCGCTGGCCTATACGACCGCATGGGCTGCGACGTCCTCGCCCTCGATCTAGTCAAGACGTGGGAATTCTTACTCCCACCACCGCCGACAAAAGCAACATCCGGCCGTCCACCGCTAAGCCCCTCGATGCCACGACAGAGCTATCAATCGCAAGGGAGGAATCAATCTGCGACGGACTTTGACTTTGATCCTAGGAAGCTACTTCGCAGGAGGAGTTCGCTTGTTATTGCCGATTTACCGGTACGAGAGCATGCTCACAATGATTTGGCGGAAAGTAAGGGGACGCTGGAGGAAAGTAGGGAGAGTGATGAAGAGGATGGCGAGGAGGATGGTGAAGAAGAGGGGGAGCAAGAGGACGAAGAGGATAAGAAGAATGATGAGAAGCCTAAGGAGGAGCCGAAGAAAAAACCGCCGCCGACTCAGTTCAATGAGCCGGATGCGAATAGTTTGTTGGATGCTTTCGGGTTTTAGCAGAGCTGGTTGGTTGGTATATTGTGGTGCTTCTACGAAGGTTTCGGGATAGTGGCATGGCTGGGTGTTCTGAGCGGTACTTGGTAGGTATAATAGTTGGTGCATGTATCCTGCACGTGGCTGCCAGTATCAAATCACAGGCCTTGTTGTTTTATTCAAGATCGTCAAGTTATGGAGATTGTGTATTACATCAGCCGCAAAACACGATATTGATGTCAGATACTTGTAGCAACGCATGAAATTAAAGAGGCGTGGCGATATCAAAATTGATCTAGAATAAGCCCCGAGGGTTGTGCTCGAAAAGTGGGTGTGATTAATAGTGCAATGCAAGATCCGCATGTAAAGATAGGTAAACCAACGGGTATCTTTTCTTAGTGTGTCATACTAAATAGTGCTGGGAGCTGCGTTACAAGTTACCAAACGAGTGCTCCATGTCATCCTGCCTCATCCATCAAGCTAACAGACTAGACAAAGAATGCAGCAGCAGCAGCGCCAAGTCCAGCCAACAGCGGCGCACCCCTGACCATCGGCGCACCAGCCTCCGTCACCTCAGGCACAGGCGCAGTCCCAGAAGCACCTGTCGCGTTTGAGGGAGCACCCGTAGACATGGCACTCGACATCGTCGGAGTAGCCGCAGCAGTAGCCTCCAACTTCTCCGTCCCCGCAGTGATAACAAGGTAGTAAGTCCCGAACTCTGTTCCTGAGAGCTCCCCTACGGAAGTATAACCTTCGTCAGGCGTACCACTCTCACTGCAAAAGGCTGACCGGGTACCAGTCGAGATAGCAGAGCCATAGCCATAGCTCAAAGTCTGCCTGACTGTCTCTGTACCTGCAGGCTCTGACCCGCGCGCAGGGAAGGTGTGTGTTCTTGACCAGACCCTTTCACTCGTAGAAGGGTAAGTGGGGTTCTCGCAGAGTTGCCGAGCGATTTCTGGGGGGTACGACACAGTACATGTACGGTTCGACCCTACTTCTTCGGGGGTCGGCCAGGAGCAGTCGAGTGAGTAGGTGTCCTCCTCCTCATCGCCACTAGCAGCAAGGCCAATGTTGATCTTTGTTCCGTAAAAGTCGGGGCCAATGGTCAAAATCTGGGGAGTATCGGCAGCGAGGCTCAGAGCGGATGTATCGGTGCCTTCGTCGTAGTCAACAGCAACGGTGGTGTGAGTTCCGTTGGCGTCGATGACGGAGCCGACGAAACCGATGTTGTCTGTTCCTAGCCCATAGATGGGCATCCAGAAGGAGGTTGTGACTTGGGCTGATGCGCTGGCTGCGAACAGCATGGTTGAGAGGAGGGGTGCCATTGTGGTGGTGGTGGATGCAGGTGTAGTGAAAGATGATTCGTGATATGCACAACACAAACCTTTTCTTAAGAGGTGTTTACGTCCCTTTAAGCATCGTAGGGTTATAGTAGGGCATCCTCACCGGTTAGCCAAGCCCAGGGCGCAGTATCTTGGCTTGGACGGTTACAGCGGCTATCATCTCAATGGGTTGGCGTTCTGCTCAAATGACTGGAATGTGGCGGAAAACCTTCTGTGTTGGTATACCACACATTGGCGCTGGTGGCCTGATTTACAACAGAGCCTAAGTAACTCGGGTCTCGTGTGCATTTCATGGTGATTGGCCTGCTTAGCGATGCAATTGCGGCTGTGCCTGGCTGTCACGGCTGTATAATCCGGGGGCGCGATGAGTGGAACCCGCATGGATAAACGGCAGACATCATCCGTTGTGTTAGCGATGTGGTTCAGTGACTTAACGACTAACCTGTTGTGAGGCCTCTGATCGGTGTGGCATACCAAGATCGCTTGCCTTACAAGCCAAGACCTATAGGGGGCTGTGAAAAGGTCGTCCCGTGTAACCTCGACCCGAAGCATCGCAGCAACACTCTGCTAACTTCGATGGGGCGACACAACTTTTGATGGCGACCTTTTCGTCGACTTGTGAGTGCGCCTCTTTCCCACGCGCCGTGAACCCTATCACGATTCGAACAAAGCCGTGCAATCATAACAGCGCAGAGAATAGGGGTTGGTGAGTCTTCGAAACCCTAACAGCGAGCTGATTGGTGAGCAAAGTCACACTCGCTCGCAGCATTGAGCACTTCATGTCGGAGATGGAAGTGAGGACGTTCTCGTCAACGTCCGTGAAAATCGAACTAGCATGACACTGATAGACGAATAATGTGTGCTAGTAGCGGCGTGGTGTTCGAGAGGTTGATGAGTAGCTGTGTCATTGATTTCTGGTAGATGGTGCTCGGTAGCCCAGCAGGACTGAGCGTCACGTGATCGGAAAGTGGGTCCGCCTCGTTCGGCTTGAAGGTATTGCCGAGTGCGCGTCATCGCGCCGGATTGGTAATCCATCTCAACACGCGTCGAATGAAGGCGATATAGTGTGTAACGTCGCACTTCAACACCATATACTTACCACGATGCCTTCTCAACGCGACTTAGAGGGCGGTAGCGTGCCAGACGAGCGCGCGCCCTTGCTCTCGCATGATGCCGCGCGTCAGCACACGCCCACACCATCGGAAAGCGACGAAATCATCGACCAGCCGGAAAAGGCAGCGTCCAAGACCTGGTATTATATTTGGAGAGGCATGCTTGCCGTTTTCGCGATACTGGTCGTTGCTGTCTTCATCAAAGGCTGGATAGAGGCCGATGACGTCGATGTACGTTCCTATGCACTGTCGCGGCACATGCAAACTTCAAAAGCTCACATCATGCGTAGTTCGATCTCAAGGGCGCATTGAAGCGTGCATTGGGTGGGGGTTTGAGTGGTGCTGCGGCGATGATACTGCAAGTGTTGCTGTTGATGCCCATCCGTACGATCATGAACTACCAATATCGCCACGGAACATCAACGACTGTCGCGACTAAGACTCTGTATGCAGACGGTGGTATAGGCCGATACTACCAAGGCATGGGTGCTGCACTCTTCCAGGGGCCCATCGCTCGATTCGGAGACACAGCCGCCAACGCTGGTATCCTGGCCTTGCTGCAGTCCAACGGCTTCTTGAAGCAGCTTCCATCACCCATCCAGACAATCTTTGCATCGGCGTGCGCTGCAGCTTTCAGGATGCTACTAACACCAATCGATACCTTGAAAACTACCTTACAGGCCCAGGGTGCTAGTGGCTGGGGTCTACTCCGGCAGCGCATTAGGACCGACGGCATCGGCTCTCTGTGGTGGGGTGCTTTTGCGACCGCAGCAGCGACCTTCGTTGGACATTACCCCTGGTTCGCCGTCTACAACTTCCTCTCTGAAACTATAACAGAGCCATCGAGACAGCAGATCGGATGGTGGTTACTACGGGCGGCTTTCATCGGTTTCTGCGCTTCGGTCGCTTCGGACACAATATCGAACTCGTTACGCGTTGTGAAGACATATCGACAGGTCAACGATACAAGGATATCTTATACTGAGGCTGCCAAGCAGGTCATCCGTCAAGACGGCAGATTGGGTCTATTTGGGCGCGGATTGAAGACGAGAATCATCGCCAACGGTCTGCAGGGCATTCTATTCTCCATCCTGTGGAAGCTGTTCTTGAAAATCTGGGAAGACAAGACGTGTTGAGCTCGACTGCGATTGGACCGATATATTTGAGACAAATGAATTTCGGCTTGACTACGGCAACGTGCGACTCATACGTACAACGAGACCTCTTCTTCGACGTGCAAGATCAACGCTGACATGCGTACTGGGGACAAAGGTACCGGCTTAGACATCTCCGTATCCGATACTAATCCTGATTACCTCAACTTATTCGCTTCGTCTTCTTCGCCATCGTATCCCCCGCGTCGTTCTCATCCCGCTTCCTCTTCGGTGACGGTCGCCTGCTCTTCTTCCCCTCAGCATCCAAAGCCGCATTCTTACCAACCTCAGTCGGGTCGTCAACCGCAACCGACTCATCCACCTGAAACTGCCTCAGCTCGTCCTCTGTCACGTTCGGAACAAACAAAACACCGCCTGTCTTCCCTTCTAGAAGTCCTCTCATGTTCTTCCTCTCTGTGGCAACCTTGCTAACCCTGCCATCGAGCTTTCCCCGGATGGATGACACGTCGCGCTGTGGTCTGGAAGGTGCATCAGCACCGTTCGCGTCTTTGAGTACCTTGCCCTCGAAAAAGGCGTTGAACGCCTCCATCACGGAGACGGGACCTGGGAGCTTGATGACGTGGCCCGCATCGATGGTCGCGCGCAGCTTCCTGTGGAAGAGCGTCATCCAGGCGTCCTCCAGTGGTGTGTACGGGTAGGCAGCCTTCTTGGTGCCGATTCCATGTTGCTTGAAAACGTCGGTGCGCCATTGTGTTATCGCGACGATCTGGGGCTTGGACTTCCAGTCGATGTCATCTTGCTCGACGTCGGTGTACGTGACGGTCTTGGACTCACCGGTCACGTTGTTATGGAGCTTGATCGTGAGCTTGTGGACCGACTTGTTGCCCGTCCGCGGGGCGTCGATGTTGCCGTCTACCACCTCCCATCCGCTAGCTTCATCTGAAGAGGAAGCAGGGCTGGAGCTTCGCTCAGCTTTAGCGTCGACCTTGAGGTTATCGCGACCGGTGTCTTTCGTCAACTTGTCTCCCGTGGCCGGCGGTTGGGCGGATGTCTTGGTAGACTTCTTTGGCGATGGCAAAGACTTTCCAGGTCCCGCGGGCTTGTCAGGCGAGGAGCCGAAGACAACTTTGAGTTCCTTCTTCTTCGTTGTCTTGAGTTTGGTTTGAACACCTGTCTTCTTGTTCTCCGTCGCAGAGTCAGATTCATCCCCGTCTTCGACGTTGTTGATGTAGTTCAGGTAGCCGTTGTGCCTGAAGTACTTCTCGTCCAGTACATCATCAGTATCCTCCGGCTCTCTCAAAGGTTTCGCATCGTCAGCAGGATCAGATGGGAAATCAGCCACCGAGTCTTCATCGCCTTCGTCGGGTATGTCGCCTGCGTGCGCCGTTGATGGCTCGTCTGTGGGCGTCTCTTCGAGAAAGTCTTCGTCGAAGTCTGGATCGTTGATGGGCCGCCATCCCGAGTCTGTCTGGAAACCGGTGGTATCCCACGAGGGCTTATCTATGGGTATCTCCTGGCTGAGGTTCTCGCCGAACGCTGGGTCGTTGATAGACCGCCATCCAGACTTGGTCGGAAACCCGGCAGGGTCCCACGAAGACTTGTCGATGGGTTGCCATTCTGAAGTGGGAGACGCCTTGAGCTGCCCAGGGGACGACTGCATCTCCTGCGGTAATATCAGTGTCTCCAATTCCGCCAGGTCTTCCTCTTCGTCCACTGTATCATGGTGGTCGTCCATCTGAATCGGCCCCATCTTCTCTTGCCCAGCGGTTTCTGTGGCGTCGAGGTCTTGGATATCGGAGAGGCGGCGTGTAGAGCGCGGGAGTGGACGATTGCGGCCGATGTTAGCCGTATGCGATGAGCGTGTAGGACTCCTAGTGGTATTATCGGTGTGGCTAAAAGCGTCAACGAAGCTACCGGTCGCGCTGTATCCTTCCGGCTCAGTGATCTCCTTTTGAAGGTCTCCCGCAGAGGCGCGAATCCCGGTATGGGGTGGAGACGACGGCGGATCCACGTCAAGATTTGTGGTTGGTGTCTGGCTCATGGTGTAGGTTGCGATTGTGGTTGGGGTGGAGCAGTTGCGCTGGTGGTGTGATTTGCGGTCGGAGTAATGGGCAGTCCGAGTTGCAATGACTGTGAAGTCGAGTGATGCGGGAGGGCCGCGGCTGGGACGATGGTGAACGAATGCTCTGGTAGGTCATGCTCTATGCGAGTAGGACGTGGTGGACACCCCTTCCTTGTTTATGTCAGCACGCCGAACTACCGCACGGTTCTGGAGATGTATCGGAGCTAACCGTTGACGAGACCGGCGTAGAGGTCACCCATCAGCTTGGCACTGATTAATGCCGCTGCTTACGCTTGATCTCAATCTCGACATCTTCTCGACGCCTCCGAACACGACCGCTGCACAGCGCCCCCTACGCTGCACAGCGCCCCCTACGCTGTGCGCTCACACTTCGCTTGTACGCACCTCCGAGCGCCGTATCCGCATCCAAAGACACCCGTTGCATGCGCTGAACAAAACTTCACAGACGCCATGGCCCCAGCCAGCAGCAAGAACCACCCCCCTTGGGCGACGACTGAGCAGACCTCTGCGCTGAGAGCCCACGTCGTCCTTCAGCGGCACAAAATGGTGGTACCTCCAAAGATCCTACCAGACGACGTTGAACGCGCCATTCAGATCCTGGATCAGCACGACCCGTCGACAGCGAAAGCGGATGCTAAAGACCTCGAGCCAATTGATTACGCCAAATACGCGATCAACGACCACTTGCGGCCAATGGCTCTCGCAGCTGGCATGCACAACCTCCATCAAGAAGGAATAAAGAAGGGTAATCTAGTCGACCTACTGACAGACTGGGATTTACAAAACGTCCCGCTTATAGCGGCTCTGCTACCGCGCTCGGACAAGGCCACTAAACCCGCCATCCCTAAGAGGGTTGTTCCAACGCAGAAGAAGGCCGAAACGGAGCCAGCGGAGTCGAAGAAGCGCAAGGCTGTGCCGACCAAAGTCACAGCATCCAAGAAGCCCCGGAACAATGCCAACGATCCTCCAGAGGACCCCGACGTCGCAACGAAGGACCGAAGCGAATCAGATGGCGGCGATTCCCTCCCACAAACTGCTATCGAGGGCAGCACATCAACTCGAACACCGGCTCAGGCGCGAACGCGTCTACGCAAGCCTCGAAACGGTCAGTCACTTGCCGCCAAGACGTACCTCGAAGCAGACAGGGGCATGGCTGCACTGTCGCTGAGGGAGTTTGGGGAAGACAAAGGCAATAGTACGGACGATGCATTGACCCACAAGCGCGAAGAAGACGACAAGAGGCTCGAGGCTGAGGTTGAAGAGGTGCAAGTGCCAGCTCCAAGGCGACATGGCACTAGAAGCCAAGCGGGTGGGCGCGGCAACGGCAAAAAGAACACTACTACTACTACTGCTGCGGCTATTCCAGCCCGAAAGAGGAGGACTGCCGAACAGGTCGCGGAGGACAAACGCCTCGAGGAAAAAGAGGAGGAGCAAAAGTTGCACAATGCACGGCGGCTTGGTGGCTACTCCGACCCTGAACTCGCCGAGACCTTTCGCGTCATGCATAAGACGGTTCTGGTCCCGATGCATGGCCAGATGCAGGAAGGGGTTGAGCCAGTGCCGACTGATCAGCTAGGCATGCGGGAGTTAAGGGAGAGGCTCGTTGATGAGGCCAGGAAGGAAGGACGCGTAGTGGAGATGTAGATTGACGGAGGAGCATCACCACATCACTTGTCATGAACAGGACATCGAGAAGATGTCCTCGAACGTTGAGGCTTGGGATTTCTTTGTCTTGCGAGAGGTATATAGGGCGCGACGAAAAGCCATGCACTTCTTTGGATGTACTGACTTTCTCTTTGTCTCTGAGTTCCACATTTCGGGACAAAGAATTAGGAAACCGTTCTTATGTTCGGCGGCTGTATCAGCAATGGATTGCGTCTTCATACAAAATTGATTGCGAACATCACCTCCTTTGCCACAAAAAGATCTTCTCGTGCAAGCCGACAGTCAGCTTCAGTGATGCCACCGAAAGGCCGTGGCAATGATGCCAATGATGCCGATGATAACTCGCAAAGTCCACCCAATGAGAGACGGCCAGGGTTACGAAGCCGATCCAAGTTAAAGACCACAGCCCGCAACGACGACACCGTCCAACCACCCTCGTCTCCAATCAACAGGCCCGCTGCGGCAGGAAGCTCAGCAGTACCAACCAATGAGATACAACAGAAAATTAACGACAAGCAAAAGTCTCTTCAAAACGAACTTCAGAAAATAAGAAAGGCGGCAGAAGACTCGGGCTCACGAGAGAATCAACAGACACGCTTAAAGGCCACCATATCGTATGAAGACTATCTCTACTATCAAACACCAGAGTACAGGAAGCAATATCGCGAAGACATCGATGCCGCCGTCAAGGACAGAGCGAAACTAGCTTTTGCGAAAGGCCATGCTCCTGCAAGACTGACGGATGACAAAACGTACGACAGAAAATTAAGGAGCTACCTGAAGGACTTCGAAAATAACGGAGTAGGTATGCTCCAGAATCTACATTGGCAGAGCATGCCGCCCGATCAGCTACGTATGCGTACTCCAAGAGCGGAAAGGTTCCCGGTGGGACTAGGAGAGCAGTTAGGAGGGGTGCCGATGGAACCTTACAACTTATTCCTCGACACCGACGCCATCGAGAAGAAAAGAAAGGAGGTAGAAGATCAGAACAAAGATCCAAAGATGAGTGAATCTCATTCCGAACGACGGGCACGCGAGACGGGGCTCTCAGAAGGACTACCGATAGATAGTCATGTTAATGACGCATTATCAACAGTCAAAGATCTCAGCAGGACGCGACTGGAGAGTGGCCTGTTCATCTCAGCGGGCGAGACTTGGGACGACTGGAAGACCTTGCACGAGCGAGAAGCACCGGATGGGCTTTACGACGAACTGGTAGAGGAGGAGATGCTAGATGATGACAGCGACTCTAGTGACGACGAGAACGACTTGTTTGCAGTCAGTTACCGCGAGTGCAGTGGTTTGGCAGGTTGTCCCCGTGGTGGCGGTGGTGGTGATGATGATGATGGCGGTAGTGATGATGATGGCAATAGTGAAAAGGGGGAAAAGAAAGACACCAATGATCCAGGAGCACCAGCCAATCCTGCTGGTGGGCCGCCAACTGGGTCCGAACCTCGACCTCAATCGCCAAGAAAGAAAGCGAAAAAACATGACTACACGCAATACAATCGCCCACAAGTCCGTACAGCTTTGAAGTATCGAGAGCAAGCTCAGAGTGCTCAGTATGTTACGGAGCTCCACAAGCGTGCTAATGATTATGACGACAACCCGAAACAACCTGGTACTATTCATCACTATATCCTGAAGGATCGGAGTGTCGCAAATCGTCTTGAGAAAAGGATTACTGAACTGGGTGAAGGTTGGTCGACTGAATATAAAAAAGAACTCGATGAGCAGAATAAGAATGGCGAACAAGTAGATACTGACGTATCCGAAGAGAACTCTCCCGTGTCAACCGGGAAGGGGAAAGCTAAGAAGACATCTAAATCTAAGAAAAAGAAGAAGACGCAGCCAAAACGTAAGAGCAAGAAGTAGAACCCTTCGCTTATCTCTTCGATATTTGGCGAAAAGGACGACAAGAAGGAGCGTGGGCGTGTAGGTGCAAGCTTGGACTGGGGTGACAGCCGGTGCATGGCATGGAGATGCATGCGATGCTCTTCTCGCGCTCGATCTCGCAGTCTGCTAGGATAGACCAAACTTAGTATAGTTCTCACAATTTCAGCACGTTGTGCTTCTTCATAGCGCGCGCTTTGCTTTGAGCAATCAGTTTGGTGTGAGTCGCGAAAGCAACTTATATATTCCTCGACCGTTAACTTACTGCGGTGTGCGACTTAATATTCTAGTTCCTTCTTATTCTATCTATAGTACTGCAATAACGCAGAGTAAGATAAGCTACTTATAACTTCTAAAATACATAACTACTATATACGCAAAAGGTACTTCTTATTAAATACCTAGGTAAGAGACATCGCAATTTTCAAAGTCTGAGCAATCAGTTCGAGACATGGACTACGCCAAGAGCCGAGTAAAACTCAAGTCCTGTTGTATCTGACTGCCGCAGTGTTCCGCGACGCTGCTGCTCGTTTGGAAGCTTATACAGAGCAGAAGCTTTCGTGGCTCACACTGTTGTCGAACGTTGATTGATGACGTACCCCCAATCCGGTTAGGGTTGCGCTGTGTAGGGTCAGAGCGGGACGTCGCACGTGAGGGACGCTTCACCTCCAGGGTTTGCTCGCAGCATGGTCACTCACCCTGGGATACAGGCTCGGCAACTTCCATCGTAAGCGTATCATTGGCGCGACTCGCGTGCCGTTCCGCATACGACGCGACCCCAGTCACGATCCTTGGCGCACACCTCCGCAGCCCATCTCGCTCCGACCGCACGACCCCACCGCACCAAGACAGCGCCTACAGAAAGACAGCCGGCAGCGCGTATACTGCACAAGATGGCGGACGACTACGAGAATTGGCCGGTGAACGTCAGTTCGGGCAATAAGCCAGCCCTTCGACCGACGCTCAAGAAAGCCGACAGCACACTTACAAATTTCAACGCTGTATCGAAGGAGGCACTTGTGGGGATCTTTCTGGACTTTGATAACAGAAACTATCCGCTGTCTCTGAGCGACACTGATATCAAGGGCAAAGTGACCGCCGCACAGAAGGCTAAGTTGAAAGAAGAGGTTAATAGGCAGAAGGAGATCGCGAAGCTAAATAAGAAGCTGAAGGAAGAGGAACAGAAGACAGAGCGAGAGAAGAAGCGTAGCGCGAACGCAGCAGCAAGGTCTGAATTAGAACAGAAGAAGGAGACGACCACGGTGAGGCCTGCGAAGACCAAGGCCAGCGCTCAAGAAGATGAAGCTACCCCGATCGACGGCGAAGCAGCGGATCGAGATCAAGACGGAGATGTGCGTATGACGGGAGATGAGGATGCGGCGGAGGCAGTACCATTGGTCGATCCGACAGCGGAGGCGGTGTCTAGTCCCGTCGACGGCGGGGGCAAGCGCAAGCGTCCTGCCACAGTGAGTCCATCTGACACCAAGCGGGCACGTACCGACCGACCGAAGACATCGTTGATCGTGAAGTTGAAGTTGAAGTTGTCGACTACGGATGGAGTGGCGACTGGCGGCATGCAGACTGCGACACAAGTAAGTGAGACCGAGTGCGACAAGATCACGGCTCTTGCTAACGACAATGCTCAGGGTCTTGGTGCTCGTAAGCGTCCGAGACAAGCTGCTGGAGACACGCGCACAGCAAACACCCGGCGCACCCTTAAGAACCCAGGTTCGAGGCTACAGCATGGCGTGGCATCTCCTCGTGAGCTCGCAGAATCCATGGAAGGCAGCAAGAACGACCCGGACGATGCGGTCGTTGAAGCGCTGGGCGATGTATCCGGCACCGTTCCTCCCACCAACGCACCCGAGAAGCTCCCGTCCCGACACCATCCGCAACGTACCACCAGGAAGATGGCAAAAGCGCCAGTCGTGAGTGAAGACGCCGCTGCCGAGGACATATCCGATGAAAACGAGCGATTGTCCGAAGGGGATACTGCATCCGACGCTGCATCGGCAGAGAACACCGAAGACACGCCTGGTCATACAGGGCCGATGCTACCTGAGGAAGAGTGGATTGACTATGATGACGACTCGGTATCGCCATACGATGAGGTAGCGGCGCGGACTATAGTCGCAGAGAAGAGTGGCAATCTAGGCTCTAGCCGTGATCCTAACCTCGTTATTGGCTTCAAGGGTACACACAGGGTCGACGGTTATATGCATATCCCTCTGCTCTATTGGGCGAAGCAGATGAATCCCGACACTCTGGATTCCGCACAGTTGGTGCTCTACAAAGTGCAGAAGAAAGAGTGGGAAAGGCAGGATGCACTCATGGCGGGAAAACCGGCTCCGAAAAAAGTGGTCAAGCCCAAGCGGAAACGCTGGGCTGATGTGTAGTAGGGGCCTCGAATGGTCAATTTGGCGAAGTCTCTAGGCGGAAGTGACGACGAGTGCGTTTAGAGAGGGGAAATGATCTCTTTGTTTGAAAGATGCCGGGCCGGCATGTGCTCGTTCCGGACGTCTGTACCTAGCGAGCATGTCTTTGTTCCATGGTAGATTGGATTGCTCGCCGGAAATGGTAGATAGCTCTTTGTTTGTAGCAGCTGCTCGGCCGGTATGTTAGCATGATATTTACCCTGAACTTGCTGCAACGACAGCGTTCAATTCCCTACGGTTTAGCATAATTGAATTCAGTCCTGAAACAAGCCACTCCACGTTTGCTGCATTAAACTCAAACTTATCGCGACAAGATGACAAACGAGAAACACCAGAAGAACGGCAAAGATGGCAATTCGAGGAAGGGAAAGGGAAGAGAGAACAACACAGCTCGTAATAGGTCTGAGGATGTAGGCGCCAAGAATAAGCATATTCCAGAACTGATACTTGTCACCACGGAGCCAGGGGCAAACAGAGGCTCTCGAGTAAACACTCTGCGCGACACATGGGATAAGATAACAAAAGAGCTGGAGCTCTGGCAGAAAGACCAGAAGAAGGATGAAGACATTGAGAAGGACCATGCTGCTGACTACAACTTTGAGGAGATCGAAGCGGACTATACAGCGAAGAATCAAGCTTATCGAGATGAGCTCGAAAATAATGGGCGGAGTGGAAGGGATCCGGATACGAAAGCAGCGAAGAAAGAGATGCTAATAGCAAGGGATAACTACAGGCAGGCTAAAAAATACAGAGATGACAAGAGGTTTGACAAAGCAAAACGTCAGAGAGACCATGAAGGGATGACGCGCGCTCAACAGATGGTCGAAGACTGGCTCTTCTACCAGGATGCCTCTAGGCGGCGAAGAAGACTGATATACTTGGACCCTGATAAGAGGAAAGAAGCTGAAGCAAAACGGTTGCGTCGTAGGCTTCAATATAAGCTTGAGGCCTCAGGCACCGATAATGGCCATTATGACTGGCTGCATTCGTTAATGGAACTATATGACTCAAGAGACATTGGTGGCCGAAATTACAAACAAGGCTTGGAAAACCATCTCGGGAATCAGATCCCGAAAAAGACGAGGCAAAAGACCACTCTGCCTCTTGTAGGGCCGGGCGAGCTCCACTTATGGACACCAAGATACAGGCGTCAACTTATTGGCTTGCGTCGCCCAGAGGAAGACGACACTGACAGTGATGATTCGGACGAGATCGAGCCGCATCACTTTCAGCTGGATGAGGCGGCGGTCGAGGCCGAGCGGGTGAAAACGGAGAAAAAGATCGATCGCAAGACGAAGGATCTCGTATACAGTTCTCATGATGCAAGACGCCGAGACGAGATCAAGACCTACAAGAACAGCAGACCTAATACTTCGAATGTCCGAGAAGCAACGGTTGACGGTAGGAGTATCGTCCAAGACAGGTGGGATCATATTCGGACGAAGCAAGGCCTGTTCATCGCTGCACGTGAGAGCTCTTGGGACTGGCTGACCTCGTATGATTGCCTTGGGCCGGTGAAATCTGGCTGGTATCCTGAGACCAGCGCCGTCAGGGATGACCCGGAAGTATGGATAGAAGCAGATGATCTTGACAGCGGAAGTGATCGTGACAGCCAAGTTGACGCACCACAGGCTTCCGGGGATCAGCCTACGAATAACGACGAGACCGCACTCGGAGAGCCAGTAGGAGAAAGCCGGAAAGATGGCCATATGACAATCAATTACGCATACCCCGCCCGGGAGTTCTGGAGAGATTCAAAACCATTCAGATTGGGCGAACGCAAGTTCGTCACCACCGAGTGGGCGGAGGAAACGACCGGTCGCCGCGAACGACACACATACCGAAAGCTACAGCATGCCTCACCTGTCAACTCGCCCCCTCAATCTCCAGTGTTAGAGGAAATTTCAGATGCGACCATACCCATGGGCTTCCCCGAGACGGATACGCGAGCTGTCGCTCTAGAGCCAAGATCTCGCAGGAGAATATGTCTTCTGAATCCCAATAGATGCCGAGCATTCTGGCCCCACTCTTTGAACGAGTGTTGGATACCATACTCAGAGCGACCGACGCGCCCTGAAGAACCTGTAAAGTGGCCCATCCAGGGGATAGATGCACCCAAAGACGTGACCGAAGGGGGTCCGGATGGATATGTGCCGGCACTCGGCATGCCTGTATACAGCTCTAGGCTATACGACCACTACGGACTGATGTTCCAGAGTACACCCAAGGATGAGGACCCAGCGCGGCCCATATGGCCTAGGATTGGAATACGAGTGCCGTATGAACCCATGACGTTCGAAGACCTTCGTCTGTGCAGAGAAGACGGGGGCAAGGGTGAGATGGAGCCGGAGGCATCAAAATCTGCAGAGCCCGTGGAAGTTCCGGAAATATCCAACCAAAGAAAGATAGGCAAGATCCTGGCTCCTGATGCGCATCTAAGAGGTGTCCATGAGGTCCGGTCGATGGCGGTGCCAATCATCGAGGAACCACAACGGCCGTGGGCAGATCCTGAAGAAGAGCCTGATGAAGATGACTCGGGCTCGGGCTCGAGCTCGGACGCGGAATCGGACGATGAAGGGGATCTATTCCACGAATCCTACATCAAAGGCTCCTTTCCAGGCGGCATGCCCGCACCTGCGTTACCGCCAACGGGAGCCCTGGAGACTACCGCCCAAGACGAAACAGCTCCAGCAATTGGCGCTCCTGAAGCTGCAGTGCCTGCAGCGGATGACCAGGTTGGTGGTGATGCAGAAGATCTGTAGGCCATAGCGCTACCAGATAACCTTCGAGCCATCGGTGGGTAGCCCTGGAAGTATTGGTATGGATCCATGCGTACTCGGTGTAGCAACAGCTATCATGCGCGGCGGTGTATGAGGTTTGTAGGTGGAGCAAGGAGTGGTGTCAAGCTTGCGTTAGTTCGTTGGTGCGCGGAGGGACGCGTCGTCTTCGCGTCAGGCAGGTAGGCATGGTCGCGGTACCATGGAAGGAGAGGACGGGTAGTAACTGTATTCGTAGCCAAAGGTAACTTCAGAAAGGCTCGTCAGAGTTCGCAGAATCGTGACATCGGGCAATCGTTGATGTTTGTTGGCCGTCGTTTGATACTGAAGTTTGCAGTCGCGGTTTGAGGCCGGATTCGTGCTTAGTAATCAATCTGCGTCATAGCTCAAGCTTCCCAACGGAACCCATCCCTCCTGACACAGACTCTTAGCATCGACTGCCACGCACAAAAACATCAATAGTGTGTCCGGATAACCTTATCGATCGAGATTCGAGCAATTTAGCTGAATTACACGACAATATAGTGTGATGTTAGGGTTCAATGCACCCATTAATGACCCATGGCAGAGTAAGTCGCACCTGTTTTTTATGGACCTTAACACCGGGAACCAGATTTGCCACTGTACACTCGTGGATTCATTAAGTATCGATGTGTTCGAAATATGTATTACTACAAGAGAGTGATGTCGATGTGCGCGCGACAAACAGTCGACCATCACGCTCACCGCATTGAGGTGGCCTTAGCGAATACGCATAACTCAGGACATACCTGGAATGTCAAGCAGTTGGAGTGCCTTCTGGAGCTTTATTGCAACCTGACTGAATCAAAGATACAAGCACAGCTCTTCCACCTATACCCACATACTCCTCGGGGCTCTCCTCTCCTCTCCTTCAGGATACTTTGGGTCCTCGCCGAGATACTCCATCCTGTTCTCTCGGTAACGCTTCCCACTACTTCCCTGTTCCAGATTCCAACATCTCTCAATTTCTTCCCAGACATTCTTAGCCCGGCGACCTATCTTTGGAGCCAGGATCCTGGCTTCTGCTATAGTAGGTGGAGCTTTCGGGTCTGCGGTCTGTCTGCTATCTAGCCAGTATAGATACGCATGGCGCGCCGATACCAATTCGCCAACTCGCCAAGCCTTCGGATCCCGCGATGCTAGACCTGGGTGCATAAAGATCTGGTATGTCTCATTCAGGCGAGGATTGGGTTGGAGGCAGATGGGATCGATTTGTGGCTGGCGGAAACCGAGGAACGTGATGATTCCTGGGTCGTTGATGAGGAGGAATTCGACTGGCCCGTTATCCATACTTGCTGCTACTTGGGTGACCTGGTTGTTGTTGTTGTCGCGATGTACGCACATAGCAACGATGATAGCGTTTGGGTAATAGTCGGCTTGGATTTCTTGGACCTTTGTCATGGGAAAAGCTTCGAAACCATGGATTCGTACAACTGTGCAGGTACCGGGGGTATGCCTTTCGCATGCGACACCTGCAGAAGTGATTGGAGCAGGTGGTGGTATCGGCGATGAGGGTGGAGGCGAAAGTGCTGTCTTTGGGTTGGCATGTTCGATCGTGACAGGTTGGAGGTTTCTTGCTAGAGGTAAGTCTTCCATGTGGACATCTGAGTCTTGCGCGACCTCAAATGTGGCTTTCTTCTGCAGTGCATCGTCGGCAGCAGCATTCTCCCCCATCATCTTCTCAGGCGCGCTATGGGATCCAACATTTTCGAGCGCTTGACCAACCTTCTCTGCCTCTTCTTCCTCCTCTGCCAATTCTTCGACCAAAGGCAGCTTGTACGACAACCTCTCTTCTCGATGATCATGCGCAGTCGCGAACTCATTATACACCCTGATTGCCTCGCGGTTGTCCAGCCTCTGGAGAATATCTTTGATTCTCTGCGTCCACAGTGCCAGCAAGTGCTTCTTCTGGCCGCCTCTGGTGAGAATCAAGCGCATAGTGTTGATGAGCTCGCTGGCTGCGGTTTCGGGCATGACAGCGAAGAGCCGAGGTTCAAAGACGGTAAGACTGCTCGACGTCGTGGGTGGCCTCTTCCGTCTGTATGTCTTGGGAGTCTGCATCGCGTTTGTCTCAGGCGCGGTGGTGTTGAGCGGTGGGGTAGGCGCGGGTGTGAAGAATTGCTGGGGGTTTGGTGTGTCGCTTTGCATTTTGGTGCCTTCTTTGCGCATACTGGTCCTGGTATATTGATGTTTCGGGGTTTACTAGAAAATTCGTTGAGATGTGATGTTATTGATGGTCGCCTTGTGGGCGTTTGCGCGCAGAGTTGTTTTGTTTTGTCTCACTTTCGCTTGCGCTCTCACTCGCAACCTCCAAAACGAGAGAAAACACTGAAATGACTATACACAGTACCAACCATGAATCCAACCCCTGCAACGGATGGACTCAATAAGTGATTTACCCACATACATCCAGGCAGCATTAAAGAAGTCAAACTAGCGATACCGTCATTGCGCGAGCACTTTGATGAAAACACAGGAAGCACCTTTGCATTAGTCAACTACTGTATCATGATCTCTCATCTCTTCCCAGATACCGTGCATCACACGTCTCTGCCATATGCCTCCACTAATTATTACCACACAGACCCTGTCATCAAACTTCTTTTGCCAAACATCTTACCAAAAGTGCGCCTCAACTAGTACCGCACTGCGCTTTCACCTGCGCTTCATACTCTGTAATAGCCCCATTGATCTCATTAACCATCTTCTCCCTTCTCAAAGCATCCGCTTCCGTCTCTGGGTCCTGAAAATCCGGCACGGCCTTACCTGTGACATTCTTGAGGGCTTGTTTGGCGACAGCAACACTCCGAAAGTCCTCATCAAACGCATCTTGAGCAGCAAGAAGCTCCTTCCGTGCCTCTTCGGTGATGATCTCAAGCTGTGAAACACTATCGCGTGGCTGTTGCGTCGCGCGAGCGGCTGCCATGCGCATTGTAGCCATGCGCTCCCTTAGTCGAACGCCATACAACGCATTGCGACATGCTTGGAGCTTGACCCTAGCTTCAGCGAGGGCGTACTCTTCGGGACTGGATTCGTTACTGGCGATCGCGGAGACCAGCAGAGCACGAAGTTCATCGGATGACTGCGGACGCGCTCGCTCAAGAGCTTGAAGTCGCGTCATCTCACGCATGTCCTCGAAAGGCATGTTGAAGAAGTGGACGCCAGTTTCCGTTCGTTTGTCGGTTGCACGCCAATACAGGGGGCCGGGTGTCGTCCTTCCGACACCGAGGTTATTTGCCAGTGGGTTATCGATCTCAGCAGCGGCAACGTCCTCCTCTGGTAACAAGCCTGGCGAAGCATAGTGGTTGACTTGGAGGTTTGTATCGCCACGAGCAAAGCCAGAAGCGGTGACACTAGCTTGAGCGTCATCAACATCCATCATCTGAACGTCTTGATCTGGTACTGTGTGATTGTTCCGATCACTAGCATCTTGCGCAGCTGGATCCTGGTCGGTGGGACTTTTCCTATTGTACGTCTTCAGGCGTTCAAGGATGAAGTTGGTGTCGACAACGTCCTCCACTGCCACCATGTTTTCTTTCACTCCATTCCTAGTAACACCATTAACCATATCACGCTTCCTATCGTCAACGGCGTGCTCTTCAGATCTTGCGTCTCCGGTAATCTCTTTGTCCGGATCTGCTTCCTCGGTATCGGGCGTGTGTTCGACCGAAACATCATCGGAGATGTCGTCTTCTTGAAGAGAGAGAGGTTCTGCGCTCTCCTCTTTCGTACTGTGACTCGCCGTAAGGCTGTTCGATCCGGTAGCCGGGACCCATACCTCAAAGCCGTATTTGTTTACACTCTTTACCAGAGGAGTAGTGGGTCCAGCTTCCGGTCGACCAGCCTTCTTCCGATGCGAACGTCTTGTTGGAGTCTCGGAAGCACTGTCCTTCTTTGCATTGCGTCCTCCCTTCTCACGCATTTGGGGCTGAAAGTGTTTATCCCGGAGGTGATCGACAGTTTGTTGAGTGCCTTGACCTTGTGGCGCACGACTGTTCACGGAATTCGGTACGCGCTCAGTGGGAGATTGTGTGACAGTCTTGGCCTTGATAGTCTTGTGTCGCTTTGATGTGGGTTCGCTGAAGTTTGTATCAGGCAAATTTGTTTCACTGTTGCCGGGCTCATGCTTCTTAGCTGCTTGCTTCGGTTCTTTGTCACAAGACCTAGCTGCCGGTACGCTGCTCTCACTTCCCATATTATTGAATTTCCTATCGGTAATAGCAAATTCCGATGCAGGAGTGCGAGGCTTCCTAGTCGAAGAGATGGGATTGATGGCGGCTGGTGGAGAAAGTGATCGGCGGGGTGCTCTACCGTTGGTTTCCTTTGCGACGAGCCTTCACGCACCGTGACTTCCGACCTGAGCGTCTCAATTTCGGAATTTATTAAGTTTACGAGAGGCAGAGAGGTTATGATCAGTACACGAGTGCGTACTGAAAGACTGGGGGTTCAGATAAGATGACGAGCAATGTCGACGATTTCCAGGACCAATCGGTCATAGCGGCTCGATATTGATATAGTGAATTTGCGTGCGGGAAAATCTCTGCACAGCCGACACAGGCCGTTGCAAGATCGAATTCGTCTCATGCATCGCAAGATGTCGTGAGCATTGTAAGCGGTCTTCGTCGCTGTCAGGAGTCTTCGAAGTCCACGCTTCGCTGGGAAGGAGGCAACGACACTTGCTTATGGCGAGCATCCTGAGATCTCAATGTAGTTGTCAGATGGGCGGGCTTGGAATTATATCCCCGAAGGTAACTGAAGATGCGCGGTCGTGGTCGCAGTGGTGTTGTGAAGAGTGATGACGTCATCATCACGAAACCTAGCGCCGATGTCGCGTGCGCGACACGCGTGCTTGGACCCTGAACTACCAAACTTCACGACGTTCGACGAGGACTATCGCTGCCATCTTTCCAACACGAAAATTTCAAACCCATTATCGTCAACACTCGTTATTGCACATGAATACCAGTGAATAGTACACGCCCAACATCTGTTCATGCGATTATACGAAGTCCTCCTGGCGCGCGATGCTCAGCACATGGAGGATTCGCACCACTTTTATTTATCCTGTTGAGCGAAGACATTCTGCTCTCCAGCTAACAGCTAGGATCATACGCAAAGCTTTCTTGACTCCCTATCAAGTCTCAACACCATGAACCCGCGCCGAACCGTCTCATTCCGTCTCGAACCCATCAAACCTTCCTAGCCCCGACGCACCCTTTTCTTCCTCTCGAACATCGTTTTCCGCTCCTCCGCATCCATCACACCAGTTCCTGCCGGTTTGTACATGGGCATGGCGGTCTTGACGCCAGACTCCATCCATCGAGCCCACCGGTTGTGCAAGTCCACGATGCCGTGATTACGCACAAAGGTCTCTAGGTCAGCAAGCACTGCTTGTTCGGCGGTAGCGTCCTTTTCTTCCTCGGCAGCTCGGCGGCGTGTCCAAACGAGATGCATATACTCCTGACGGTCAGCGTCTGTCGTTAAGATCTGGCCCATTTCTTCCATAACCTGTCGTAGACTCGGTCCGGCGGTACCGGTCGTGATGATAGTCGTCGGCCAGATCGGAACCCCAGTCTTTCGAAGCTTTGACTTGGGGGGCTGGGTATTGGCTTCAACTGGAGTGGGCTTGGCAGGTCGCTTTCCAAGCTGCTTCTGAGACGGTTGTGAGACCTTCTTCAGTGTACCTTGCGAGCGCTTGCCCTTCACAGGGAGAGACTCCCCGAAGTTCCCGTCTTCTTTGTCGTTGTCGGCTTCTTCGCTGGTATCTTCAAAGTCTTCGCTGTCATCTTCAGGCTCTTCTTCCGACCGGTTCTCGACTTGTCCCTCTATACCTCCCTCGTCATCTATACCCGAGAGACCAAAGAGCTCAGGATCTCCATCTCCTTCATTATCATCCTCCAAACGGGATGAGCCCAAGAAATCCGATGGGCCCGCCTCCGTGGCCTGAGCAGCCTCGATCTCGGCCTGGCGACGCCGGACCAAGGCTGCAAGGTCTTCAGACCCGGGCTTGCGTGTTCCGGTCGATGTAGAGTCGCCAGCAGTCTGGCCCGCAACCTCTTCCTCTGCATCGCTCCAATGCCCTTCGACGTCCTCTGGCTGTAGTAGTGTATGACCACCGATACGCATAGGACGTGTCATCGTTGTCGGGGCGGACAGAAATGCCTGGTTTGGAACGCGACGGGAATCCTTGGAAGCTGGTGCGCCAGGGAGTACGAACTGATGCCTCGGTGGGGTGCCCTGTGGGGTCGTCGATGGTTGTAGAGTCGTTGGCGTCGTCGATGGCGGCGGTACGTATACTGCTCGTTGACGTCCAGAAATCGGGTTCTTTGGCGTTGTTGCTAGACGTCTAAGACGTTCAGCTTATGAGAGGTCAGTGATTGCTATTACGAGGGGACTGACTTCAGGGGCGATGCGCAAACCACCAAATAGTAAAGAACGTAATTGCTTACCATTATCAGCTTGAGCAGCAAGCTCGTCCTGCTTCTGCATCGCACGCATAGTCACAGCTGCTCGCCTGTTCAGCTCTTCAAGTCCCGCATGGCGCCCCCATACAAGTCGACAGGTTTTCCAAGCATTCCTTATCATCTGGAGGTCCTCATCGGTGTCCTCTTCACCCATGTTGTCCGGCATTGGGCCAGCAGGTTCCAACTTCCAGATCGGTATCATCATGGGAAGCTGCGTGAAACTGATGACTATTTTTCCCTCCTTCTCAACAAACATGCGAAGGATATCGGAGTTCTCGATGAGAATGGTGTCGGTGTCAATGTTGCCGGTGCATGACATCACGACCCTGATGACCTTCGTGGTGAAACCCTCGGACGGTGGGCTCTTAGCGATCCTGGTGATTGTAGCGGTCGCACTGTGAATGTGCACAGGGCCATGTTGCTTGTCGATGTTCATGTCGGGGAAGGGGGTGTCCACCGGGACCTCCTGTGTAGACATGGTTACTGTTGTAGGCGTAGTGGAGAGCAAAGATGGCTGCAGGAACAAGTGGTAAGAGTTGATAGCGGTCTTTGTTCTCCGTGGGGGCCATAGTGCTCCAATGTATGGTGGGGTAGTGGAGAGATTGCTCTCGCACCGTCAAGTGTAAGGTGGTTTGCGTCTTTCATTGAGTACCCTGCACACTTTTTTGGGTCGTAGAGCACTTGACCATCTGTTCTGGAACTAGCAACATCGGTACCTGGAGTCCCAGTGGTCATGAGCGCTTCGCACTTCATACTCGCATCACCTCCGGATACAGTCCCGTCTAATGGTGTGACTTATTCATCGCTTGCGCTATCGACCACCAGCAAACAGACACTGTTTCTCGACATCACCCTTCACAACGCCGTCAATCGAGGTCATTCCATGAGTATGCGCGATTCCACGAGCTTCTCTCAGCTAACACAACCCAATGAAGACTAAGCGAAGCGTGTCCAAATGATTAGCTCGACGTCGCGCGGTTTCACCGAAATGGCAACCGCTCAGCAGCCGAAACTTATTCGCCCAAGCTGGTACACCATCCCAGCGATCTTTTCCACGATTCAGTCGTACACTTCGGCAGTGGAGTGGTTCTACTATCTGACCTTTATCTCGCACATACTAAGCAAGTCTGACTCGGCCCATATAGCCAAAGCCCACCTTATCTCCTTTCTGCGCGCTCGTCCACACATCCAGATGTGGCACGAAGCTTTGCTCTCCGAGATGTACGACGAGGACGAACCAAACCTACCGTCGGTACTGGAAGGTACGAATTTCTTGCATCCCTCGATACAGAGATTTCACGAGTATTGCACGCAGAGATTCTCGTTGATGACGAGAGGGGATGTCTTCGTTGCGCGATGCGTGGTAATTGACTTCATCTACAGGCGCTTGGACAAGGCGCAGAAGGCAGCTGAGCTGGCGAAAGATGCGCAGACCAAGAAAGTGCTGGAAGAGCAGGGTGTGGCTGTGCAGCAGCGCGAGCAGGCCCGACGAGCTTTCGAGGCTTCTTGTCTCCGCTTTGGTAGTATCGGGAAAGATGTGCCTGCTGCCGGTCAAATTGGTGTTCTCGATCTTGCTGCTCTCCTGGCTGTGTTGTCTTTGCAGTCACCTCTTGATCTACCCGTCACGCCCGAACCTGTATATGCTGCAACTATAGCGCCTGTTCAGCAGGTATCATGGCTGAAGGGTCTCGCGCGCAGTTTGGCTCAGCTTGCATTAGATGTCACTCCATCCCAGACTCACTTGGCAGCGTAGTCCTGTTGTATGACAAGCTTTGGCATAACTACGTGCACAATCATTGAAACTAAATTTGACGCTTTGCTCATGTGGTCAGACAATAATGACAAACAAGTAATAGTCAACTTACCACAAGGTAAGTGCAAGTATTTATTGGCCTGGCGAATTACTTTCTCTTTTGCTTCTCAAATTGCTTCTACACTTGTATATATATTGCATTTACATCTCTTGCTACCTAGCTGATCAGTCAGGTGCTGATCTTGATCCTCACACCCGACCTGAGACCAAGACACCCAAGCAGAACCATGGACACCTCCACTGCCTCCACTCAAGCCCAAAAACCCTACCCAACACACTCCTCGCCTTGCAATTAAATGAAGCTTGCGATACACTGCTTTAAGACCGCCGCAATTGCTCCGCGGAAGTGGCGACCATTGAGGCGCTCTTTCGATCCACCAGTTGGATCATTGTGGCCCTACCTTCGTTATGTGAATCAGCCCCCTATTTACCGCATATATGTATCGAGAACGATCTATGATCTGACTCTTACTCCACTCGACCAATTTCACTCTCAAGGTCAAGGCCTGTAGGCCTCTTATAAACACCCCAGCTTTCTACCACTTCACCCGCCACCGGAAGCTTTCAACAATACATTACAACTCACCGCCAACCGCTCCGATAACACACGAAGTCGACTCTAACTGGAACAATGGTCGACACAATGAACACACACACGTCCTGTTACACCAACAGCATCCTCCAAAGACTCAAGGATATCATTGGTCTCAATGACTTCCTGTTCTACGGGAACATCATCACCCGAGTCTTTCGATGCAACATCAGCGGGTCCGGCTCTTCACCAGCACTGTTTCGCATGCTCAGCTCCAACTCAGACGCGATCTTCCTCCACAACGAGATCGCAGTCATGACGAAGACAGTGCTAGAAAAATACAACCTTCCGGAATTTGAGGACGAGAAGAATGGTGCGAACTCCTCACGCTATTCCGCGAGCGCAGACGATAGCTATGGCCACCAGCTATTTGATGTTGTAGATCATTTCGCGGGTACGGAAGGAGCGCGACCTGCTGATGCGCATACTGCGCGATCTCAGGTCATGCGGTGTGTGGAGATGGTGCAGCAGGAGCAGCAGAAGATCGAGCAGGCAGTCGACGATGTTGCGGCGGTGCTTGCATCAATGGGGGTGGATACCATGGCGACGGATGCAATGGAGTTCTGACTCAGCTTTAGGGTGCGAAGGGTGAAGGCTGGAGAGTATTCATACGCACGAATGATTAGAGTGGAACGGGTCATAGCATCGGGAAGACGATATACGAGTTGCAATTTACCAAGTATATTTGGCATACATAGTCTGGAGGCACACAAATCATTCTTTCAGTCAACATTGATCATCACAAAGTCAACATGGGAGTGCTCAAAGAGTGTATACATGAATTGTTGAGACTTACAAGGGACCAGCCCCAGCTCACAACTAGCTAATGATCATCAAGGTGAGACTTACGGACGACCAGCGCCCAACTCACCACCAGCACCCACAAACCGAACACCACAACCGCCGCCACAACCACTCACTCCTTCTTGACCACCTTCTTGGCCGTCACCGGCACCCGACCCTTCATGTAGAAGTCAGCTCCAAATCTCTCCACCTCCTTGGTGAGACTTGAGTGACTCCTCAAAGGCCGAGCGCCGGCCGTACCCGCGAGAACCTTGCCGCCGAAGGTCTGGTTGAACGCCTCAACGAAGGCCTTCCACCCCTTGGTGGGCTTGCCGGCGGTGAGGTTGGCGAGGATCCACTTGCGCTCCTCCGCTACGTAGGCCTGCACAACCTCACGGAACCGGACGCTGGTGTTGCGCCGGATCTGCTGAACAGTGCGCTTGTTCAGCGCCGTGATGGCCTCCTGCGAAGCCCAGTTGCGCGGTGGCGGGTTGGCGAAGATGCGCTTCTTGCCGTTCTTGTCGAGGAGCTTGATGACCAGCTTGTGCTTCTGGTCGAACGCGGTGCCGTCGGCGAGAAGCTCGAACCGACCGGGGACAAACTGAGTGAACTCAGGATTGGCCTTGAAGTTGTCGGCGTCGGCGTAGTCGGTGGCGTATGCGCCCCAAGTGACGTTTCGGAACAGTTCTGGCTTGGTGGTGTCTTTGACGTCGTCAGCGACATCGCCCACGTCCGAGTCGTAGTACTCGTTGCCGGCCTTGGCAGAGGTGGCGATGAGTGCAGCGTGGTCAGCCCGCTTCGGGTCCAGAATGCGCTTGTTGCGCTTCATGGTGGGCGCGGATATGGGCAGAGGAGGTTGGGCGGTCTGCTTCATGCGCCGCTTGGGGGGCATGGTGTCGGCCTCGGAGTCGTTGTCGCCCTCAGAGTGAGTGACGAGTTGATCGATCTTGCGCTTATGGCCAGCGCCAGCAATGGGGGTGGGTGAAGAAGGATGAAGGGCGGATTGGATGCAACGCAGTTTGAGCTTGAGACCTGAGCGACCAGATTCTGCGTTGGGGAGGCCGGCAGCGTGGCTCACGGGAATGGGAGTGGAGTCGACCGCGGTGGTGTTCTTGGGGCGCCTGATCTTGAGCTTGAGCAGACGAGGCTTGCCAGAGCTGTAAGAAGCAGACGGAGAAGGAGCGCCGGTGGAGCGAGGGCCGAAGGTGTGTCCAGCACGAGCAGCTCCCATGTGTACATCGATCGGTGAGGCCTGCTCAACCGAAGGGAGGATGACGGAAGGTGACCTTGTGGGAGTCGTAAAGGGATCGCTGGGACGAGCGTGACGAAGTCCAGCCAAGATGGTGGCAGCTTCAAGCATGCCGGGTGAGACCAGCTCGACCGAGGGCAGAGTAGAGGAAGACATGATGATGGAAAGTTATCGTAAAGAGTAATGGGTATCGTAAAGATTGAACGATGGTAGTAAGAAGCTGAGTGCTGTAGAATGTATGGTAACGTGCTGTATACTGAGAAAGTCGTGATGAGAAGATAGAAGAAGCTGGGTGGTCTGACGATAGACTCTGCCAAGGAGAAGGGCAGTTTAAGTATGAGGACTGCTATCGACGGCTGCGACTGTCTCTCATTAAGCTGCTATTGTCTCGAGGTGAGCTGCACGAATTTCTGCCGTCTTGTCCCAATCGGGTGGTGAAGACTGGTAATTCCTATTGTGAGTCGTAGTGAAGACGCAAAAACGACCCATTTTGAGCGCGTTCACTTCGCAGAACAATAGGATTGTGCTGAGAAGCGGTTAAGACGGGACAAGTCGAGGTGACCTGCCATAGTTCCAGACGTCAGAGAGCCATCTGATAGCCAAATATGGCTTTCTCTGCACATTAATACTGGACTTCTCCATTGTGAGCGGGCGTTCATGAGACTCATTGTTGCGGCCATGATAGCTCTTGATGCTGCCTCTTGTTCCGGGGTCTTGCTCCCATCAGACCCTTTCACCTTCACTTGGTCGTGGCGTTCCCCTTGGTGTGGATGGTGCGAGCATTGTAGTTTTTGCAGCAGCCAGGATGCGTATCGTTCCTTGCCGTATCAGGTCCATACCTCTTCAGATCCCTCTTTTCAAACGAGTCGCGCAATTCCGTATGAATAGAGTAAGGTGGTGTAGTGGGCGCAGCTCGTACGTGACGGTATATGCTGATGGCTCGTGTGCACGCTAGCGTCAAATATGGTTAGCGTGGTCGATGACATCATCCACCGGATATCCCGTTTGGCCGCGTCTGCTCAACTTGCCGAGGTGGCTATCAAGATTCACATCCTTGAAAATAATGCGATCGCAGAGCCCGCAATGATCCCAGATGAATGTCTGGGAGAATGAGTAGCGACGCAGACCAAAGTCCTGTAAGATTGACGATGGCGCATGCAGGGCGCGACGCGTCAAGGCAGCAGCTTTGCATTTGTCTTTGCATCACCCAGTGTATAGCTAGTGCTCTCACCCCTTTGCTTTTCCAGATCAGATACTACACTTTTGTCAGTCAGAATGACTAGTTCACCCGCTATCGACGTCGCCATCACTTCTTCGCCCGACGTTTTCGATATCGACGGACATACAGATCTGAGCATCCGCCTCAGTCTCACGCTTCGTCACGACAAACCGATTACATTGTACAAACGTGACACGAGCCTCTTCGACGGCAAGATTCTCCATGATGGCGGGCTCACGTTCACCGATGTCGAGACTGGCCAACTCGTGCCACGTAGCACCTTGAATATCTGCTATTTCTCTAGCGAGAGCTTTTCATGGGCGACGAGAAGCCAATACGTTACACTACATCCAGGGAAACAACATGTCATTCACACCGGCTTTACACCTCTAAGTACAAGCGGACGGGAGAAAACGGATCCAAGAGAATCGTGGGTGAGGTCGTTGAAGTTCGCCAGCTTCAAAGATGGGCAAACATATAGGATGGGCATCAGTGAGAACGCTCTTGTCAAGGACTGGTTCGATGGAACAGTCTGGAAGCTACTAGGATGGCAGATGCTGGGTTGGACGCCGACGACAGTCCACACGCACATCAGCTATAGGGTTGTTGAGTCATCGGTTGTCACGATCAAGCGACTCAAGGCTGATGATGATATCCGCCTCGAGGACGTACTCTCTGTGAAACCGACTGATTGAGCTATCATCTGGTTCAGCAAGTCGTAGCTGAATCCTTAAACCACACCCAAACGCTGGTGTCTAACCGTTCGAACAATACAAGCCGTGTCTTTCTGCTCTAGTCAAGTCTATCTTGAGGGTGATGCTTCCATATACGGCTCTCACACTCTATATCTGTACCGATCTTTGCTCCCAACGCCAATCATCTCCGCAAAGGTCTTCTTCAGATCTCCAGCCATCGTGTATACGATCTCTTCCATTCTCGCAATAGATATTGGTACGTCGCGCCAGTCCACACGCCGACGCAGCTCCCCAGACTCGACGTCTTTGACTAGTTCGCTTAATAATGCCGCATTCAACTTGTAAAACCCCACGAAATGCCGCCCATGCGCGAAATGCGCAAGCTCATGCAGCATCGTCCTTACCAAGTCATTCATATGGACGAAACGACGTGGATCGCGATCGTCACGTAAACGTAACTGTATGTTCAACGGGATGATCTCGGTTGTGGTTTTCCCATAACGATCTATGCCGTACTGCTTTTGAGTCAGGGACTTGCCATGGCAGGAAGAGTACTGCGAGAGCTCATGCAGCATTGGGACAGTCCAGCCATGCCGACGCATGATAGGTCCGACCATGTAGGCACATCGTCGCAGGAGGTAGAGGGCGTAGGATCGATGAGGCAGGTCATCGAGCGTCGTGTAGCTAAAGAAGGAGCTATCTAGGCCGCGTTGGGTTGGCAGGTGGTCTAGTCGATGGAACATGGTTGAGCTGATGCTGTGGAGGCTTTACACCTGGGTTTGGTCGGACTTTACATTCTTTGAGACGAAGCAAAGGCCGTAAGCAGAGAGCGAGAAGGCGAACTTGGCAGCTGGTGAATCAAATGCGCAACCGGCCTCAGCTGGTCCCTATCCCCTTCCTGCTTGTATCCAGTGAGCATTCATTCAAAACCTATCAAAATAGTGACGTTATCGTGAAAGGGGACTACAAGAGCCGCATGGAAATGAAAAGTATCGGTGCACATACGAGACACTGGTAGTGAGACTCGCATTTCTCTTCAGCGAAGGTTGTCTCAACGGGCATGGCCCTACACAAGACATTGTGTACAAAATATAAGTATCAGTATGCGTTCACAATGTCTATAAGCGACAACGTAGAACAATGACTGTGAACACAGCCACAATAGTCAACAAAGGGCCTCCAGTTCTTCGTACGGCTTTGTTCACTCCATGCACTTCACAATGATGTTGCTCGTGCTCAGCCCAAACCGCCAAAGCACAGTTGAAAGAGAAGTGGATATCTGTACTTGATGCAAGCTAGACAATCTACAGCAAGTACAGATTGACAACGTACCAATTACTGGAAATTTCCAAATACATCGCTCGATTCGAGATGATGAAGCTAACCATAGCCAAGGTGACCTTCACACAGTGAAACGCCTAGACAAGCCAGCGACTATCAAAAGAATCGAGAATAGCCATCTTAAAGACTGTCAAGTCCTTGCATTAGCGGGAAAAATAATCCGCTGTCTTCCATGAATAGTTTGCGAGACATCTCTTTTGGAATGAAGTGCGGGACAAATTCAAGCCTAAGACCTAGCCGTGCGAACTCATGCGATCGAAGCTGGAGCTTCTCGATTTGCAGATCGAGTGTGTACGCCCGGGAACAGCGTTGACCCGAAGCAAATGACCGCAGTATCTGAGGACGCCCGGTATCGTGTCTGTCTCTGCGTGACCCCAGCGCTCGTATCGGGTATCGAAGACATCGCTTGGCCGCAAGGCCCCACCTCATCTGGGGAGGCGCAGGACTAAGAGCTTGCATTACTGGAAGCAAGAGGCCCCTTTGCTGATGTCTCGGATCAGTCGAAGGCTTTGCACCACAGCGTCCTCGTGAGTTCTGCCGTGATACTCGTCGAGGCGATCCCAGAGGACATGGATATGGATGTAGAGACACGGTAGGACCATGTGAATGCCGTCCATCGCATAATTGGAAAGCTGGGGTTCAGCTGTAGAAAATGGAAGTCGAGAGCTTATGTCGCATTGTGACGTTGCCGCCGGGTAGTAGTGTCTTCGAAGGCAAGGATGGACCATCTTTGTGCTATCTGGTTCTAGCATTGTTAGCTCATTACTACGATCATTAGACTGTCGGTAACATACTTCCATCCCACAATCATCTCCAACGGCGAAGTCTCGCGGCTATTGTTCACAATCTTCACTATGCGCATTAATCCCATCCTCCGGCACATGGCTCTGATCCGTCCCGGCTGGTGATACTCAGGCTTCAGTGGTACAGTTTCAATGTTACTTACAGGGCTACCCTGGCCAACGATGGTAATCCGTCTTCAAGCATAGGTACGTAACGCGTCTGTGAAGAGGGGCTACCTGGAGATGCGGCGGTACCTGGACACTGCTTACATCGCGGGAAGTGGCAGTGCTGCGTTAAGAGGGGTGTCGTCGTAAGCAAGTAGCCGTTGGGGAATAGAGGAAATGAGCCTGACGACAATGTGCGGGAATTTCCTGGACTCCTGGAGTAGTTATCATGGGTACCGTAAAGACACCACGGTAAAGGTTAGGGTTTTCGATAGATCGACCGTTGATCCACCGAACAGGCTGACCCAAGCCCTACGATTTGGGTCAACTCCACGATGCTGACCCGTTTTGACAGTTCCCAATTCCTCTCTTGGGATCGGGTGATGAGACTCCGAAATTTGCTCCGTTGAGCTGGTCTCGTTGGAGTCACAATAGCGCCGAGCGAGAACATGAAGCACGGTACGTGTTCAATGGTACTCGGTAGCTTTCGGTCCTCGGAGGCTAACAGGACATCGCCCTGAAAAGCAAACATCCAATGAACTTAGAATCAGCGGCGTACAGCATTGCGCCACTGTGAGCCAACGAAGGGTCCGCGGGTGCGGCGTCGCCTCGCTTTTCTGGAACTGCGGCAGCGGACAACGTAGCCGGGCTGCCAAAGAACGCCCTCCACAACAAGCGCGGAAGCAAGCGCAAAAAGAGGGTCCACGCAACGTACTGACATAATGGCACCCCTTCGTTGTGACAGAAGCAAAAACCGTTGCACGTCGTTGTACGTAAGTTGGACGAATGCGTCACAGTAAGCGCCAAGCGGGAGCGTTGGGTATCAGCTGCAAAACGGCATCTTCCTGTTACGTGGACAGAAACGTAGCGGGTATCGGAGTCTTAGCGATATGCAAACAGTTTCAACCGCCATCGAAGATGTCTGGTAGGAAAGGGGAAGCTCCAATGGGCGAGCAGACAACCTGGTGCTTACGCGCGGGCCACTGTCGACTCGGCATATGTGCAGCTCTTCTCGCGTGGGCTGCATGCACCCACATATGATTGGCGGTTCGATAACACTATGATGTCGCTCGCCTGAACGGTGTGTAGGGCTGCGCACGAGTCCTCTTTGAAGGTGATTGACATGAAGATTGACAAGTTGAGAGTTGTCGGACACCCGGCCGATGCCGAATCGCACTAGCGCCTTGGCGTCGCGTGGTGCCCAGCCGCTGGGGACGCCTTCGAATCGTGACTTGTGGAGAAGGGGTCCGCTCTGTTCCCACGACACCATGCCCTTTTGTAACGCTACGCTGTCGACGATCCTCATGTCACAGCGCGCGCCCAGGCTAAGGCCCTCACTGTCGGACGCATCCTCAGGCTCAGATCTTTACCGGGCAGAAGGACCGACTCAATCCTGGTTCCGCGGGGAAAGAAAAGCAAGGAGAATCTCAGAAACAACAAAGTGTCAACGGCACCGCTGTACAGCCTATATGGAGCTTCATCTATGTGAGGAAGCCACAGACAGAAAGAGAGCTCATCCCGCGCGCATAGTCAGCTACGACCCGTTGATAATCTCCACAGCAGGTCTCAGCGAGAAAAGGCCGCCGCCGGGTCATCGCGGCTCGCGTACAGCTAAAGATCCGGTCTAAAAGCTACCCGCACATCTCCTGGAGCCACAGTTATTCTGCTCACCAAATGTTTAGTGGAAGTTGATCTTGTCCAATTTCTGATGTCTCCACCTGTATTCGACATGCCTCGGCGACTTCTAACGGTCTTGAGCAGCTGCATGCTCTGCTGATGACTGATCTGCAGATTTTCAGGGCCATACTGCTTCTGCTCGCTTTCTAGCAACGCAGCTGTGAGACCATCATAGGTCAACGGAGTAGGAACCAAGCATGTCAAGTGGCAGAGCCGTCTCGCTGACTGCGACGTAGGATATACTGTAGCGTCCTGTCATTTTCATGGGGTTGGCACTAGGGTCCCGGCCCGGGCCTCAACCAATTCAATTCAAACTCAGCACATGAAAGCTCCTTTCCAGACGGCTCGCGATGGTGTTCGTGCCGTCAATTTCTAAAGCTTCGTACTTTGGCGAGGTAGAGATTGAAAAAGCGCATTGCGTGCGCAAGTCCGTCTCTAGGTCCGCCCCGTGCGTCTCTAGCTGCAGCCTGCAAACGCGAAGGATGATCATGGTTTTGCCCACACAAAGTTTTTAGTCTTCGCTTACAAAATCCGCGAATGAGAGTTTACCGTCTCCTGTACGACATCACGCAAGCCGTGCCACGTTCCTGCATGTGTGTGTACACTCCGCTTTTTCGACTGATCTTCCCGAGTCCTCAGTTGCATCCTTTACCGCTCTGGTTCGGTACGACGCTCGAGATGGAATCGCATCCACGACTCCTTAGCCCGTGTGTAATATCACGATCTCACTTCCCAGGATGCTGGCGGCCGAAGGAGCCCTATGCATCGGGCTGAAACACTACATCCGGCAAACATGGTTGGTGACACCATAGCCGCCATCACAAAACGAATGAACACGAACTGCTCAAGGTCGAACCATACACAACTTTTGCGCACGCGTGCCGCTTGAAGTTGGAGCTACTTCTCCAACTTTTCGTGACAGCCGAACAGCTCACCATTGTGCAGGGACTGGGTTCTCTGCGTTCTGTAGATCCCGGGAAAACCGGAACGTCGCACGGGACGTGTTGAGACCGATCTCACACACTTCGTTGCTCTCGCGTTTTCGACTCGTGGCCATGCCGAAGGTTTCCTGACAGGGCTGCAGACCCTGGCACCCGCGGAGTAATTGGCGAATGTCACTGTTCGGTGGGCGTACGGAAGGTGGGTACGTGCATAAGTGTGGTTAAAGGTAAAGCCACCGACGAAGCCCATACCACCCATCTCGTTCAGGGATCTGGGCAGCTGTGAAATACTCTATGTTTCCCACAAAAGCAGCCTGATTCACCTTATCTGGTCGTCTTGAGACCTACGCTATCACATCATGGCTGGATCATTATCTGATAACCCGAGGGGCAAGCAAGCGGTCGAGATCTCTTCTGTCTTCACTGGTCTGGCTCTCATCACTGTCGCCCTTCGACTGTACACGCGCTTCTTTATAATTCGATGCGTGGGTATCGAAGATGCCGGCATCGCTCTCGCAATGGTAAGTTTATTACTACGTCATGTTGTGTATGCTCTTGCTAATCTTCTGCCAGCTCTGCTCCATTGGCCTAACAATCGCCATTGGTATCCGTTAGTACACTCCTGACTATGTTATCTTACAGACACTGACAAGATGTAGAAGCCGAATATGGTATGGGCAGACACATCGACACAATCACACCTGATCATATGGTCAAGTTTTTGAGGGTGCGACACTCTCATCATGTACTTCAAGGCTTTGCTGACATCAAGCGATAGACATTCTGGTCCAGTCTCATCGTATATTACCTATCGCTCGGTTTGACCAAAGGATCCATGCTCCTTCAGTATCGACGCATCTTCCCGACCAAGAAGTTCCAGATCGCGAACTGGCTCACAATGGCCGTTGTCGTTGCCTACACCATCTGGACAGTCTTCTCCAGTATCTTCACCTGCACACCTGTACGAGCTTTCTGGACTCACGAGAAGTCTACTTGTCTTAACCAATTCGCTGTCTGGTTCACAAACGCCGCCATCAACATCCTTACCGATTTCGCGATCATCCTTCTTCCTATTCCGGTCATCCAGAAGTTAAACCTCGGCAAGAGGCAGAAGATTGGACTCATCTCCATCTTCGCAGTTGGCGGATTGTGAGTATTCCTCCCTGCTGTTACTTTGTTTTGTCCATTCGGGCCGTCTTGCGAGCGCCTGATGTCTGTTACAAGGTGTAACACGAAGCTCACTCGATTATCGCACGGTGCATCACTGTACCACCGGCTCTTCTCGTGATGAGTTACTCAGCGGGCATACCCCTACCATCAACTGTTACAAAGAGGTCACACTAACGCGCGATCCTGCAGTGTCTGCCTAGTCTCAATTCTCCGTCTACAATCTCTCGTCGCGATCTCGAACTCGGCTGATCCTAGTTACGACAACCCGCCTGCGGCGACATGGAGCTCCGTTGAGACCAACGTCGGCATTATTTGCGCCTGCCTGCCGTTGCTCAGGCCTTTGATCACACATTGGCTTCCAAGGGCGTTCCCGTCAAGACACCGCAGCGCATATTCCCACTCTCGCCCACAGGGCGCTCGTACCTACGGAAGCAGGGGTGGCAGCAAGGCGCTGCGCACCAAAGACGACTACGTTCTAGACGTAACGAAGCGTTCTAATGGTTCGAGCGAGGACGCGAGAGACATTCAAGTCGTTACGGACATCCACGTAGAAGTCGATGGTGCCGATGGGAGGAGGCTGAGCGGCTGGAGAACGCCCGCTTCGCAGGCCACCTGGGCGGACGATATATCCCGCAAGGAAACACAAAGGGAGAACAGCACTGAGATGCTGGTAGACGAAAACCCGCGTGTGTCGAGGTAGATCCGAGACTTTTCTTTTGTTCAGGCCACACACTTTGACATCACTTTGTTACGATACCCCATGACCTACCTACTATTAATAGAGAGTAATTCGACTCTTGTAATGCCCTCATTCTTATATCTTTTTAATTATCCGACTGCTCTCACGATCGTACGCGTGAGCGTCACTTTTTCACCTTTTTAATCGTTACCCACCGGTACTTCAGTCCTGGTTAAGAAGATGCTGTCCGGCTGAAGTAACCCCATCTCACTCTTCTCATTTATGACCAGAGCTCTCCTCTCTTGCCGGTACACGTCTCCGTTCAGATTATGACCTACTCCCTACGCAAGGCTTACTTCCCACGATGCTTTCTGCTCATCCAAACCCCTGTTTCTCGATGGCCAACGGCGCGGACAAAGCCAGTGGTCTGGAGAAGAGTGGCATACTGGTCGAACCGAAGCTTCTGGACCATTTCGAACATTCTTATGAAGCCCAAATGCTAGGTGTTTGGACAACATGGTTGAACGTAAGTTTTACAAGCAGCAAACACTTAGCTGAGCGCATCGATGTACTTATATCGTTGCGCAGTGTTACGCTTGAGTCATCATATACTTATAGTGCCTACTATAGCTTTCTAGCATCATTACGATATATACTCCATCCGCAAACATGAGCGACGCAAACATGAGGAACTCTGCCAAGCCCGTACGTGACGGTCGCACAAGCCCATTCACGTGCATTCACTCGCAGGTGCAACTAGCGTGGAGCTAGTGTAGTCAGCGCTACAGCTGACACTACCCTCTACTTAACCCAGGGGTCCTTTCAGCCTCCGAGCGATGGGCCACCACCACTTCTCGCAAGCTCGCATTTACTCTACCAGTAACTGCAGCTTTGCACAGCTAACAAGCGCGCCGGTTCCATCTCCACTATCGACATACAGGCTGTCTGTGTGGTATACGGAGCCTGTATCCACGCCAAAAAGGTACCAACAGTAGCTATGGCGCCCGCTGCTGCGGTCACAAGCGATGATCGCGCATCATCCGCTCATCCAAGGTTAGTGATTGCTTCTCCGACTATACGATATATCCCCTGACTCTTCCCAGTGAGCGTGCACGATACGCAGGCCAGGCTATCCAAACGTCCATGTCGTACTGGTCCGCAACTACGTACACGTCCGCCGCCCCCAGCACACGGGCGCCGAGCATGTCGCGCCGGTCATTCGCTGCTTCGGATTCGTCTCAAGTGCGAGCCTTCGGCGACTTCCAGTCGCGCGGCCCCCATACCTTACAGCCTGAGGTATTTGGATCTGAGTTTTACGCCAAACATTCCACCACCAAGGGCCTTCGGGGGCTCCAGCAGCGGGCCAAGGTCGATGGATGCTCGACCACCATCGACGCTACTGGCCAACCATCGCTCGTTGGGAAGTTCGCTATCTTCGTGGTCTGCGCGTTCTTTGTACTATGGATAGTACGATGTGCCGCTGAGATCATCTTCACTCTTGTTCCCTTTGCCGGCCTGGTATGGTTAGTGTTCGGTGGGTTCCAGGTGCATGAGCAGCAACAGCAGTCAGCTCAGCCGTCACCGATTGTAGACGACGACACGTCTTGCGGTGTTTGTACGACTGGAGACATCGTGCCCTTAATTGAGGCAATGATCCTCGACCGACAGACCGCTCATGAAGAGTCCAAAGTGCCACAGTGGTTAGCCAGCTTTCGGGATATGTCTGCAGGCAGCGACCAGTGGATGTCGTCTCTTGGAAACGAAGAGAATCTGCCTCTCACTACCGCCATCGCACCAAGTGTTCAAGGATCTACCGGGATCTCCCACACTACCGAACCCCAGTGCGAAATCGTCGGAGATGAAGACGCTGTCGAAGCTGCTTGCTCCAGCAGTGACCAGATAGCAGCAATTCAGCGTCAGCATGGCAACCTTGTCTTCAATGACACTGATCAGTGGGCCCCGGGTGGTCGACTTTACAACGAACGTCTGGCCAATCATCTTGAGCCTATCTTCATTGATGGTGATGGTCAGACATACGAGGATGTGGACGGCTGGTTTGGACGACCTGTCAAAGCAGATGCGCTGGACATCCGCTTCCTACTACAGGCTTTGGCGCCGCATCTTTCCGACGATCTGAAAGCCGCGATTGGAGCCCAGTCTCTGGATACGCTTATCAAGACTCGATTAAAAGACGGCGAGAATGCCCTCCTTCAGGAGCTCGAATTGCAATGGCTTCTCATTTGTCCTGGTACTATCGTCGCGCCCGGTTCACCCATCAAGACATTGCAGGACGTCAAACGCATCATCGAGGGGAACCGGAAGAAGTTTACCCCTGCATGTCACTTTGATGTACGCCATTATGTGGGACTGGATCACCCTTGCCGACCATATCTCACGGAATATGAAGAGATGGCGATCAACGAAGGCATCGCAGACTACAACATGCGTAACTGGAACATCGACTTCAAACCTTCATTCATTCGTGAAGCCACGAAGGGCAAACCAGAGCACGCCTTGCTCGAAAGCTACGAGCGGATACCCGACTGGATGGAAGATATTGACCAAGGCGACCTACTTGATCCAAATGTTTTCCATGAGTGTCCATGCGGACAAGTCGCCATGTCAGCACTCGGCAGTTACCGCGACGAAAAGGAGCACAACTACAAGGAGATGAAGGGCTTTGAATCAGCTTTCCCGATGGAAGTCCTCGACGGTAGCGAACTCCACGATGCCATGGCTGGCCTGGTGTTATTTCGTCATCTTTCCGAGCATGCGACACCGCCTCGTTCCCAGGAGATCGTTCAGAACTGTGAGGTGCACAGGACGATCACGAACAACATATTTGTTCTAGTCGACACATCAGTTGAAGACATCAACGAGCGCATCAGCCATCCTGGTGGTTTACTTCCTGCTCCAGGAATGACGTCCTCGTTCTACCCTCCCGGTTTTCAGACTACCATCGGTTTCTCGGAGATTCCTTACCGTCTGCTCCCCCCTCGGTGTGAGCACGGTCGCTTGCATCAACTTGAGTTTACGCCTCAGACGATGGCGAGCAGGATGATGAATACGAGTCAGATCGGCTGTACACACTGCTTTCCGCACGGCCACATCGTTACTCGATGCCAGGAGTGTCTAGAGCATTGCTATGCTCTGGCTGAGCCGCACGGCATGTGGGGGCAGCTCGATGCCGCATATCATCCGATGGTAGACTTTGCTCAAGAGCAACACCAGGGTCACGACTTGGCACAGAATGTGCAATCTAGGCGGGCTAAAGCGTTGATAGCTGGCAATGCGCGTGCCGCTCCTATCCCAGCCGGTATGCCCTTCCTTGTCCCTCTTATTAGATCTCCAGCTGACCTCATACCTGCAGTTCGACAGCAGTATCACGACTTCCCCATCAACTCAGATTTCGAGGCTGCGATGCAGCGCGCAAACTGGGAATGAGCCTTTGAACTTGCCCCTCTTGGGTACGAATTTGTACTATTATCTCCCATGTCCTTCCTCTATTCGCTGTTTCGATCGAGATCGTGGACGGTCTCGAATGTACTCATTCCTCTTGATTTGTTCGGCGTTTGATACCCGGTTTGCTGTTCTATGAACACCATCCCTGTTTGCTCATGTTAGCCATATAAATGCATATACCCAACTCGCCAACCATCAGTCTTATTAGCTTCAATTCACTTATATACTAAATAATGCCCCATCGCTGTGAACAGTCCGCTTCACTTCGGAACTATGCTTAGGCTGTGCGGTCAATCACTTTCACTGGACGATAATATCGGGTTCTCGCGAGGCAGCACTGCCCATTTAGATGCCCCGAGTCGTTCATTCACCGTAGTCTGTGCTGCTCTCTGAGCTAGCCCGAGCGTGGCTCCTGGTTGCGCCTTTGCGCCTGAAATCCTGCTCGGTATATATGTCCACGCTCGCGCTGCAGAGTCTACTGCACCACCATCACACCACACCAATAATTTCAACCCACATCAACTCACGGCACCAATTACACTCGCCTGAAACTCACTGCGTTCACGACGAAAGGGCCTCAGCCGTGTAGGTGGGCTATCCGCTCCACCGGCATCAGCCTCAACCGCCCCCTTATAACATTTCCGCAAGCGCTGGCCCAGACGAAGCGCACCCACAGATTTCTCAACCGTTTGCCTACCTTTACACCGGCTGCGACAAAGGAAGACCCCATTGTGCAGATCGCCGCAATATCAGGCATTACCAGGTTAGTTTCATCTGATGCGTTCAATGCAGACCAAATGCTAAATCACTGCAGTCAAACCATGCAGTCACTCAACAAGCTCTTCCCGCCCATTATAATGGTCACATCACCGTCGTCTGCCGCGGATACGCCCTCAACATCTCCAAACGTCGGAAGCGTACTGCGTACCTCCGCGACTTCGAAGCTCCATGTTGAGATGATTGAAGACGACGATGGCGAAGACTGCGAGTGTCCTGCTTACATCAAGTCGCTCGGCCCAAAGTTCCGCGGAGTCGGAGAGTTGGTCACTCATCCAAAAGCAGATGACGATGGCTTTGACTTGCTGAACGACATGGCTTCGTCCTCTCTGAACTCCGATTTCGACTATGAGGGTGAGTACAAAGACTACGAGTATACCCACGGGATTCTCGAAGAGATGGGCGTTGGATGCGAAGAACTGAGTGCTTGGCCATACACCCACACTTACTTCCGCACCGAGATGCCAGATGGCAGCAAGATTATCATGGCAAAGTTCCATGATACCTATGCAAAACGTCATACCGGCTTTCCAGCTTTCCAGGATAGCAAAGTCAGCGACGAGCTTCAACAGCACTTCCTGGACCTAGCTTGCAATGTGTCCAAGCACAAGCCACACTTGCATCTTCTCGCAAGGAAATTCGAACCTGTTGTGGATGAGGAAGAGCCTCGCCTGAACATTGGTTGTTTCGAGTATCCTCGTCAGTTTCCAGCGGTGTGGAATGAAGACTTCGACAAAGTTCCGTTGCCTCTTGGAGATGAGCGCGTCGTTGTTGGACTAGTTCGCTCCGGTACTCAGCGCAAGATCATCTACGAGACGATGAAAGTGCGCAAAGATGTGACAGACGACCCGATGAAATTCTCCTCTTGCCAAAAGGGCATTGAAGCAGCCCGCGCGCTCGCCGACTACCAGAACGACGATGAGCAAATTCGACGAACGACGCCGATCCCTGATTGCGACCGGCCTCGTTTTGAGGGAGGATTGCCACTAGAGGCTGTACCTAAAGCAAAGTGGGATCACCTTCACGATTTCCCGGGCGAAAACGATGGATTCGTTCAAGGTATCCTGGATAGACTGGAGAAGCTACGCGCCCACCCGGAACACTACGATCAATTAGTCGCAATCGGTTCCCACGAGTGTAAGGCCGGCAGTATCCTTGGAGATCGGAAGGGTCTCGAGGAAGACATGATTATTGGACTCTGGTATGACTTATATCATGAACAGGAGTTTGACACCGAGGCACTGCGCGAACAGGGGCTGCTTAATCCCGAGGATGACTTTGGCGACAATCCAGAGTACCTGAAGGCGAAGAACCTGTGGTGGGAGCAGAAGATGGGCATTCGCGGCATTGAAGCCATTGTCCGGTACCACATGGAGCACGTTCGCTCACGGCGACGCCCTAATCGAGCGGCATATTTTCTGACCGAGGAAGACGATGCTGCTCTTAACTACAGATCGCCGGAATATCCAGCATCGCGTGCTGAACCCGAGGAAGTTCCTAAAGAACATCGATTCTACGACGATCTTCATGACAGCCCAGTGGATTGGGCGGCAAAGTCTGAACGCTGGATTCGGCTGTGGCGTCTTTCAGTGAGCGACAACATCGCTCACGACGACTTCGACGAGGAATGTCGCGAGCCTTACGATGCGCTCGTAGAGTATCAAGACAGCCGCGAACCAGGCTGTGAAGCATATGAAGGACCAGAAGAGTTCGCACGGCCGCTGCTTGCGGGGCACCGTGTTCCCACTTTGGCTGCGCTGGAGCGAAAACGCCGCGATTCGGCTGTTGAGCTGAAAAGCAAGACTTCTCCTGCTGGCGGAATTGCACGAGTTCAGCGTACGCCCGGCAGCATTCCAGCGGCTCAAGTAATGGCCAAAGACAACGTTTCTGTATCGAACGCCGCAGCTCGTCGATCAGGGGGTCTCATGGAGCATATTCGGGGAACTCGCGACGAAGAGGTAGATGATGCCGCTGGCGCGGTAGGCAATGCGCCTTCTCCGAAGTTCCTTGAGGCGTTCCTGAAGAAGAAGAAGATGGCCAATGCCCCTTCTCCGAAATTCCTGAAGGCATTCTTGAAAAAGGCCTTTATGGGTGCTATCAAGTCTAGCATCCAAGTTCCGCCTGGCATTCTCGCCGACTATTCGGCAATTGGGGAGGAACTTCGTGATCAAGAATCAGGCATTCCCTGTAACTTGATACGACACAATGCACCCGGTCCTGTCCCTGTTCGGGGACGCGTCTGGGTAGGCTCATCGAACCCCGAGATGAGCCGTGATCAACGTCGCGAACAGCAGGTCACTGTTCCCGATGGTAAAGCTCTGACCCGACCGAGGAACAATGCGGAGAACCGGCTGATGGATTTACTGCATCTGCCTGTCAGCAAGGCTGACTCCATACATCGCCCTCGAAGGAAATGAAGAGTATCCGCTAGCACTGGCCCACAGGTCGCATCGGCCCAAGTCAATGCGCTTTCGATATACAAGGTATATTTGAGGAAGACTGCGGGAGACCTTGACGAAAGGTAGAGGTGTTGGCGTGTTCGCGCTTTCGGCGCTGAGCGTCCAACGCGCAGCATTCACAGCTGGAGGTTCGGAGACGGGCTTAGCTCTGCTTCGAGCAAAATAAGGCATCGCGAGACGTGTGATATGTCACTATACATATGAGCGTCTGGTGAGATGGAAGGGATTGGAGGTGTGACAGTGTGGTGGACGACGCGATCGAGACGCGTTGGCTGGATATCGTGGAGACTCGGGCATACTAGGCAATGCAATACGAAAGTTAGCTTTGCTGAGAGATTTGTGGCGCTCTATTTTTCTTGTTTGGCTGTTGTGAGTGCATTTGCATGCGGACCGGAGTGAAGGCAGAGTTGTCGCGACTGAGGTTTGGGAGGAGAGCTGAGCGTCGCGCTAGCCGGAATCAGCCACGTGATGACGTAGCGTGATTCTGCCGCTTACCCGTAGCCACAAATCAAGCCTTCTCCGCAAAGCTTGACACGCCATCTCATCTCCACTCAGTACGGGCGTGAGTGCCGGTATCTATTCATTGTTCGTCTGCTTTCGCACCTTCTCTGTGATGGGGCCATCATATATGCGCAGTCGCCCTGTGTTGGGGAACGCAGAGTCAAGTCCTGCTGCCGCACCTGCCTCCATTTTCAGCTACACTCTTGGTCAACATTGAGGTCTCATTACAGGTCCTTGCTGCCTCCCGCGATGGACTCTGGTCCCGGCACGTTCCGGCACTGCATCGAAAACGCGCGGTGTGCATGGGAGCGCTTCGGGAATAGCAGATCAGACTACTGAGGACGAACTGTGAGTAAGCTAACGCAGTCAGCTCAGAAGCTCGCCAGTGGCTGCAAGGTCACCATTGCTCAAAGGTTCAAGTTTGAAGAGCAAAGAAAGCATCTACTTCGATTTTTTCAAGACCGCAAACCACAATGCCTAGGGAGGTACCGAGTCCGTCTCCGAAGAAAGACAATGATGCAAGACTGAGAGCATTACGCGGTCACCACCGTCACGATCAACAAGATGGGGATAATTCAAGATCCGAGCAAATCAGACCCCTGTCGTGAACTCGTGGTCAGCCTCATGCTCCGCAGCCAATCTTCAGTCAACCATGAACCACTAGGTCGCCGGCAGTTGGTGGACATCCCCCGGAAAAGCCACAGCCCCAGCTATAGACAAAACAATATAGCCAGAATGGGCAAGCTTGATCGAATATCTCATGCACGATACCGTTCATCGCCGCATGCATGCCAGGGCTGCGTATCCGTCACCTTACTATCTTCAATAGTCATGATGTCGCTTTATGTGACGTATGCCTGGTGGAGTTAGTGGTGAAGGCATTGGGGTGGTACGATTTTACTTCCGCCCACTTGTGTATAAAAAGGAGGGTAAGCCGTCCATCTATTCTGCATTTGCACGGTGAGTTAGCACTGCAACGAGCAATTCCTCTCCAAAATGCTCTATTCCTCATCCGCCGCGTTCCTCTACTCCCTGGCAGGTCTTGCCAATGGCCTACCCGCACCAGCACCTCAGGCATCAGGAGTCTCTGGCGGCTCATCAGTGCCAGGACCTGTCGATCCCTCACAAGTCCTGAATATGCCACTACCTTCTTCGGCATCAGGCTCGTTGCGCGGTTCCGATGATTTACAAGGGTACAACCCTTCGAACCCAGTCGACATGAAGTCTACAGTCATCCCACCTGAGGACTTCGAGCTCGCACCTGGGCAGTCAGAAGACGAAGATTTGGGATTGTATATCGGTCTTACGAATGTGAAGAACCCACAGCCGATCCGCGGAGGTACTACAGGACCGACTGAACCTGGTCCACGGTAAGTTCATGGACATGCCCAAAGACTGTGCAGTGGCTGATATCTCGTTGCAGTACTCCAGCGTATGATCGTCTCAATAGCGACATTTACGCCCCACCCGGCTCGGATATGGGAGAAGTAAGCAATGCGAAATGGCCATTCGGTCTCAGTCACAACCGTCACGGCCTTGCAGGCGCAGGATGGGCACGATCGCAAAACACCGATCAACTGCCCTCTTCCGTCGCCATGGCAGGAACAAACATGCGACTAAGCCCCCATGCCTACCGCGAGCTCCACTGGCACAAGCAAGGCGAATGGGCATACATGTACATCCCTCCCCATCCCAGTCCCCCAACAAAGCTAACCAAACAACCCTCAGGCTCAACGGCAGCGTACGCATCGCCTCCATGAATGAAGCAGGCCAAACCTTCGTCGACGACGTCCAAGAAGGCGACGTCTGGTTCTTCCCCCCCGGAATCCCCCACTCGATCCAAGCCTTCGAAAACGGCTGCGAATTCCTACTCATCTTCAACGACGGTTCCTTCAGCGAAGAAAACACCTTCCTCCTATCCGAGCTCATGCTACGGAACCCAGAGTCCGTTATAGCCAAGAACTTTCGTACGTCGGTCAAAACAGTGCAGAACATGCCCCAGGAACAGTTGTGGATCTTCCCCGGTACACCCGCGCCAAAAAATATCTCTGAACAGAACGTAACGGGTCCGGCTGGCGTAATACCAAAAGAAGGCGCATACTCCTACCACTGGAGCCAGCAAGCCCCCGCCCGCGTCCCCGGCGGCACAATCAAGATCCTCGACCCCTCCACCTTCCCCATCGCATCCACCTTTTCCGCGGCTCTCATAACCGTCGAACCCGGCGCCATGCGCGAAATGCACTGGCACACCACCTCAGACGAATGGTCCTACTTCATCGCCGGCTCCGCCCGCCTCACCGTCTACGAAGCACCCGCCGCATCCCGCACATTCGACTTTACGGCTGGGGATGTGGGTTATGTGCCTGTGCCTAATGCGCATTACCTTGAGAATACGGGGAACGAGACGTTGGTTTATTTGGAGGTGTTGCAGAGTAGTCAGTATAGTGATATTAGTGTTAATCAGTGGTTGGGGATTACGCCGAGGCAGATTGTTAAGGATCATTTGAATGTGGGGGATGGGTTTTTGGATGGGTTGACGAAGGAGCATGGGTTTGTGGTGCAGGGGAATAGGGATTTGGGGACGACGGATTTTACGCCGGGGGAACATGGGGGTGCGTAGTTGTGGGTGCTGCTGTGTCGATGAAGTTTGGGATGGATGTGATCTCATAGCTCAATACCTAATAATGTCTTGGATACTCAAGCTTCTTTCCCCTACCATCTCCTACTCCTCGCCAAACTATCTCATCAATCTACCCCAACCTCTCCCTACACAACCCCATCGCCACATCCGCCGTCGCCCCATCAAAGAAATCATTAAGTATCACAACAACGCCCTCCTCCCCCATCAACTTCCTCCCCACCTCCCCCTTCAACAACGGCAGAATCTTATGATCACACACCGGTTTCGTCGCTAATATCGGACTCGTACTAACATCCGAATCAAGCACACTAGCAATAATCACATCCCTAATATTCGTTGCCGTAGCCTGACACTGCAGTAATGTAACCGGGTGGCCTCTAGGTGGGTCTTCACACATGGAGTGAAGTTTCTCGACCATCGAGTCCCCGGTCAGAGTAGCGTTTGCAGCGTCGTCGTAGTTCGAGACTTGGCCGCAGTCTTTTAGGATGATGAGCCGGGTTTTAGACTCGCGGAGGTCGTGAATGGTTCTGTGCATCATATCCTCCTGGTTCCCCGCTTTGAGATCTTTATCGCGCAGGATATCGTTGAGCGCATCTCGTAGTTCGTCGTCGTTAGGGCGGGGACAGTCGCCTGGCACGCCATCCCACCGGTTATGCACAACGATGATTTCGTCTTTGTGGTCGACTAGGAAACGAGTGATGTGATCGAGTAACACGCGATATGGCATTCCTGGTATGGCGCCGTGTTGGAAATACCAGGTATCATCCAGGGGACTGACTTTCTGCATCTGACGGTGACATTTCGCGGGGCGGAACTCGAAGTAGCGCGCCCCGATCTTGAGGATGGTGTCGAGAGTATCTTTCTGTGTGATGGCTAGCGCGCGGATGATATCTGGTGCGATCCGGTTTATGGCGCCGTCGCCGACTTTGTTGATGATGGTGAGGGCGTGGGGGAGACTGCGGCCGAGGACTTCTTTGATAATGCCTGTGCCGGCGTTTTTGAGGAGGGAGAGACTACTCGACATGTTGTTCATACCGATGTCGTGGGCGGAGGGGAGGACCATCTTGTGGAAGGGGCGGTTGGACTTGTCTGAGCCTTGGGGGATGACGTCGCGCATCCAGTTCTCGTAGTTCTTTGTGACGGTCACGTAGCATTGGTGTTGTTTTGGTAGCTCGGCTAGACCTGGTCCGGCGTCGTAAAATCCGTAGGAGATGATGAGGTCGTTGGCGAAGATGCTGGGGGTTTGTTCCATGTTGACCATTGAGCCGTCTTCTAACTTGCCGGTCATGCTGTTGATTGCGACCCATTGTTTTGTGAGCTCGCGGCCGTCCTGGCGAACGATGAACTCGAAGTTTCCGGTGAACTTGAAATGGGGTAGGTTGGATGACTCTACTTCGAGATGGTCATGAAGGAATTGGTGTTGGTCGCCTTTTTTGACGTTCCCCTTTGGCACCGTGTACTCAACCTCGACTCCATCCACTGCGATGTAGGTGAAACATCTTACACCTTTGGAAGGCATTTCCAACTCCTATTCTTCTCTTCTAAATAGTCGTTCAAGTATATCGTTCGCACTAGGTGCCAGACCTTAGCGGGTCTATGCCGGGGGGATCAGAGATGCGCAGCATTTTGAGCTAGGGAAGCGGGGCATCATCTCATATAGCACAAAGCGGGTGATCCGTCAGCCACGCGTTTTCAGCTCTGTCTAGACTCTACGGGTCGTTAGCGGTGGCTTAGCTGTGGTGTTGAAGTGGGGGAAGCCGCTGGGCGCACCAATTAGGCCCAGCAGTCATGGCACGCTACTCGGCCCGACGCCAACCTTGTAGAGCTGGCAGCCCATTGACGACTGTTTTTGTGATTACAGAAAAAGTCTGGGTTCAGCAGATCAAGAAATAGTGAGCTCTCGTTCTTTTCGCTGCACATCACCAATGACGGTCCCGTGAATGATGACTGTTGAGCTACCCTGAACCTCTGCCGGCCATAGGTAGCACAAGGTAGTATTTTACCTCTGAAATGATGAAGTCAATCAAATGAGCATTGAGTTCAGACGTATCAAGGTTACGCTCACTTGTTGTGACGATATCGACACGAACGACAGGAGAATCCCGCGCAATTGTCATAACGTCGATACAGTTTGACGCCTCTGCCAACAAGCCAAGGGTAGCATCGTATGTATATCCATCTCATGGCCGACCGGAATGAGCCTAAACGGAACATTGAGGCCTCGAAGTTCACCTGAAACAGGGTACAGGCTGGGGCTGAGCGGTCTTCTCTTGTCGCCAGGTGAGAATGTAAATGTCTTCAGGCTATTTACAGATGCACATGTGAAGGAGCATGGCCACAATGCTCACCAGCCTTTACCGGTAAACCGGACACCGCGGGCCGTTGTTCGCCAGATATGCAGGCGAAGATGCACCCTTCTGGTGGATCTGCATCGCCGGCATGGAAGTATATGCACCGAGAGGGCGAAGACCCAATAATGTTCTGACGGAGCAGCTAAGCGGGCTGTAAGAGAGTCGAGATGAAACAAGCTATGTGTTTCAGCGGTGGTGGGTGATGCGTGGATGCTGGCAGGTGTTGGTGGGGCAATGAGCTGTTGCCCCTCACCCCAGGGCTCTCGTTGCGAGCACCTCCCTTCTAGACCAAGTAGCTCCATACCGCCTGCTGCCATTAGTGTGAGCCGTCCCCAATTGATTTCCTGCCATTTCACCATCTAATTCCCAATTGCAGTTCGAGCAATCAATCAAACCCGCGAACAAGCCGCTTCGAGTTATACAATAGATACCCCACCATCACCTCGAGCTACAGCAACAACACATCGTCATCATGGTCGACCGTGCGAACCGCCCATCAGCGCTGAACGCGCCCACCGCGTCTGCACCCGGCCCCCAGGTCGATATCGTTGGAGAGGGTGGCAGCCAGAAGGTCGTCGCGAGACTGCCATCTGGCGAGAGCGTCGAGGTACTGCTCTTTGGAGCCACTGTTACTAGCTGGAAGAGCAGCGGCGGAAAGACTGAGAACCTCTGGTTGAGCGACGCGGCCGATCTCACTGGCAAGAAGCCTGTACGCGGTGGTATCCCCGTCGTATTCCCCGTCTTCGGTCCTCCCCCCAAAGAGGGACACGCCACTTCGTCGCTTCCACAACACGGTTTCGCGCGTGGATCGCGCTGGGAGTACATGGGCAAGTCGACTGCGGAGGATGCTCTCGACTCCAACTCGGTCAAGCTCGACTTTGGCCTCGACCGCCAGTCGCTCAGCGAGGAGTCGCGCAAGGCATGGCCACTGGACTTTGGCCTCGTATACAGCGTCACACTGAGCAAGGACAGCCTACAGGCCGTTCTCACCGTCCGCAACGAGGGCGAGGAGAGCTTCGAGTTCCAGTTCCTGCTCCACACCTACTTCAGGATCCAGGACGTGTCCAAGATCGCTATCACCGGCCTTTCTGGCACCGAGTACGTCGACAAGGTGCTCAACGCCTCTACCCACACCCAGAGCGACAACCAGCTCAAGATCACCGGCGAGACAGATCGCGTATACAAGGACATCAAGCAGGACACGACATCGATTACCGAAGACGGCAAGCCTCGCTTTGACGTCATCCGCGACAACGTCAAGGACACCGTTACCTGGAACCCGTGGATCGAGAAGGCCAAGGCCATGGGCGACTTCTCGCCCGACGACGGCTACAAGAACATGGTCTGCGTCGAGATCGGTGCCGTGGACGGCTGGCAGAGGCTGGAGAAGGGCGAGGTCTGGGAGGGTGGCATGTTGGTTAAGAGCCACTTGTAGGAGACAGGAGCACGCCTAATTAGGAAAAAAACCGAACACGCTGGAGTCTACGTTGACGTTGGGCCACCTACTTTGCAAGTTTTTGGTTTGATGTAGTCTGCAGACCTGTTCAGGTTTTTCTTGTATTAGGTGGGAGGGGCATGAAACCGTGCATTGATCCGGTTTACTGATAGCCCTGGAGACTGGCTAGGTAGAGACCACTGAAAATAATGATGAGTCTGGCCAGTCATTGTTGGTATGCACTTGCTATGAGACGGTGACAGACCCTTGCCAGCTGGGACGCCCTTGCCGTTCCACTCTCCCCACCAAAACCTGCGCGCCGTCCAAACAACACACGACACCATGACAACAGTCAGCGCTACCTGAGGAACACGGTCATGCCACTTCTACAAGACAGTCGCGAGGCCGTTCGATACCCCTTCTGCTATCCGCTGTGGGCAATCGACTAAGGTCCCTGCCTATACCGGCCTTTGTAGCTTCCCCGCACCGCACGAGGTGGTACGACCGCACATATCACATTCACATTTTCCATATTGAAGGCAGTTACGTCAGCTCGATTGTTTACGTGGGCGACACGCTGTAGACCGCTGTCTAAGACGTTGCGCGCCCTTCCCAAGCCGACACCCCTACGACAGGGCCGACGGGCGCAAGTCGCACCAAAACATGTCGCTGATTCCCTACGCCCCAGCTGAGTCGCGGGAGATTGTGCTGTAGGTTCCTATGAGGATATACCATGCGACAACAATGACATAGTGCTAACGAACTTCACAGGCGTCATGGTTCTGCTGTTGTCGTCTACGACCAGCGCTCGAAACAGCTCTCCCTCCGCGATGCCTCCCACGCGACTGATATCGGCTCTACGTCATGTCCATACTGTCACCGATCCTACCGCGAACCATCACCCCATGACGAACACGACAGCGACGCGGAGGAACATACTGCGCCTGGCATACCCACCGAAAATGGCTTCGTCAATCCCGCATACTTCCAAATGCTGCGCCGGAGTCAGCCAGGATCAACAGAAGGATCGCGACCATCTTCACCACACAAACAACTGGCGCCTGCCCCTTTGCGCATGGGCAGCTTCGAACCGCCAGAAGGCTCTGAGTTTGTGGGAAGCACACCGATCCAGCCAGCCAGAAGCCAGGGTATATCTGCCAGAGCCTTCAGTCCCAACTACTTCAAGGACTTCTTCATAGAAGAGCGGGAGCTGGGCAGAGGAGGCAAGGGTGTGGTGTTGCTGGTGCAGCATATCCTGGACGGCGTGCACCTGGGCAAGTTCGCATGCAAGCGCGTGCCAGTCGGCGACGATCACGAATGGCTGGAGAAGGTCTTAATCGAGGTGCAACTACTGCAGACCCTGTCGCACGAGAACCTGGTGTCATACCGGCATGTATGGCTGGAGGACTACCAGATATCCAGTTTCGGTCCAAGCGTACCATGCGCATTCATACTGCAACAGTACTGCAACGCCGGCGATCTCCACGATTATATCCTAGACTCAATGAAGACGTCTGTCACCAAGGAGCAGATGAAAGAGCGACTCAGGAGGAGATCCAAGGGCCAGTTAGAAGACCCGGAAGACGTGCATGGGCCGCGTCGCATGCACTTTGAAGAGATCATATCCTTCTTCAAGGACATCACATCCGGCTTAAGTCACCTTCATGCCAACGGCTACATACATCGAGACCTGAAGCCTAGCAACTGCTTGCTCCATCGTACTGGCCGCAAGATCAAAGTCCTAGTCAGCGATTTCGGCGAAGTGCAGTCCGCGAATACAGCGAGAAATTCGACAGGAGCAACTGGAACCATCTCGTACTGCGCCCCCGAAGTGCTTCGTCAAGAGCGACCTGGAGGTGCTTTTGGCAACTTCACAACCAAGTCTGACATCTTTTCGCTCGGTATGATCGTCTACTTCATGTGTTTTGCACGACTGCCATACCGAAACGCGGACGGTATCGATGAGGACAACGAGGACCTAGATCAGCTGAGGGCAGAGATCTCGACTTGGGCTGGTATCGACGACGAACAGCGGGTTCGATCAGACTTGCCTGAAAAGCTATACAGATCGCTGAAGACGCTCCTCGCCATCAACCCCGATGAACGCCCAGGTGCAGAGGAAATCCTGAATGTCCTGAAATCACCACTGGTATTCGACGAGTACAACGCATATGCAGGCCCGTCGGGTCTAGACGAGTTTAGTCCTCGCATATCGCGAGCCGACACGCCCAGCCCGTCACCTAACCAAGGTAACAAAAAGCGTACTTCGATCAACTACACACGGCCAGGTCGATCGCATCTCAGCGCAACTGTCATGGACCGCTCGCCTAGTCCGCCACGTCCGCAGCCGATGAGGAGGCAGTCTTCTGAGGACGGGGCGGTGATCTTGCGGAGAAAATTGGAGTTTCCGCCGCCCCCTTCTGGAGGGAGAACGCCATCACCACAGCGTCTCATGCTCCCTCCGCCGCCACCTGCGAGTGCATCATCAAAGTTGTACAGACTGTCAAGAAATCCCGCTGTCATCAGCACTACCAAGACTTTGCTGTTCTGCGCAAAGGCTTATAGTTTGCTGTCGCCTTGTCAGCCGTTTGCGGCGGATCCACGCGTCCTGTACCCGTTGTTGTGCATAGCATCACTCGACTTTTTGCATGCGGGTATATCCATCAGGGGGAGACCAGTCGACTTGGGTGGGTTGGGACGCTCAGTGATACTTCTGCTGGCACACATGATGGTGGTGGGTGTTCTGTGGAGATGGAATCGACTTTGCGCAGGTCGAAGTGTTGCATGGGATGGCATGTAACGGATGTTTGGGAACGGAGTATGGTTGTGACAGATCTGATTTATGATACCTCTATAGCACTGACACAAAGTAACGAAATCATCATAACAATCTTCTGAACATAGCAGTTGGGTGCAGTGCCTTTCAATTCGAGTTGTTCGACGCGCCGCGCACGTTGTGACGGGCGTCGGTGGCTGGGTGGGGCCAGGGTTCGTTAGCTTTGTTTTGGAGTAAACACGCTGACCCGCTTCGTCTTTAACACTCATCGCACTTTCCACTACAACGCGCCCCAAGACACCCCATCATACTTGGGCTGGAATTATTCTTGGAGGTAATGATATAACTTCAGCAGCCTTTACGAAGTATCTTTCTCATACCCTATTCACGTGTTTACCACGCGACGCGACCCTCCACAAGCTGCCCGCCGCAGCCTCACAATTTCGACATGCAGTCGTCTCCTCCCACAAGTGACGGGAAAGCGCGCGCTATTCGAGAACTATCACGCAGCCTCAGCCACAGCCCCAGGAATATCACCTCGCCATCACCACCACCGAGTGACTCGAATCCCACGCAGCGCTCGGGCTTCGGCACCAACACGTCTCAGTTCTTTGACGACCCGGACATTCTCATGTCCACACAACACAACATTGGCGAAGACACAAACACACTCCCAGCATACCCGCACATTCGGTCAACAGCCAAGAAGATGAACACTTGGGCACCGTTCCGCTCCCAGCAGGTCCAGCCGGATACATCCATGGTAAACAAGGAGTTCGGCGACTTTGACCACAGTATATCAGACGAGGAAAGCATGGCTGTCGAACAGGCGCGAGGTAACCGCAGCAACCGCGGTACTCCCAGCAAGATGAGCTCTCAGTTTAACAGCCTTTACGACATCACACCCCCCACCAACCGGTCGCGCAAGTCATACCAAGCAGAGACTGGTAGCCTTCGACGCGACGCGGCAATCCGACGCGCCTCACGCAACGACCTTGATACTGCATCGCCGCGTCCTGCAAGCAAGCGCAACTCCCCCGCCCTCTCTACAAAGGAAGACCGCAAGCGTACTTCTCTCGCACAGCTGCACGCGAAGCTCTCGGAAGACGAGTCATCGTTCATGGAGCACCGGCCACCAACACTGACCATGGACTCGGCCAAGAACACGCGCTGGGGCAACAGGAGCCGACAGACTTCCCTCCAAACTGACGGCAACGTCGACCCTCCGCAATCAAAAGCTGCATCTCGCTCCAGGCCGGCCACAGCACAGAACGCGACTGCGCAGTCTTTCATTCTGCCCGACATCCCCAACCTCACCGAGCTTGTCTCTGGCGTCTTCGACGATGGCACACCAGTCTTTTCCAAGACCGCACCCTCAAGATCACGCTTCGCTGCTCCTCCATACGGTGGTCGCCGCCCATCGCATATCCCAATTGATGGTGCGCCCATACCCGACGAAGAGAAGGCCATCTTCGCTGCCCTCCAGCAGCTACAGGAGAAGATTGCAGACATGGAGCGTGACCGTGAGGAGAAGGACAAGAAGATGGATGAACAGGAATTGGAGCTGATCGAGCTGAGAGCGACCACACAAGCTCAAGAGAAGCTGCGACGAAGCGACAACGCACAGGACTCTGATGCTGGCGGAAAGAGTGGCTGGAAGGTCGAGAAGACGCGTAAGTTGTTGCAGAATATGGGAAGTATAGGATTCTACTGACAACGGCCAGGTCTTGACGCGACGGTACAAACCCTCCGAACCAAGCTTGATCGCGCCGACCGCAAATTCGCCGTACTCGAAATCGAGAAGAAACGCTTGAGCACCGAACGCGACAACATGGCGAACCAGCTGGGTGTCGCGTTCCAGACCTGCGAAGAACTTAAGACCGAGAAGAACGCATTGAGCCACGAGAACGAGCAGCTCCGCCAGGAGATTGACAACCTTCGCGAACAACTCGAGCAAGACCAGTCACACCACCGCGAAGAGACAACTCAGCTTCGTCAGCAGTTCGACCAAGCCGCAAACGCCACTCAGAGGGAGAACGCCAACTTAAATGCTGAATTGGCTCGCGTACGCGCTCAACAGGACGAGAACACCCAGCAGTTGACTCGTAGGGATATGGAACTGCGAAAAGCGCGTCAAGAGCATGCTGAGTATGCCCGTTTGAAGTCCGACCACGAGTCGCTCAAGGCTCAATTGGCAGAGTTTAAGGCAAAGCGCGAAGAGGAGGCTCAGCGCTGGTCTCGACAAGAAGCTTCCTTGCGAGCTCAGGTTGGCCGACGCGACGACACCATTCGACACTTCGAGGATATGACACAGGAACGTACCAATGAAGCCATGCGTCTGGACAATGAGAACCTTCGAAACGAACTTCGCGAGCTGCAAGCTCAGCAAGATGAGGAAAATGAGGAGTGGGCCAGGAAAGAGGCGGAGTTACAGCGAAAGATTCGCCAGCGTGAGAATGCTCGCAAGGCTAGGGACATCGAGCAGCACTTTGACGATTCCACCGGTCCTGTTTCGAGAACTCGGGATACAGAGCACATCTTTGAAGATACTCTGCAACGCAAGCCTAGCTATCGCCGCGAAGACACACGTACGCGCATCAGGAACCGTGTCCAGCAGGAAGTCCGCAACAGCAAGGTCGCTGGAGGACCAAACCAAGAGAGCCCGCGGAAGTCGTTCACCGGACATTCGCGATTCTCAACCCGTAGCGTGTCAGCACCTGTTCCCGCGGACAAGCACGCTCGCGCCGAGAGTGATGTGGAGTCGACAACCGATCTGTCTCTTGCACCTCGCGCAACTCTTCGCATCTCACGAAACCCCACTTCTACGAGGCAAACCACGACCGTCCAGCCTCCTGCTGACCTAAGTCTGACAGAGCTGAGCTTTTTCCCTCAAGAAGAGATTGCTAGGCTTCGACGATCTCTGGAAGAACAGCGAGCTGCTGAACGCAATGGTGCTTCATCTGCTAGAACGGAGGAGCCAGTCCGCGAGGATACCGTTCGATCGCAGCGCCAGACTCGCGAGGATACTGTTAGGTCAGTCGCTTCTGCTAAGAGCGAACGGCGACCCTCTCTTGTGCGCAAATCGTCACTCAAGGACACCACTCAGCGCACCACCAACACTCATTTCGAGGAAGACACTGGCAATATGTCGAACTTGGACGCCGACGCCGAAGCCACCCAAACAAAGCAGTCAGCCATCGACGCGTCCATGCTCAGCAACACCAGCCGCAGACGCCGCAGCGCTCCCACCGAGATGACATCCGCCTTCATCCTCCCCGACATCAAGCTCAGCTCCACCAACCAAACCACCACATCCCGCAAACCCATCAACAAAGACCACGACAACGACAACTGCACCGTGTGCCGCCGCGAAGGCTACACCACAGCCACCGGCCCCCTCCGCGTCCCCAAACTCGTCTCCGTATCCACGCGCACAGCCGACGAACCCGATTCAACCCTCCGTCCCGCACAATCCCCGCGCGAAGCCCTCGCCCTCGTCGTCAAAGGCCTAAAAGACGAGCGCGTCCACCTCTGGGCCGAGCTCGCCGTCCAGGGCGCCCTCCTCGAGCAACACGACCCCAGCCTGGGTAAGCGCCGCCGCGACGCGCTCAACGCCTCGATCCAAGACCTGCACCGCCGTCTCGAATGGCTCGACATGCAGATCTACCGCCTCCACGACGTGCTCGAAGGCCAAAAAGCTGATGAGTTAACCGAAGCGGAATTCGACGACCTCACACAAGAAGTCCTTGTTCAACAGTCTGAACAAGAGCAAGAGGACGGTAACACGGAGAAATCGGTGCCTACTGGTGGAAAGAAGAAGGCGAAAAAAGTTACGATTCGCAGCTTTGTCGATGAGGATGAGGATGAGAGTGTGGAGTTGAGGCGTAGTGCGGCGCAACAGGATCACGGGGCGGAGGAGAGTGGTGATGAGACGCATGAGCTTCCTTGGGAAGGGTTTGGGGAGGAGAGTATGGAGGGGGATGTTAGTTTTAATGCGCTGGAGGGGTGGAGGGCTAGTGTGCATTGAGTTTGTTGTGTGTGAGAGACACGGAAGGGTTGACTTTGAGTATTCTGTTTGAAAGAAAATAGGGCGGGTGGTACATTAGGGTGTTTCTTTTGGATATGGGTTGATTGGGTTGGGGATTGCATTGGTATCGGGCATTGGGTATGGGCGTTTCTTTCTTCTCTGTTTTGAGTATGCGGGTGGCGGTTGGATTCTTTCCTTTCTCTCTTTCCTTCTTGGTTACTCCTCTTCTTCTCTCGTTGACATTGCGGCTCTCCTTGTAGACTAGCAGTCGCTCGGCATCTGGCTCGGCATTCGTGTTTCAGTCCTTTCGGTTTGAGACCTCGACTCACCCTCTCTTTGGGTTCGAGTTGGTCTCGCTGGAAGGATAAGGATATGAGTTCGTGTATATTGCTGGGGAGTTGGAAGCTTACAGAACTGGTTGTACGGTCAATGGATCAGTCTGAACATGAAGAATTGGATACATCATCGAACACTTGATACCTGAAAAGAATAGTTCCTTGCTCGTCTCGTTATCTCATCCCAAGCAAAGTACAGTTGCACGATGAATGGTTTCTCGCATGTGCAAGAGTATATGTCATCTGCTGCACTTTGCTACCAAAAATCCTGAGGTGACTGACTCCTCTGCCGCCGTCTAGACAGACCCCTTGGTATCTTACCCTCAAACGCACCAGTAGCTTGCCATATACTCGGTCCCGCGTTTCTAATCTGTTGTTCTATTGGGTCTTCTTCTTCAGACCTTCCATCCTGTGAGGCGTCTCCAGCCTCCTCATGTATGATGGGATTGATATGAGTTCTTGTGTTGGCATCCTCCGCAGTATTGATATCTTGTTCGGCTGGAGAGCGTCTATGTGGCATTGGACTTTGACTGCTTAGCCGTGTTCGATTTGCCTGTGGACAGGAAGACGCCCGTCTTCCACTTCTCTTTCTCTCGGGTTTTGGGGGCGGTGGAGGTACGACAGGCGGAACCACCAGACTTGTTCGGGACGCTGCCTCTGTGGGGGTAGGTGGAATTGAGATGATGTGAGCTCCAACATCCTTGCGGATTTTTTTCCATCTGTGACATTGTTCCAGTACCATGTCTATTGCTTCCTCATACTCTTTTATGCGTGGGTCTTCTTCTGCAGGTTCAGGCGAAGTGGGAGGGGATTCTGCTACTGGCGCTTCTTGATATGAAGGCTGCGTGGATTGCGTCTGGGTGGTTGTGGTAGACTGAGAAGTCAGTGATGAATCGTGACGTTGCGACATGGGACTTTCCCTGGGACGCCGAGGTGGACGAGGTGGCCTGTTGCCAGCATCATCCATAGGAAGAACGCGTTCGACGTATCGCTCTACTGACTGTGAGAAGTCCTGTACCCGTCGCTTCTGCTTGATGACATCATGTGTATTCTTCTGCTTGGCATATTCGCTAACCTTTTTTTCTGCTTCATCGAGGCGATTTGGTAGTTCATTCTGTTTGAGTTCGTATGTATCCCTGCGTTGATCAAGCCTCGCTTGACCGCATGTATGAGAACCCGCTTACCTTGAGCTTTGCAATACCTGTATACGCTGCTCCACAGTCATACCGTAATCATAGAAGATATCTTCCCTTTGCTGAGCTGTCAAAACGGATTTGAGGTGAGCCAGTTGCTCGTCTAGTAATTCGATAGCGCAGATGTTCGTGAAGCCGACCATGCTTTGTCTTGCAATGCTCAGGGATGCGCGTAGAAAGACCAGATGCTTGGTGTTAAAGTACCACTTAAACTTAGCAAGACCAGTATCAATAATGCTGTGCTTATAGACAGGATCCCGCGATAGGGCATCCACTTTGTACGCTAATGTTTTGAAGTCTGCGATGGCATGTTTGGTCCAGGAGACCAACTTTCGCTTGGCCGAGGACAGACTTCTTCTGTGTTTCTTCCTTGTTGAGCAAACTTTGAGAAACTCAGTGTATAGATCGGTAAAGATGTCCATCTCGTTCACCAGTTCTTCGAGCTCTTGTCGTGCATACGTAATTTTCTTATAGGCGCCACGGAGTTCTCGCGCAATTCCGATGACGATTGGGCATAGAGCAACTGCTGCTGCCGCGGTGCTGAAAGGATCCACCATCGCGGTATGGTAACAAATTTATGATGAGGTGTTGGTATCAGTATCTCAAGCATAAAGATATAGAAGTGAGAATGAGCGTGATGAATCCAGGAACCTTTGCGATCTACGACTGTGTTCGAATGCAACACTGTCTCTTTTAATGTGCAGGAAGCAGTCGGCAACATAGAAGGAGAAGGAAATCGACAGAACCATTCCGAACGTGCATATTGACCGGTGAACTGATGGCTTTATTGAGCATGCACGACTCTGCCAACCAGCGGCCAATGGCACTCACCACTTTGGCCTTCGCATGCAGGGCAGGCGGGGTAACGACCTCGCCTCTCTGCCTGCGCACTTGAGGCAGACTCACCACACCGGGTATAAGAGAGGTTATTGCGTCTGATAGGCGTTATTGTCTATCGAAGGATGTGTGGGGGTACGGCATGGAGGTGTTGGGCGTGCTTCATCCGCCGAATCGTGAATTGAATGCATGGCACAGCCGTGGTGATGGGCGCGACGCTGTGAGCCTTGCTGTGGGCCTTGCATCGCTTCGGGAATACTGGGTATCGCTTTTTGAGATGAGTGAAGGAGATAGGAAACCAGAAAGCGGAAGTTGCGATGTTAAAGCGAGGATTAGTGGCTTGGCAGCTGGTGTAGGGAAGGCGCTCTCCATAGAGAAGAGTATGCGCATTAAACTCGATCCGCAGCCTAGTCTTTTCCGAGCGGCTCATGTAAGGCGTTACTTGCTTTCCGAGTTGGTTGTATCAGCTTTGGAACAGTCAGTCATTCTCACAGTCATCAAATCAATGAAGAACTTTGAGATTCAAGTCTCGATTGATACTACTCAGAGCCCTCGGCTCAAGTAGATCGCTACAAGAAGTAGCCTACGTATGACCGAACCTCTCATATCCGAACCTAGGAAATCCACCAGAGCTCCTCCAGTAAAAGGCAAAGGGTATCATCCATCTCAGTCCTCCATCCGTAACGCCGTCATAAAAGTCGTAAAGGATCCAAGCACGAGACCCAGATCCAGACCCATAATCCGTCATCAACATCCTCGTATCCTGTCCGTTCGACCGAAGAGAAGCGCAACTCACAAGCAACAGAACTGATCCACATTCCACCATCGCCATAACCAGCACACACAACCGACTCCCGCTCACCTCCCAGAATAGAACTGAACAAAGCGAAGAAAAGCGCATGCGTAGAAAAATGACTGGCAGAACGCTGAAGAAAGACATGTGAGGAAGAAAAACTTACTGTGGATCGATCGCGTCGCATCTCGGAAACCAGCAAACAGCGATCCAGCACACAGCTCTTGTCCAGTGGAGACTCCCGTCATCCTTTCCCCTTGGATTAGCTCTTCACAGGTACCTCTGCTCCCTGTCGCCGCGCATCCTGAGGATGGGGCGCTCGGAGACAGGCTTCTGGCGAGGTTTGTAGATCTTTCGACCAGTGACGACAGCGATCGCGTTCGGGTTTGAGAGCTTGCGCTTGGCGGCATCGTCGTCAGCGCTGTCGACGGCCCACTTGTTCGAGCGCTTCCTGGAACTGTCTCGCTTGGGGACCGTGATGTTGGAGCCGGGAGGACTGGGCAAGACGTACTGCTCTTCGACCGATTTGCCCTTGCCCTTAGGGCGATTGAACATGCGAATCGGGCTTGCAGACATGGTCATGGCAGCGGGTGGCTCGCGGCCAAGGGGTGTCATAGGAGAAGGCGTGCGCTGTGAGTCGGGGAGAAGGCGCGTCAGGCGCGAGCCACTGAACGAGAGAGGCGAGCCAGTGGGACTGGACTTGGCCATGCGACGGTTGGTGGGCGTAGTGAACGCGTTGTCGTCAGGCTCAGGGCTGGCCTCGTTGCGGACGGCACCGGTACTGGTGTCAGCAGCTAGTAGCAGTAGAACACAGGATGCGTTTGGGTTACCATGATAGTTGAGACCCTGATAATTTGCGGTACCACGATCATTCTGCAGGTGAGGTGCAGTAGGGAGACCAGTGCCCGGAGCCGAATTGCGTCGGCTGCTGTCAGCATGACGGCCATTCCGACCAAGATACCCAGTGGAGCGCCTGGAGTTAGTTGGAGCCCCGATGTTGGTGAAACCAGTACCGGTGTTGGTGTTGAGTGCCGGACGTTCCCTAGCACGCTTGTCGTGGCGACTGGCTGCCTCGTTGTGAGACACCATCTTGACCTCGCCTGTCGCTCTATCAATTTAGCTTCCAAACCACGAAGATCCCGGGTATGCAAGGGGAACTCCGTACTCTGACCTGGTATATAACTGATGCTCGCAGTAAACGTGTTGTGCGCTGTGGAAAATTGTTGTTCGCGTCGAGGTGTTGTTGTGATGGCTCGATTGGGTGTTTATATACAAACGGACGCGGACGCGCTCGGGCCGGGCGACGAGAACTTTGCACCCCCGCATAGCGAAAAGTGTTTTGAGGTGAAGAAGACGAGGAGCGGGGAAGAAAGCGGTAGGGCTTGATGTGGACGTGATTCGCCTTCACCGTGAGCAGTGGCGGTTGGCTAGTAGCGTGGAGCGGTGAGGTGCCTGCGGACATCCAGATGGTTTCTACATTTCCTGAGGTACGGTAGGAAGGGAGTGTAATAGCCAATAAAGAGAATGGAGGTCGTGGCAATATATAGGAACTATCCCACATGCAGACATCCGTTCATGTGACAGGTACGGCTGGTGAGTGCGATACTTATTGCATGTGCTGTACGAATTGACGGAAACAGCAAGAACAAGTAGAGAGTGTGATTTCATAGAGTTGTAGGGAAGAATAAAAGACATGAGACAACGACTGATATGAGAGTTGAGCAAAGCGAGTAGTGAGAGAAAATGTCAGGTAATAGCATACAGTACCTCTAACATCGGCCTTAACTTATAAGATCGAAAAGGTCACCCGACCAATCCTACACAAGAGTGACGAAGGAAATGATCCTAGTCACAAGCCTACTATGGAATTCAAAAGCAAGACACAAACGCCGACAGAGAGATCCAATCCCAGAACCAAACCGTAAAGCAGCCACATGCCAGGGGAATATGTAGCAATGTAGCCTTTATATGCGCCAGATCAGCGCCGTGAACGTCCAGCCATGGATGTATAGTGAAGAAGAAAGGTCGTGGACAATACAAAGGAGACTGATAGCACCCGAAGAAGGGTTGCCTCAGATGTCTTCCATATTGCCCGCCGCTTCATCTTCATCGCCTGACTCGTAGCTGCCGACAGAGCTCATCTCGTCGTCATCGCCATCGTCTTTGTCGGAGTCTTCGGCAGTGTCCTTGTTGGCGTACTTCTGGACATATTCTAGATGCACATTAGCCTGGCTCACACGACTCACCCTTGTATACATACCCTTCACCTTGGCCTCGTAGCTCTTAGGTTCGCGCATAAGGAGGGCTGCGGCCTCGCCGTTCAGAGGATCGGTCGGGTTCGGGTATCGCAGGAGCTGAGGAAGGAATACCTCGAAGATGTTGATCATGTCGTACATTGGTGACCATGTCTGGTTGATGACGTCGAGGCAGACAGATCCAGAGCTATTGAGTAAGCAGATGTTCTCTGAAATACTAAAACAAGTGAATAGCACGTACAGTTCGTCGATATTGGGGTGGAATATCCTGTTTACGAAGCCAATGCTAGGGCTCTTATACGGATACTGATCGGGCAACTCGACATGAATCTTCCAGAGTCCGCCCTCGAATGGCGCTGTCCTTCGTTAGCACGTTATGATACGCAAGGCGCATGCACAACATACTTTCTACTGGGCCCTTAAACCTAACGTAGAACTCCTGCCTGTGGTGTGTCAGCCTCGTTTCGGCGAATGCGGATTCGGATGGTAGGAAGGACTGACACTACGGGGTGTTAGCTGTGTATCCGATAGGGATGGGTGTCATGTTACTCACTATTGTCGTTGACCAGGGTCACCTCGTAGTCGCTCATGAGCCTGCCTTGTATCAGCTATCAGGGTTCACTAGCGTTGCCAGGCGCGAGGCGCGAAGAAGGCGGTAAACTGGTCGACATACATCCTGATGGCGTGTTAGCACTCTGTCTTACAACCGGAACCATGCGCAGCATACTTCATGACCTGTATAGTTGGAAAGAGGCCTCGGTTAGCTCTTGTCCTTTGCTCAGCAACCACCGGGGTGAAGGTCTCCACATACATCCGTCTCAATACGTCTCTTTGGCGAACTCATATTGGCGTTCCTGATAATGCGACCTGTAAAGGACTTTGCTCTTCCCTAGTCTTCCGCTCGTCTTTAGGTTGTATACGGCAGTGCGCAGCTCGCAGTGAGAGCTCTCGTGAGGTAGGCGGCGGGGCTATCGATAGCGGATGAGGGGCGCGTTCGTTGGCAGCTGGTGTGTGCTTTGTTGGCAGATTGTGGTTGTTTGAACCCTGGTAAAGATGTCGATCGGTGAATGTGTGTTGTTGTCGCGTCTTTGGGGTCGGACGTGTCAAAGGGCAGGAACAGTGAGGCGGGAGTGATGGTCGCGGTAGTCGCGATCACGAGCTCGATACCGGCATGTCACGCTTGCGCACGTCTCGCCGGGCAAGTCATCGCCGAGACCACGGCGCGACCGCGTATCTCTGCCTCATGCATACATAACAGCACCGCCCTCCAGTCATCATGAATATCTACTTCTACTATCACTGACTCTACCCAGGTGCTTACATGCCCAGGTGTCGATTCGCAAGCTGTGCAGATGACCCCAAAGGCTACGTCACCGTGTGCCACGCGTAGCCATCCAAACCCAGCACTTGAAACTACCAAGTATAACAAAACGCCCTGAAATGATCTACGGTGATGCACAAGAACAGCAGAAAGACTGAGATATACTCGCCGTGCATGAAGCGGGACGTTTCTTACCAAATGCAGACTGGCTGGTTCCCGATGGCTACCGCTTCCCTGATCTGACTTGACACTTCAGCGTAGATGGAACGAAGAAATCTTCAATTCCGTCTGAATCAACAAAGATTTGTTCGAAGCTTACGCCGACCGCACAGCTGAAGATAGTATAAATTCAATGCATACAGAGACTGAGGGTGCTGGAACCGACGTCCAATCACTGAGGAGCAATGCCGCAGCTTCCCCGAGATCCTCGCCTGGGGCCTTCACCGCCGGTCCGAACGACGCCCTCTGCAACTCGAAGCACAACGCTGAAGTCAGAGAGAAACAAAGGCAGATGGGACGGACACGCTACAATACACATAGTCATAATCAAAAGGCGGGGTGTACCAGGTAATCGACTCGCCGAAGACAATCAGGGCACATCCAGACCCCTGGCGTCTGGGCGCAGGCTGACCCTCGGTTCTTCCAAAACTCCAAGGTTAGGTATGCAATCTTCAGCGCAGCTCTCTGCACATGTTGCTTAAAAGCAACACCTATCCCGCCCTAGGACCATGGCTTACGAACAAACCTCCACACCGTCCTCAGGGGCTCTGACAAATTTTCTACTGCCCAAAATACCCACCACAACTACACCTGCGACTCTGCCGCCATGTCGCGTGCCCTCATGAACGTGCTGCGAACGTCTTCGCGACATATTCAAACAACTCCACGTGCATACTCGCCGCTGTCATCGATATCGCGAACCATATTGCCTTCCGCATATATCCGATGGAGTTCACATTCTCCACTGGGCTCTGCGCCAGCAAATGCGCGTAAACCCGTCACTCTGAACACGCTGCAGAGTCTATATCGCAAGAACGAGCCCATCACCATGATAACCGCGCACGACTTTCCCAGCGCCCACGTCGCCGACCACGCCGGCATGGACATGATACTCGTCGGAGACAGTCTAGCCATGGTAGCACTAGGCATGGAAGACACCAGCGAAGTACTGATGGAAGAGATGCTACTCCACTGCAAATCCGTTGCGCGCGCAACCAAAGGCGCTTTCACAGTACGTTCTCACTCTCTCATACAACACCTGTCAGTCCCACTAACAAACCCCCCAGGTCGGCGACCTCCCCATGGGAACCTACGAGATCTCCCCTGCCCAAGCCCTCGAATCCGCCATCCGCATGATCAAGATTGGGCGCGTCAAGTCTGTCAAACTGGAAGGCGGCAAGGAAATGGCTCCTACAATAGCCAAGATAACGTCTGCTGGCATCCCCGTCCTCGCGCACATCGGCCTTACACCTCAGCGCCAAAACGCTCTAGGCGGCTTCCGCGTGCAAGGCAAATCCACATACTCTGCCTTGAAACTCCTTGACGATGCGCTCGCCGTTCAGGAAGCAGGCGCTTTTGCTGTCGTCCTCGAAGCCGTGCCCGCTGAAGTCGCTGCTGTGGTAACCAGAGAACTGCGTATACCCACTATTGGTATTGGAGCAGGAAATGGCTGTTCAGGCCAGGTGCTCGTACAGGTTGATATGCTAGGAAACTTCCCACCTGGACGGTTCTTGCCCAAGTTTGTCAAGCAGTATGGGAATGTGTGGGAGGAGGCGCATCGGGCGATATCACAGTACAGGGATGAGGTCAAGAGTAGGGAGTATCCCGCGACGGAACACACGTATCCTATGGATAAGAAGGCATTTGAGGAGTTTAGAACGGTGGTTGATGAGGAGAAGGAGAAGTCGGATTTGTTGTAGTGCGGTGTGTTGATAATGCGTTACCTGGTCTTGTTGGTGGTCATGTCCCCTTCTTTAGAGCCATGTAAGAGACGAAGCGTTGTTCTGCACACTGTAGAGGATAGATGCATTTTGCCTGAAATACAATTTGCGTACACCAACATTCTTCTACTTACTCACGCACGAGCACTACCATCTTGATGAATAACAAAATGACACGACCGTTGGACACTCCATCACAATCCAGCGATCTATTTACCTTCACACCCAGTGAGTGAAATGCCCGCCTCTACATCCCATCGCATACACCCTACAAAAAAACCTACCCCCTAACCCATGCCGTCATATCCCAAAAAGACCCACCATCCCCCATCTCGAACCGAACCTAGGGTTTCTTTCCACTCACTACCAACAAACAGCAGCTAAAACACCCAAAAACTATGACAAAAAACGATAGCAATGAGCATAACAAATTTTAATCACAAGCACAATGCGCGAAAGGTCTGCATAAAGCGTGTGGCCGCAAAGGTGTGGTAATCTTAGTGATTATCACACCTGTGTGGGCACACGCCATGTACATGCCTGTCGCACATTGTGCTTCGATTCTGTGTGGCCATGCAAGGTGCAATCGTTCGGTATTTTTGAGATTATTGGATATATTAATTTTGGGGTTGAAGACTTAGGGGGCAGTGTTGCCTGACCAATGGATGGGAAATTGGTGGGGGAGAAAGAACGGAATTTAGTTAGCTCACTCATGGCTTAAATTCTCGGGGTCTGTCGTGGTATGTGTGCAGTTTTCCGGGCCGACTTTGCACTGGAGAGCATCTTGCATTGCTGACGCGCGCAAGTGTTGTGACTACAACGGAGACTGAGAGGATATCCAGATGGTTTACAGAGGAAGGTGTTGCACATGTAGCTTTGGATTCGACAATCTAATAGCATACCTCGGTAGTCCTTCAAGTATTTGACATAAGAGTTATTACTACCTCCATCAAATACCCAGCATGCCTTAAAAAGAAACACTATCAACAACATACCCACATCACCTCCTTCACACATACATCAACCCAAAACACTATCTTCTCAGATAACTAGAACTTTTCCTTCAACCTAAACCAACTAACTACCTTTACATGAACAGCCAACTCCAGAAGTATGAATGGAGATTGTTTATACGTTTCGTTACCGACCAGAACCCAAAAAAAGAGTCGCTGCGGCGACAACAACATGCGCTGCTGCAGATTTTTGGAGCGGGACATGATCCTGTAAACGCCGCCCAATGCAACCAGTGTGTATCGATACAACGACATATCCGTCATCATCCCTCGTTTCCAAGCTTGCTGTGGGGGGTATACAGGTATATAGTACAAGAAAGAAGAGAAGAAAAATGGCGAGACGGAAGGTGTGACAGACCTACATCTCAACGACGTGAGCGGGCGGGGAGGAGAAAGAGGCGGGAGTTCCTTCCAACAGCTTGGTGAGCTGTTTAGAACTCGCGGGCCTCTCTCCTTGGTCGGTCACCACCGAAGCCACCACCGCCTCCACGCCTGTCACCACCACCGAAGCCTCCGCCTCCTCTCCTGTCGCCGCCAAAGCCACCACCACCTCCTCCTCTGCGGTCACCGCCGCCTCCTCTCCTGTCACCACCGAAGCCTCCGCTCCGGCCTTCACGGTCACCACCAAATCCTCCAGGTCGACCACCTCGGTCACCTCCAAAGCCGCCGCTGCGGCCTTCACGATCGCCTCCGAAACCTCCACTGCGGCCGCCACGGTCACCGCCAAAGCCTCCGCTTCGGCCACCAAAGCCACCGCCGCCGCCACGTCCTCCACCAAAGCCTCCACGGCCACCGCCGCCACGTCCGCGGCCTCCGGAGAAGAGGCTAGCAGGTGGTGGGGGTGGGGATGGCATGCCCCAGCCAAACTCAGCCAGACGGTTCGCACCTTCTAGCAGACCCTGCTTGTCACCGTACCACTGGTAGCTTCCGAACAGACCACGGAATGCGGCGTCGAGTTGGTCGGGGTAGACCTTCTTGTGTGCCTCGACGGTATCAGAGAGAATCTTTGCGACGTTCTCAGGGAGCTCGGCCGGTTCGCTCATGTCAACGGTGGCAGTCTCGAGCATATCGGTGGCGTCGACAAGAGGCAGGTCGCGAAGACGACGGCGGACTTCTTGCTTCTCGAAGGGTGAGATGAGCAACCAGCCCTCACCCTCCTTGCCGGCACGTCCAGTACGACCGAGACGATGAATGTAGGAGTCGCGCTCACGGGGGAGACCAATCTGGATAACATGGGTGACTTCAGGGAAGTCCATTCCACGGGCTGTTACATCCGAGGAGAAGAGAATGCCGGACTTTGCGAGACGGAAGTCATCTGCAGCCCTTGAACGTTGCTGTTGAGTGAGCTTGGCGTGGATCTCGTAGCATCTGGTGCCAGAAAGAGGGGTGTTGCGCTTGAAGCCGCCGTTGAGCTTATAGAAAACTGATGCTGCGAGAGTTACCTCAGCGGTGCTGTTGAAGTAGACGATGGCCTTGAAGGGTCGGGTTTCACCAGCCTGTGCCTTCTGTTGTGACTGGAGGATCAGATCGTAAAGTGTGGGCATGACGTTCTCGAAACCGTTCAGGTGAACGAGTCTTTGCGGGATACGCTGGTGTGTTGGCTCCTCGTTCTCATCGACGCACTTGGCGAAGTGGAAGCCGGGACGCATGATCTGGCGAACTAGGTTGACGACATCGCGGGGAATAGTAGCGGAGAACATGAGGTTCTGGCGTTCGACCTCGGCTGGGTCGGGAAGGAAGTTCTTGATCTCTTCAATCTCCTTCTGGAAACCGTCGTCCATGAGGCGATCCGCCTCGTCCATGACCAATGCTCTGAGCTTTGGTGCCTTGATACCGGAGTAAGGATCTGAGAGGATGTCCATCAGTCGTCCGGGAGTAGCAATCATGAGATGGCACCCCTCGCGCTGAGTCTTTTGAAGCATAGCCCTCTTCTGTGTGCCTCCGACAGCAACCTGCACGATGATGCCCGTGCCGGCGACCACTTTCTTCGCCTCGACAGCGATCTGCTCTGCCAGTTCACGGGTTGGCGAAATGACAATGCCGCGGATATCGTCTGGTCTGGCGCGCTTGTATCCTCTGACCTTCTCGCCGAGCTGGGGGTCGTTCGCGATAATTCGTTGGATGATAGGGATGAGGAAACCGAGTGTTTTACCGGTACCGGTCTTTGCTTGTGCGATGCTGCCGGATGTTAGCGAATTGAAGTTACAATCGAAGGAAGCTCTTACATGTCAACCCCGCTCAGCGCCTCGTTGATGGTCCTGGACTGCACGTCCGTCATGGTCGTGAGCTTCATTTGCCTCGTGATAGTGTTGATTAGGTTGGGGTGAACAAGGCCGCGTGTGGCCAGGTCCTGGAACTCTGTGACGGGACCATCTTCCTCAATACTCTGCTGGGCCTCCTGTTGCCACTTTGCGGCACTGTTGTGGAAACCAGCGAACGAGGCATTTCCGAGGCGCGCTGACTGTAATGGTATTCTTAAGGCGCTCGAGGTATTAGGGAAGGGTGTGCGGAGGGTCCTGGTAGAGATGGAGGCAAGATTCCTCGCGAGGGTCGCGGGACATCTTCTCACTGCGCCGAACATGATGTGCGGGTAATGGTACACACTCGTTCGTAACAGAGGGTATATTGAACGATTAGAATGAGCAACTAGAGTACTCTGCGTGTGCGCCTGAAGGAAAACGGCGAATGGGGAGAAAAGAATGGCGTGTACTCGTTAGAATGTTACCGCTAGAAACTTTGCCATTGCACTTTTCCAAGGGACGTGCGTCGACAACGCGCTAGGAAGTCCGCCCGATAACGATAAGCGGCAGATCACGTGTAGAACATGATCAGGGTCCAGCAGCTCGGACGGAACAGTCGATGCATATCATTAATTCGTCAGTCTATCAAGTTATGCAGATGCCTAACGCCATAGCTAATGCAGTCCAAATACTCAGTTGATCCGCCCCATACTCTCCTCACCCCGCTGGCTCTCCGCTATCCTCATAGCTTGTAATCCCTCCGCGAGACCCTGTTGAACGCCTCCGGTGACACCTCGAACCCACCAAATGGTCATCTCGTTGATCGCCTGCCCTACCATGCCATCATTCATCTGGCACACGGTTTGCGACAGTCGCAGCGTCTTCCGTCCGATATCATCGACAGTCGCGACGCCTGTATTGACGAGCCGTTTGGTGATCTGATGCTTCCTCTCGAACTGGTAGGTGTGTGATAGGAATAGCTTAATGTACGGTAGAAGGAACTGTATGAGGATGAAGCACTGGAGGACGAGGGTGGCAGTCAGACGGTGCAGGATCGTGGGGTCTCGTGGAGGCGCCCTTTGAGTACTAGGGCTGCGTTGCGAGACTGGAAGTAACGCGTGCGTATTCGCGTCGTTTGTTGTGTCGACTACGTCTTGTGGAAGGGCCGCCTGTATGCTCAATGTCTCTTCTGGGGTGAGCTTCGTTGGTAGCCCTCGCAGTAGGTACGTTATGCCGTGTATGTAGAGTTGTCGGGTCAGCGTCGCGGATGTCTCGTCGGGGCTACTGATCGATTCGCTTGATTCTCGAGATGCTTGAGCCATGAGGCTTGTTCCTGTAAAGTATGAGCATGCAATGTCCACATTCGCGAGCGACATTCCATACCTAAAGTAGCATACTTCCATCTGATGCCACAGCCACCCTCATGAGCACCATGTGGCTGTGGAAGTGCGCTTCCTGAAGAGCCAGGTCTGTCAAGTCCATCGTCCACGAACTCGACGTCTGCCTCGCCCAACGCAACTGACAGTCTGAGCGGTGTGACCGAGCCACTCGGGGGTATCGACGTATAGCCGGGAGGAGGCGTCTCGGGCTGTGGTAGTTCGTCGACTGAGGCTGATTTGCTATGTGTTCCACGGTTTCGTACGTCGTTGAGAGATTGTCTGAGAGAAGGTATCGTCGGAAGATGGTTCGAAACGACGGTGGGCAGGACGCTGTAGAGCATACTGGGCCGGAAGCTGGTCTCCTCCCCTTCCATTAGAGACGGCGTGTCAAGAGTCGACGTGCAGATATCAGCGCGTTCAACCTTCAGCATACTTTCGGCTTATCTCCCGGGCGTTTCCACCAAGCTGTGCGGTCGTAGATCCCAGCGGCGGCTTCACCCAGACTCTTCCGCGAGCGCACACGAATAGGAAGCAGCCGAATGGAAATGGGTCGAGATCGAAGATGAAGAAAATATGCGAGATAAGCCTACAGCTGCGACAGCCGCCGCATAGCGGCTATCCTTGTTTGGCGCAGACGGCATTATTCCGAATCCGTGCTATTTTCGAGAGTTGTGAGTTGCAAGCATGTGAAAGCGTTGAGTCGCTCACACCACAGGTGCAGGCCGTTGGGCAGGGGTCCTGAGATAGCCGAGCACCGAGCACCAATCAGCTGGAACGTGGAAAACGTGTTGGAACATCTGGATATCTTTTCTTCGTCACACGACGCCGACGTGCTACGTGAAATAGTCTAGCACTCGTTCTACAGTATCTGTTGCAAAAAATGCTCTCCTGGGAAGGCTACCTAGGTACAAATACGTCCGCCCGTTCACCAAGCAAATCGCGTTGAAGGTGTAGTTGCCCAGTCTGCCTGTCGTGGGTTAAGTGTCGGATCGACCACTTCAGGCTTCTCCTCCAGGTCGGTACTCATCTCGACGTCAATATCCTCGCCTTCTTGAGTGCTCTCGACGAGCTGGTTGGTGTCTGGAGGCAGCGAGAAGTCAGTACCTAGGGCGCCACCTCCAGGGAAGATGTTCTTACCACCACCAAAACCATGACCATCATCCATATTCTGGCCAGCTTGCACTCCATCGTCTCGTGTCATACGTTGGCGCAGAGGAACACGTTCGGTATCCCTGATGATGGCTTGAATCTGCTCGCAGTATTCCCGCAGGTTCTCGACGTCATCGCGGATCTTGTCCATAGTGTAGGCATCTTGTTCACCCTCCTTTGCTACCACTTCACTCCAGTGCTTCAGATCGCGGACGTCGCCATGAAGATAAGCGCCGACGTCTCGAATGCGGGCGATGTCCTCGCGTGGCCAGCGGGTACCGCCGTGAGAATCGCGGTCGTAGTTCACCACGAGATCGTAGGCGCGGATAGTGCGGTGCATGAGGGAGTTCAGGTCTTCATTCCATAGCCGTGATGATTGAGCTGGAACTGCGGCGTTGGAACGGCGAGGATTGATCGGAATACGGTTCACATCCGCGTCGTCGTAGTTGAGCGCAGCCTCAGAAGGTGCAGACGCTGGTGTCCATTGTCGGTCGGAATTGTACGGCGGACGATAGGAATCGGTCATGATTACGATCCGGTATATAGTCGAGTTAGGAGAGTGGAGGTGCGAGAAACACGCAATCCAGAGAATTTATAGGCGGTCTCTGTTTGCGTTTGGCGCAAGTCAAAGTGAATGATCAGGTCACCATCCGTATGCGTGAACCTTTCACTGAGCAAGACGTGGAGGAATGATGGACGACCTGGTGTTACGATCATGATCTTGATGTACAAGTCTGATACCACACTTGTTTATATTCGCAAAGTTCTGGCTTCCACATATTCTATACGATAATGAAAGTAACAGGAGATGAAGTAACATCGACGGGATATGGTAAAGGGTGGCAAGGTAGCAAAGCTCCAGACGAGCCAGCGCTGGAGATCGAGAATTTGATAGCCACGAGAACGAAGGAGAGTGTGAGAACGTATTGAAAGACTTAGAAGAAGCGTGCAGAAACGTATGTACAACAGCGGACCTACTGTGTTCAGGACCAACTACGACCGTATATGCAGAATCCATGTCATCTCAAAGCATACTCTGCTGAAAACCTGCGTCTTGCCAATACCTGTTGAATACATGGCAGCACCCAGAACGTACATCACCGACATGACGTCTTTGTATGTGTGTGTTTTGTCTATTTCCGTATGCACTGTTCCTGACGCTTCCGGTGTTTTGCGGCCCATAGAACAAAGTCGCGGCCAAGGTGGGTGACACTTCCGGCTACCCACAAAAGCCTCCATCATCCAGACCCTTGATAAGTTTGAAGCTGTCACGGTCCCATGGAAATGGAAGACGCGGGAGCTTTCCACCAGCCAGTGTTGGCCTAAGGACGCGAAATGAGACGGGCCTAATGGTGCAGCGCTCGCCGTCGAATTACTCCCAGGACAGGAGACAGGAGAAGTGGGGTCGGCGTCAGTGCAAGCAGCAAAGGCGCGCCGCATGCAGAAGCTGCAAATCTTCCCCTGATACGCTGAATCGTGAGCCAGCAATACGGTGGGAGATTCGCAGACGCGAGATGTCGTGCAGGGCGCACTGACGGTGTTGTCGGCAAGGGTGTATTGTTTGCCCAGGTCGTTGTCTAGGCAAATGATGTTGTGGATGGTTCGCGCGAGATTTTCAGGCTAACCACAGTCGCTCTAGCCTGCATCATACTGTACCCAGCCTCCGGACCAAACAAAGACACTCTTTCCTTGGTCGATGAAAGCAGATAGACGTCTGCAACGCGCTTCACCTTCGCTCAATTGCTGTGTCGTCAACATCTCCCTCGGTCTCTGAAGCTCCCTCGCATCGACATGGCTGCTACGCGTTGCTAGAAAACCTCGACGTGCCTGTACCGTCGCGTCGTGAGCTACACGCACACGTGCCCCTCCCACCACGCCCATCTATTACACCTCGAAGCACCCTCAGCCGCTATCCTACGTATGGCAGCAGTGGCTGTCCCTCCGTCGCCCCAGGTTCCTTCAGTCATGTCGAACCGGCGCGTCCCCCTCGCCAACCTGCAAAACGCTACCAACTCCCCGTTACGCGCGACTGCCATAGGAGGAAAGCGCCAACGCTCCCACGCCAGCGAGCAACGCGATGTCCCCTATGGCCAGCCACCACCCAAAAAACAGCTCATCGAGGTCGATGATGCTGAAGCTCGCCGTCACGGCCTTATTCGTCGGAGTGGGGCCCAGCCCACGGCTTTGACTCGCAAGCTGGAAGCAGCAAGAGAGACCAAGGCCCCGTCAAAGCAGGCCGCACAGCGTGCATCTCACGACCTAGAAACGATTCGACAATGGCAGCGTCACTACCGCAAGCTGTTTCCCCAGTTTGCCTTCTACTTTGACAGCGTCTCAGAACCCCAGAAAGACAAACTTTTGAACAGGGCACGCGTCCTAGGTTCCGTACGTCTGGCATACCCTTTCCCTACATCCGTCGTGCTAACAGTCACCAGCGAGAAGTCAAGTTCTTCTCTCGGGAAGTCACCCATGTCATCACGACGCGTTCCATTCCCGCCGACCTCGATGGCAGTTCATCCTCCCACAAAGGCACCGTCAACCCGGCCCAGCTGGAGAACAAGAAGTCCATCTTCGATGCCGCCCTCGAGAAGTCCGACCGTGGTGATATCCTGTACAAGGCTAAGAGCTTGGGTATGAAGATATGGTCCGTCGAGAAGTTGCAGCGTATGGTGGATACCATGTTCAACAAGGAGACTGGGGAGGACGCGTCTACCCACTCGACACGTCAGGCGGTGGCTACGCAGCACAAGGGCCGTCCCGCCGATTTGCAAAGGCTGCTACAAAATGAGAAGTTGGACCGCGACTACGTCATGGCCTCGCAGGACATGATTCCGCTCCGTGGATACTACGTCTACGTGCACGATATGGACGAGGTCACCCGACCGGTCATGATCCGAGAATACCAGAAGGTTGAGAAAGAGAAGGGCAAATGGCCGCAGTTCCGTGCCTCCGGTAACGGCAAGTGCCCGTTCGTGGAGGATCCCCATTTCGGTCGCCGACAGCAGGAAGAGCAGGAAGCACGCCGAAGGCAGGCTGCACAGGCGCCACGGACGCGTGCTGCTTCGGCTATGGAAGAGAAGAATGCTTTGGGAGAGAACAACAACCTGGCAAGGCGTCCCAGCGCTCCTGCTGCCATCGTCAAAGAAGAACAGGATGGAGATGCGAAACCGTTAGATCCTCCAAAGGCCCTTCCTCCCAAGCGATGCAACACAGCAGACGGCCCACCACCCATGTTTGGCAGTGCTCAGGCTAGCATCCGAGCCATGCCCCGTTTCATCGCTGGTGAGCCGGTCGCGTCTGGTCTACACCAATCAAACATCACGTCCGCTATTCGCTCGCAAATGATCTCCTCGACCGCTGCTGCCCCTCGTGCTGGAAACAGCAAGGAAGTCAACCAGCTGAAACGAAAGGTCCTCGAGAAGAACAGCGTACCGTCGGCGAATACGAATAGTGGCCATTCGTCCGTTACAAACGATGTCAGGGCTGCGCTCAGCTATGAGCATTCTCAACCCATGCGCGCGGCGAAGCGCAAGGCCCAGGAGAACATGGGTCACACACACGATGATGGAGACGAAGAAAGACAAGCTCGTAAAGCAGCAGCCCTCCGCAGGCGCAAGACTGCTGAGAAGGAGCTGAAGCCAGGTTACTGCGAGAACTGCAGGGAGAAATTCAATGACTTTGACGAGGTACGCACTACGAAGATGGTTCTACAAATGATATACTGACAACATACAGCACGTCGTCTCGCGCAAGCACCGCAAGTTCGCAGTCACCACGGACAACTGGGTTGAGCTTGACCAGCTACTCGCCCAACTTGATCGTCGATGAGCCTTGCGGCTCATGCAGACTACACGGCCACACATTGCATTCCTTACGGCGTAATGCACGACCTCACTAATACCCACGACATAATTTCCTATCGCACCTGTTGTTCACTTCTCGCCCCCGGGCGCATGGCATTACTCTGCGAGCGAATACCCGTTTCCAAAGCATTTTCGAGGCGCAGCTTCTACCTTTCCCCTTATTGGCGACATAGCTTGACTTGCTCCATTTCCTTACCCTGTATAGGCCCATGATCACTGATCCCTGGCGGCTTAACGATGCATGCATCCCCTTTGTATATAGCTATTGCGTCATGACCTTCGGGTCATCTTTGCTGGTTGTTGCGCTTTGCAAACCGGCTGGCTGGTGG